CCCCCCACCGGCTCAACGGGCCTCCGTTCCTGAACATGCGGTGGTCACCTGCGTCCGATGTGAGGCGGCGCATTCTCGTCGGACCGGCGGCGGCGGCGAATTACTCCATCGAGAGCATTCCCCCTTTGGGCAGGAGAGTTTAGGCCTTTTCTTTTACTAATGGACTCACGCACCGCTGCGGGCTCGGCTCCAACGACTCTCTGAAGGCATCGGGGAGTCTCGCCGCCAGAAGGCCCCGTCAGCCGGGGGCGGGGCGGGGCGGAACTGCCGGATTGGGACGCGGAGGCGGCCCGCCGTGTAAGTCGTGCCGCTCCGTCAACGAAGAGAGAAGGGAGAGAAAGAGAGAGTAAAAAAGCATGCGACTGTGGGTTCGTCACGCCGGAAGAGTCATGGCCTGTGTTTATTTGTAATGCCGCAGTAGTTCATGTGGGGAAAAGGCTCGGCAGAGAGTGTCCATCTAGGATCTAGAGCTGCCGTCGTGGAGGGCTGGCGCTTCTAGAATAGTGAGGTTGTCCCAGCAGGGCAGCGGCGGTCATGGACCTGGACCGGCGAACTGAACGGAGCGAGAATCATGATCTGGCCTCATTGGTGCAGGTAATATGCGTAATTACCCTCTATTGCAAGGCGCATACATGTAGGTCCACGCGCGTCTTCATCACCGCTTTTTCATCAGGCTTTCCCTTCACTTCCCATCCCATCGTACCCCGGGCCATCTGCAGTAGACCATGCGCTGCTGACCAGCCATGACACGTCGGGCGCTCGAACAGATTGCGCCTCCGGCGGGAAAACGCTGTTTCAACGCCGTCTAGTCATTGGCGTCGCGTTGCTCTACGCGCCGTTCGCGCTGGCGAGCGAGCTCTTCCCGTCGTCGCCGTCCCCCGTCTTCCACCGCCCCAGCGCCGGCCTCCTCGGTGGTCTCCTGTTCGGGTTCGGGGCACTATCACGGTCCAGCGACGGCTGGCAGCAGTCATCAGCTCAACATGTCCAGTCACATACCCGCGCGGCCGGCCCATTAAACGCAGCGAGTGCGACGGTAATCAGAGAGGAAGCACATACATAGCGCATGACGTTCGAGATTGGCGAGCAGCCGCAGAGACGGCGACACTCGTCCGCCTTGTCCTGCGGGACGTCCGCGTTGAACACGTACGTATAATCCTGCTTGCAGGAGGTGTGCGGGGGCATGCAGAACTCGTTCGGCGGATACGGGATCGCGCAGCCGTCGGCGTCGACGGGCGAGCAGATGATGTTGATGGCGATCATGACGCGGTCGCCCGGCAGCTTGAGAGGGGTGGACGAGCCGGAGCCGGACCGGGGAGCGAGGGCCGTACGGCCGAGCGAACTGCCGGCAAGGGCCAGGAGCCAAATAAGGTGCATGGCTATCCTTGTGAGATGAGAACAGCCATTACTTGAGTAGAGCTCTTGCAGGGGGATTGGTCCGGGAGATATTGTTGCCTGCTTGCTTTTATAGTCGGATTCGCAGAGGGTACGGGTGAGATGCTAGACCCGAGACAAGCAGTCTGCGGCAAGGCCACCCGCCGCCATGACCAACGTAAACGTAAATGCAGATACTGGCCGAAAATTTCTGCACCTGAAACTCTCAGAATGGGGGGTTTTTTTTTTTTTGCAAATGCCGCAATGAGTTTTTCGCTTGGTACAGCCCTCATGTTCGTTGAGCATGACGACGATTTGTGTTGGCCTTTGCTCGATGAACACTGGGAGAGTTGCTCCCGATGTACCCGAAGCTGCATGCCGCACCGCCCTCATCACGCAATGGTATTTAAGTACGTCTGTCAGATCGCTGTCAATATAGCTAATTATGGTTGCGATACCTCGCGTCAATCGCAACCCTCCCAGCAATTACGTCGTGTCCACAATGCCAGCCAGCGACGTAGGACTGTGCCAAGCACAGAGGCAAAAAGGCACGCTGCGTCAAGCGAAGCACAAGGGAGACCTTAAGCTGGCGGCTGTCTGCCATGATACGAGGAAATTCGCGAGTTTAAGCGATTTTGGAGTCACTCGCGTCGGTGTGTGTTGGATCAGTCAGTTCCGACATGCACTCATGCAATGCTCTGTGCATGTGAATGTGAATCGTACCCAACGTAGTTGATGCACGTCCGTGAGATTCTGTTGAGAGCCTCGCCAACTACAAAGACTTCGACAAGCCCAAGCGCGGCAGCAAGTAGTCAAACATGACCTGGTTCAACCGCGACCCGGATCCCATATGGCAGTGCGCACTCGCCCCCTCCTCCCTCGTCAATCCCACAAACTCCTTTTCGCACGACAACCGGTCAAACAGCTCCTTCGGCTGCCCCTTCAAGAAGTGGTCGTCCGGCGCGTCAAGCACCAGCATCGGCGTCTTGATCCGGTCCACCAGCCCCTCCAGCGTGTAGCCCTCGACGGCGCGCAGCACGTCGACCTCGGAGCCCACGCCAAACACCCACTTGCCGTTCAGGACGCCCCATTTGAACCCCGTGTCCCAGCGCATGTACAGTCGGATGAGCGTGTTCATGGTGCCGTCCCAGCCGTGCCGGATGAGGAGCTTCCCGATGGCGGGCGTCTCGTTGCGGAAGGCGCTGCCAAAGTCGTACACGCCGTCGTTGACGATGATCGCGGCGGCGCGGTGCTCGAATGCGGCGGCGCGTGCTACCAGGTAGCCGCCCATACTAACGCCCAGGATGACGAGCTTGTTGTTGTCCGACCATGGTTGGGATACGGTGAAGTCTACAACCGGTGTGATGACCTTTTCCCAGTCCGCTCTGAAGTATAGTCGCTGCTCGCGCAGCGTTTCGCCCTGTCCCGGCCCGTCAAAGGTGAGCACGTTGAAGCCCAGATCGAGGGCCGCTGCTGCGACTGCGTAGCCAAGTTCCTCTCGCGTCGAATCGAAGCCGCCGTTGACGATGATTGTTGGCCTTGGCTTGTCGCTCTTATCTGGGCGCATCAGTGTGCCCGCCAGTGTGGTCCTCTCGTAAGGTATGCTGACCCTCTCCGTCGCATGCGCCATGAGCTCCGCCGCAGAGTAAAACGCCTGGGTGCTGAGGCCTGCGAGCTCCTTGGACAGGTCGTCGTCGAAAGGGTCCTCCCGTCGGTAGAACTCGGCCGTCCGGTAGTAGTTCGAGGCACGCAGAAAGGCATCCCTGGCCCCGGGGACGTTACCCTTGGTTAGGCTCGTTTTGGCATTGGCGACGGCACGATCGGCGGCTTGCCTCCATTCGCGAAGCCAGCCGTCCTCGTCGCCGGACTTGATGCGAGAGCAAATGGCAATGACTTCGGCAATGTCTGCGCCGCCGCAGTTGGCATACCCGGCGGCTCGCAGGGCCTCGTACCCAAAGGATGGGTTCTTGGGGAAGAAGTGTCGTAATAGCAGCGCCATGGCTGACCGAGACTGTAGCGTTGATGGATGACGCAGGAACACTGGACATCCAAGCTTTGCACCTTGTTGGCTGTCCGCGTAGTCTTTATAAGACAGCAGATAGTATGGCACGCAAGACCAGAAGTGTACCGTGGGGCGAGCAGTCTCGTAGGCTTGCTCCTCGGCCTCATGTGAGTCTTGATCAGCTCATCGTCGCCGCCTGCCTCGCGGTGCAGGACCCAGCGAGAGCCGAGCTGAGATGACCCAAAGTCTGTTCGGAGTGCCGAAGCGCCGGCATTGATTCCACCAAATGCCCGAGCCAGACCCACCTGGGGCCCGAACCGGGGCTTCCCTGTCGGCGGTCGGCTGCGGGACTGCCGATTGCCAGGCGGGAGGATCCTGGCCGGGAGGATCCCGATCTCCCGGATCCCGGCTCTCCAGTCAATAGATCCGTGGCCTCCCGACAATTCGCGTCGTCTTATATCCTAAATCCGCGCGGCCGAGGCTGGGAAGTGACAGCGGGTGGTCAAATGGAATGGCGATTGACTCCGGAGACGGCCGCGTCTTCGTACGGAGCCCTTGACTCTTGCATTGGGCTGTCGCGGTGGACGTATCGCAATTACTGGCCACCTCAGCAATCACGGTCTCTACAGTAGACAATGAGAGGCCAATGAAAGCAAATGGCGTTGCCCATCCCCTGATGCCTTCTTCCGCCCAGAGCGGTCTCCGTCACTTGGCAGGGTGAGCAGTATGACCCAAGCGCCACTGGGAGCCTTGCCGTAAGCACCCACGTGTGAATGCGTCTTGTTCCTGCGCTGGCTTGCACACTGGCTCACCCACCGAAGCACTTTGAGACATGAAGCTGGCCAATTCGCGCCCCAGCCTCCTTTCACATGACCAGAACCCCGCGCCGTTGCCGAGCATTGGCGACGCCCTCGCTTCGACTGCACGAAGCTGGGTTGGGGTTGATTCGGTGCATGTGCGGTCGGAGATATGGCTTTCTGGCTGCATGAATTAAGTTGTGGCTGCGTGACTATTGCTTCCACCTGCCCCTGGCTCGGCCTTCACCAATCCAATGGAGCAGCAGACAGCAGCACACATGTATGGCTCAGGCCCAAGTGAAACAGCTGGTGGTGTGTAGCATTTGCCCATTCCCGTTGGACGAGTGGTGGAGGTTAGCACGCAGGCGGTGCGCATTCGTGCAGACGTCGGCCGTGTGTGGCGGGCGCTAGCCCTCTTGTCAGTCGCACGACACTTCCCCTTCTGGCAGCGAAGCCGCTTCAAAACAGCGCCATCCTTGTGTGTCTGCCTGCAGCGTCCAGCATGGAGCTATAAATCTCCGGTGCTGTGAGCTGCGCCAGTCGTAGGTAGCCTCAATCGGATAGCGCGTCATGCGCGTCTAACTGGAGACTGCCCTGGCGAGCCGTTGCCGTTCTCGGGGATGGTGAGACGGTTCGGGAGCTGCACGGCTGGGTTTCGGCCCGTCTTATAAGAAGACCTTGGGGAGTCGGTCTCCACGCGGCACGGGGTGGGACGGTCTAACTTGTATCATCAAGATCGGTTGACTTCCGTGCCCTTAAGAAGCAACCAGCGCACGCCTGAGATATTAGTCTCCTTGCACCTACGTACTTCGTACCAACGGTCGCGAGTTTCGTCGAGGCTGCGGCATTCTGTGTACGTGATGAGAATATCGGCCTTCTCTGTAGCCGCCGCCTTCCTCTCGGCAGCGATAGCGCAAGGTACATCGCCTGCCTCCCTTCTCTCACAACTGCCAAGCTGCGCGGTAAGCTAGAAACAGAAGGTATTCGAGACCAAGAAAATAGCTAACGACGTCCCTTTAGCTTGAATGCTTTGCCTCTGCGTTGCCGAGTTCATCATGCAGCCCCACCGACCAGAAGTGCCTTTGTGCGAGTGAGCAGTTCAGCAATAATGTGACAGTTTGCGTGACCAAGAGCTGTACGATCAAGGAGTCATTAAGTTCGAGGCCCTATCCGAACCCCAATCACTATTCGCTGACGCCGGCGCCAGGCACTCTCAACATCACAAAGACCAACTGCGGCGCGCCAATCCGCGACAAGTCGCAGGTATACAGCGACACGGCTGCCGCATTCAGCGTCCTCGCGGGCGTCTTCATCATCCAGAGATTCGCCTACAAGATTTATACGAAGCTCGATATTTGCCTCGACGACTGGTTCGCCCTCCTGACGATGATAATCGCGGTCCCCGGGGCCATCATCAACGCACATTACGTCCCCGTGAATGGACTCGGCCGCGACATATGGACCCTCACGCCGCAGCAAATCACCAATTTCCTCAGATTCTTTTACTTTCAGGAGATAATTTACGTTATCGAAGTCTCGGTGTTGAAGTTGTCCTTTCTCTTCTTTTATCGACGCATCTTTCCTGGCACGACGATCCGCTGGCTGCTATGGGGGACGATTGCATTCAACACACTCGTCGGCGCCGTCTTCACGCTGGTATGCATCTTTCAATGTCGTCCCATCAAGTATTTCTGGGAGCAATGGGATCAAGAGCATCGTGGAAAGTGCCTCAACATCAACGCAATCGGCTGGTCCAGCGCGGCCATAAGCATCGCGCTTGATGTATGGATGCTGGCACTTCCGCTGTGGCAGATCAGAACACTGCGACTGGATTGGAAAAAGAAGATTGGCGTCGGATTGATGTTTGGCACTGGAGCCTTGTATGTCCCGCTATCCGCTTCGGCGCTCACGAGACTAACACCCGCGCAGCATCACCATCGTGAGTATACTTCGGCTTAGGTCGCTGCTCGCCTTTAGGTCAGATTCGATGAATCCCACCTGGGAGTTTTTTGAAGTCGGCCTGTGGTCGGCTGTCGAGATCTGCATTGGCATCGTCTGTGCCTGCCTGCCCTCGCTCCGCCTTCTGCTCGTCCACGTATTCCCGAAGCAATTTGGCACATCCGCGAAGCGCGACACGGGAAGGTATATACATATGTATGACGCAGGCTCGCGAATGGGTTCTCGCCCGAGAAATGTTACAGACATAGATGATGGAGACGACACGGATGCGTTCCACACACAACCTGTCAAAGGCGGGAGCGACGGTGATGCGTTTAAGCTGGTGGTCACTCGCCACCTAGGCGGCCTCGATCCTGGCGCAAAGAAGTAATTTTTAATGGAACTTTCCGCGTTTGCATATATTTGGGCTCTTGGAAATTTCCGCGGTAGGCCCGATTGCTTGTAGCATCGTGTTGCCCAGTCTGTATGTGAAGACGTGTGTTGGCGACCAGGCGCGGAGTCCCCGTGAACCTTTCCCAAACGCACAGCGCTCTGCCATGACTCAATGAGCCACTATTTTATGATTCCTGAGTCTATCACTACGTATGCTGTGACAAGTTTTGTCAATTTTGCCTTGCCAGATCAAACGTTTGCCTGAAGCAAGCATGATGTTCGCTGCGTGATGGTGACTGAGAGCCATCACGAGGACAACTGGTAGCACCTGTGTTTTGTTGCGAGACTTCGACTGGCAAACAGGATGACAATACCGTATTCTTGGTTTCCCGGTCTCACTGTTCTATGGTGGCTGTTTCGAGGCAAATGACTCGGTACTCACAGACCACATGGTGCCTCCAGAAGCCCATTACCTACCCAATGACGCAGTCGCAATGCGGTATTAAACAGACGAATTCTGATACAGAGTAATCCTATAGGACGAATAGCGAGATTCCTGTAGAGTAACCCAAACACCGACGATGTGAACCGTGCTCCCGTATGCCGTAACAGATGTCTTCGAGATTTAAGCCACAGACACCCAACCAGTATTGCGCACAAAGTCCCCATTCGCACACCTTTGATGATTCCTAGGTTGCATTCGGCAACATGAAAGTCGTTGCTCTCATTGTCAGCTCGAGTGCCCTGTGTGGTGCCTACAGTATTCCTCGGAGCGTCGTTGATGGAATCTACGGAATATCGCGTAATGAGCTAGGCTACGAGATTCATACACGCCTCTCTGACCCCACCGCGCCAGCATTCGGAGCTCCGTCTGTCGCGGACGACATTCCCGACATACACAAGCGACAGATCCCCCACGATGGCATGCTTACATGGTGCAACTGCAGCACGGGAATGCACCCCAGCGAAACCGACGCGGCTGTGGCGGACCTCAAGCAGCAACTCAGCTCAGGCCAGCGATTCGACTACCTATCCGTGTATGCGATTCGGGGGTCAGTAGTTGCGTTTGCTTGCGGCGGCACCGTAGACCCGGACGTCTGGGCAAGCGCCTCAACCGTTGGCAAGACGCTGGCGCAGGTGACGAAGCGGTGCGGGCGATACGTCCCCGGCACAGGCTGGCTTCAGCCTGCGAAGGCCGACGGTCACAGGAACCCATCATACGTCGGCTATATGCGCTGGCACAAGGGACTTGACTTTTGCAGAGAGTCTCGCGGGCCGCATGGCACCTTTCCCGACACTTGCTGCAAGGGGGAGAACGGAGACATTACGGGAGGGCCTGTCTTGGTTTCATCGCAGGCATGGGGAGGCTTGGGGGCATGTGCCTGAGCGGCGCTCGGCATCGACGATGCGGCAGCGTGTGGAAGCGAGGGCTGGCGTGGTCTTCCCTCGATGTTACGTCGTCTGCGCAGCAATCCCTACGGGGTGGTCGCGTGTGCAATGCCCTGTCAAACGTAGTCATAGCATGAATTATAGTGCTGATCATATCACCCACTTCGGCCCATCGAATCGCCCCCGTCTCCGTCATCCTCTTCAATTGAGCGCGCCGTCAGGCAGGAAAGGTCCCCCGCCCGGGAAACACCAACTGTCGCAATGCCCACTAAAGCTACAAGCCAAGCTCATAAGGTGACATCTGTCACTCCATTCGCGATTCTGTGCACCCAGACGCCTCAAAATGGCCATCGTGGCCAGTCAGGGCAGCTCGGTCGCAGCGTGGTTCCGCCCCTGGTGGCGCGGCTGGCGCCAGTTGTTGTCTCGCTCGCTGATGGCTCGGTGTCAGGCCCGAGCTCATTGTGTTCGTTTGCCGCGGCTGGCGCACGCTCGGGAAGGATGTTCCGTTCTTATGTGCCCCAGATCAGCGTGCGGGGGACGCTGAACCCTGGCAAACCCGACCAGATACGAGCAACTGACTCAAGTGGCTGCCCCGTGGCATTTCCAGGGTCAATTCTGCAGCAGGCTGCCTCTGGCACCTTTCTGGAAAGCCCCCCCTGCGACATCCGTCCAACGAAAAGCTCCGAGGTTGATGTGGCAGCAGCTCGCTTTGACAGCTGCACGGCCGAGAACATGGGCCCTGCCGCCACCGCCACCACTGGCGCCCTCGTCGACGACAGCCCAAAACCCTCCGGGCAAGCTGCTCCCACTGATGCTCCGGCGAATGAAACACTTATTTTTCTGAAAGCCATTTGATGCACCGATGTGACATGTCGACACCACTAGACACATGCGACCGGCTAAAGGCACCGCGCCACAGCCCATGGCCTCGGCCACGTCCAGCGTCGCTGTCTTGCGACAGAGGAGATGGGATGGGCAAGCAGAATATTGAACGATTGACCGGCAAGCTAATGAAAAGCACTATTATTGACATTGCTAGCTACCATGGTATCACTGCGACTCGTTGCGCCTCTCGTCGATCAGCTTGACTATTACCCCTGTGCCGGACAGACCCCCTGACATTAACGGCCCCATTAGTATCTCTCCCGGACAACGCCATCGTCAGAGCCATGAGCCAGTGGCAACTCATCGTCCACTGCCCGACCCCGAGCAAAAGCCCTCTCTCGCTCCGCCTTTGAGCCACGGCGCGACGTCCTGCTAGTAATAACCGTTTCAACCTGGATGCCCGCGTCCAGCTTTCCCCGGCCACCGGCCCCGCCGGCAGTCCCCAGATCCCCAAGGTCGTCTGAAGAGGAGTCCTCGGAAGCAGCCTTGGGCCTGCTCATGGATTGCAGCGTAAACTGGTGCCCTCGCGGGCCGGCGTCTCCCTCTTCTCCCGTCACCGTCCTGTTATGTGATGTCGAGGGGAGATAGGTGTCCGAGTTTTCGCCGCGTGCCAGTCGCGTGATGAGATCCGCCATGGACATTTCGATGTTGAGTTTGACCATATATGTCACGGGATGGAATTGGATGTAGACAACCTGGTTGGGCAGTGACATGAGGCCAATGAGCATGCCCTAGTTGCACTCGCGTGTCAGCAGATATCTCGCCTGGTGGCATCAGTCATCATGTACGTACGTCCATGCAGATCGAGAGGACCATCAGCTTCGCATTGAAGCTCACCAGTGGCGCATATTTGATCAAGCCGTGCTGCACGACGAGCCTTCTTTTGACGGTGCGTAGGAAGTAGTAGTTGAGTCCGGCGTCGACGAGCAGGATAAGGATCTTGGAGATGCGATCCCACACATCGTTGATGCGAACGAATCTATAACCAGATGGTCAGTATAAAATCATGTTGCCTAGAGGCCCAGACGAGTACACGCACAAGTCGTTGACTGGTGGAACAGTGTGTGATGGGATCCAAATGCAAAAGACGGCGATGTTGATGCAGGTGATGACAAAGGCTGTCCCCCACTTCAGCTTGAATATCGTGCTCCTATGCTCTGCGATGATGGCGATTCGGTTGACAATGATTTGCATGAGCAGCTGGATCTCGAAGACCCAGAGGAACAGGATGAAGAAGAGAACCGGAACCCTGTTGCGTGATCAGCCCCATTCTCTTCCCGTGGAGAACACCCACCAACTCACGTTGGCGATATGATGCCGTCTAGGAAAATCCATCCGATTATGCCGATGGCGAGGTTCGCGGCAATCTCTCCCCATATCATGTACACATACGCACTCCTCCACGGGCGCTTGTTTCTTTGCGTCTGCTTGATGGCCTGCCAGACGGTGAGGAAGCCAAATCCAAGAGTAAAGCCGGCGGCCAAAGAGGCCAACTGGATATCCCCTTTCGATGCCATCAGAGCTGATTTGGCCGAGGGAGCAAAGGTTCGAGAAGTTGACGGTGCAGTGCTTCGTAAGAAGCCGCCTGGGAGCAAAGAGGCCTCGGATGTCGCTTGTTATGTATCAAGCGACATCCTGCATGCAGGGAGGAGACATCCTCGGCCAACCTGCTTCTAGAGCATTGCCCACTTCAGCTTGCAGGGCACCGACGCGCCGGTTCGCAGTGCCACACGACGAAGGCATGCAAGCCATGGACACGGACCTCCACCAAGTTCGTCGTGAGGGGATCCCTGTCGATCAAGTTGTGTCACGGACTCACGGGTACGGAAGGAAAGTAAAACGCCTCCCCAACGATCGTGTCTGATGGGTAGGACCCCTGACACACGCAACACCACAAGCAGGGCGGCCACAACTCCTGCGGCACCAGACAGAAACAGAAGGCGGGGACAGACAAAGGACATTGTGCGGCTGAGACCAGAAAATTGGCAAAACTCAATTCTCGTCCAGCAGTGGCTGTTTTGCCCTGGCTTGCAACACGCGAGTGCCTCCCCCATCGAACCTCTGGCCTGCCTCCCAACGAAACCGCCACGGAGCCACTTCCTCGTGGTGGTTGCGGGACTCAGGTCGAAAAACGTGGCAAGCGCCGGCAAACTGGACAACGCCTGCTGGTTGAGCGGAGCAAGGATCGCCAGGATGGTGCCGGCGATATTTCCGCTAAAGAAGTAAGCCTCCTCTCGGTGAGTTGCCTCATTGAGGAACGTCTGAAGTGGCTGTCGGGCGCGCCCCTCTGCGGGGAACGAACACGGCTTCACGATACCGAACCACAACATGGGATCGCTGGTCCCCGCCGACACGCGCGATCGAGCGGCCGCTTCTCACGGTCGAAGGTTCACAGGGAACAAGGGACCTCAGGGCGGAGAGATGCATCAGTGGTGGATATTTCATCGGCGAGGCGTGGAACATGGGACGAACATCCGTGCATGCACGGCATTGCCAGGACCTCAATCGTCCCACTCCACCGACAAGGGAATACACGCCGAAAGAACGCTTTGACCAAGTTTGGGCAATGGCGCTCTTGGTCTTCAAGAACGATCACGGTGAGATTCTGGCAAGTGCTACGCCGTCCCATCAGCTGTTCACCGGCGCTGGTAGATCAAGGCTCCCGGGCCTCTGTCATTGACGTCTGCATCGAGTACGTCACATTTTGTTTATTGTTGTTACCGCCAATGCCGCCGTACGCGAATTTGGGGCAACGACTGCCATGCTCCAGCCCCTTGCCATGGTCGCGCGTGGCCCGAAACGCCCCTTGCAACCTGCAACGCATCTGATCACCCACAGCAGCCCCCGCCACTAGCCGTGGCTGCCCCTGGTCCTTCTACTCTGCCCCTGCCACATCGAGTCATGATGGTGGGAGCAACCACCATCGCAACCACAGTGGCCGCGACCGCACAACTCAGGCACATTGCGAATCCGTCTGTGATGCCGCCCATGTACGCCTCGAGCACTGCCGGTGCGTCGTCGCCAAACGTTTCTCGTATGTTAAGGGCGCCATGGTTGAGCACGTCCAGGCCGTCGAGATTCGGGGCCACGCGAGCCAAGGTGCGCACCAGGCCGTTGGCAAAGATGGCCTGACCGGCTGACATGAAGACGGCGCCGCCAGCAAGCTCGAAGAACATGGTCAGCCCGACCGTGGCGGAAATGTCTTTCAGGGGGATTGCTTTTTGGTTCGCCACCAGGGGAACCTCCATGGCCATGCCAATGCCAATGCCGACGACAGCCTGGTAGCCGATCCAGCTTGGCGCAGGCGACTCGGCGTCGAGCATGTAAATTAGCGCGGCTCCGGCGACTGAGATCATGGCACCCAGGAGAAGAGGCTGTGTCCAGCGTCCAGTCCGTCCCATGAAGGATGTGGACAAGACGGTGAACAGCGAGACGGCCACAACGAGCGGCATGTTGCGCAAGCCACTTTCCTCGGCGCTCACTCCCTGAATGGCCTGGAAGTAGACGGGGAGAAAGTAAAGGAGCGGGAAGTAGGTCCCGGAGATGAAGAAGGTATACGCGCAGTTCGGCCACACGGGCCACTGTCTGATGAGCCGAGGCGGAATAAGCGCCCGTTCGCCCATGGACCATTCGTTGAGCACCAACCCGCCCACAAAGATAACTGACAGAGCCAGCAAGACTATAATGTAGTCTTCGCCCCACGGGACAGATGTGCCGCCGTACTGCATCGCCAGGGTGAAGCACACCACTGAAGCCGTCGTCAAAATGTTGCCCAGTAGGTCCAGTTCGAGCAACACGCTTCTCCACGAAAGCACCTTTTGCGCCCGCTTCGCAGACTTTGGGGTTGCAAAAAAGGTAAACAGGCAAAGCAAACCCAGCGCTCCGATGGGCAAGTTGATCCAGAATATCCAGCGCCAGGAAAGGTGGCTCGTGAGCAGACCCCCGACAAGTGGTCCGACTACACTTGCGCAGCCGAATGTAGTTCCGATGATGCCGATGCATACTGGCCGCCAGTCCTCGTCCGTGATGAAAGCGATGATGGTAAAGACTCCTCCGATGATGCCAGAAGCGCCGACGCCGGAGATGGCACGCCCGATGACAACAGCCGCACTCGTTGGCGCCGCAGCCGACACGACGCAACCAACCTCAAAGATGAGAATCGACACGGCAAAGGCCGTGCGAAGGTCAAAGATTCCGTACGCCTTGCCCCAGGTTGCCTGGAAAGTCGTCTGGGTGAGAAAGAAAGCGGAGCCGTACCAGGCGATGTCGCTCAGGGACTGGAACGTGTCGCTGATGGCAGGAACGGCCGTGGCCACAATGGTCATATCCAGGGCTGCGAGGAAGCAGCATAACATGAGGCTCCCGATGATTGCGAGAAACCTGAAGCCCTTAGGCAGCTGCTCGGTCTCGACATTGCCTGAATCGTGGCGCTGACATTCTGCCGCAGCGTCGGCTCGCCCGGGCTGAAGAAGAGGAGCTCTCTCGTCGGGCATGCTGTCCAAGGGCCGCCTAAGAATGGGGTGATGCGACGTGACAAAGTAGGAAAATACGACTTGAAAATAGGTAGGCCTTTTTTCGTGGCTGGGATAGACCGTTGGCTGCGTTATGGTTTGGCTTCAAACGATCATTCATGAATAGTAGGAAGGTCGACAACAGATGCAAAGTTCTTGCGGTCACGGGGCCCCTGTGGCAAAGTCCGCGAGCGGCCCGATAGGCAGGTATGATGCAAGCCTGCCGATGGAAGTTTCAGTATGCAGCCGCATAACTTTGACAAGAACCAACGAATGGTCGGGTATACAGTACCTGCGGTCTGTGTACTTCATGCGACACGACATAGTGTCCTCGCAGGCATCCCGTCTCATTGATTGACCTGCGGCATCTCTCCTGGCCTGCAGTCTCGGCATTGGGTCCGCGTCTAACCAATCGACGCATCACAGCGATTCAATATTGATTCGTGTGCCGTGCTGCTCCCCTGGCTGTTAGGGGATTGCCCACGGGGCACCATGAATTGTTTCCACAAAGGAGGAATTAGCTGCGGAGCTGAATGCAGCTGCTACCATGGTTGCGCAGATTTTTCTCGCGAATGACGTGAGAGACATCTCGTCAACTGTTGCTGGCTCGATGGCTGGTGTTGTCCGATCGATCAGGCCCAATGTCCTTCATTTGGCGAAATGAGACAAAAGGATCGGCATGAACAGGGTTGGGGTTCAGCGCGGCCCGTCCCATTCGGGCGTCAATGCAGTAGGGCTTTCCGAAAACGACGTGCCGCTTGGCGTGCCGCTTGAAGAAGTCACCGGTGGCTCTGTACTTTGCTTTTGTTCTTCTCAAACAGCTAGGTGAGGATGCTAGTCCTGAGCTGAGTAGGACGAAGAAGGTCAAGACCTGCAGCCAAGCGGCCCGGAAACGGTTCATGCTGCTCCGCATAGCCACCGCAGAGCCAAACATGAGCCGCTGTGGCCCTGTCCGACCCAAGGATAGGACGGCCTATGATCCAGCGCCGAGGTGTGATATCTTACAGCTGCAAGTCGTTGATCGACGGACAACCTGCGCCAATACTACAGCTCAGCTACCGGCACGAACCCAGGCAACTTGGCGGACCGCTTCTTGCAGGCTGTTATACTCCACATGGAGACGGCTGAGGTGCAGGTCGATTGATTCGAGTCTCAGGCCAGCAGCAGTTCCCTCTCTTTCATGGGGTCAACGAGTCTCGGTGCTACGCCCAGCCACGACCATGGTTCACAGCGGCCGACTGGCCAGCTCTGATCCGACATGTTCGAGGACAGACTGCTTGCGGCATCCCAGGTGAAGGGTGATACAAGCTGCCGACCTTGGAGCTGAAGGGGCAATACTGTACGCCTAGATGTGATATGTAGCTATATAGATGCAGTAACGTCCAGTTCAAACAGTTCATGTGGCTTTTGGTGCGGTGTGTCAGGCTCATTAGGACCTTGAATACGTAAGTGTGCTCTTGCGTCGAAATCACTGGACAACTTCTTCCATCATGCCCGAAATCTACCACATAGCTCTGATTGGCATCGGCCACAGAGGCTACAAGACGCACTTTGCCAGTCTCCACGGATCGCCTTCCGAGTCGATTGTCGCCGTCTGCGATGCCAATAAGCAGACACTCAGTCACTTCTCTAGCAAGCATCCTGACATCCCAGCCTACGAGTCCATCGAAGAGCTACTCGCCCAACACAAGCCCGACTTTGCGCTCGTGTGTCTGCCGCATACAGTCTACGGGAAGTGCATCGATGCGCTTTCTGCAGCAGGTGTTCCGATTCTCAAGGAGAAGCCGGCGGCCAACAATCTTGACGAGTATGAGAGCCTGCTCAAGCTACCTGTGCCGATTGGCGTGACCTTTCAGAAGAGGTTCGAGCCGCGGTACCACCAGCTCGTCAGCCTTCTGCCTCTTCTGGGACGCGTTGTGTCCTTTCGTGCAGTCCTGGCACGAAACATCGAGAATCTGGCGTCGAGTTGGAGAGCGTCGGGAGTTGGAGTCGCTGTAAGCTTTGTTCCCGATAACTCCCCGGCGATGCTGCTGCCCTAACCCCATGTGCTAATTGGATATAGGAGGATCTGGGCATACACATGATTGACATCATCATCTGGCTTTTCGGCGAGCCGGATTCGCTCAACGCCGTCAAAATTGACGCTGTGCGGCAGTTTCAGAAGTACAGTGGTGACGACATTGCCGACATCTCTTTCAAATGGAACGACAAATCCCTCATCGGTAACGTGCACCTCTCTCGTGTTGCCCACGCCGATGCGGAGTCAATCACCATCACTGGAACAGCCGGCACCGCAATACTCAATGATCGCACAGTCACTCTGGTGGACGCTAGCGGGACCCAGATCGTGTCGGTCGACGACACATCATCAAAACAGATGGTCGTCAGAAGGATGGTGCGAGGCTTCGGCGACTTTCTTCATGGAGTGACCACTCGCTACGACAGCTCGCTTGAGAGCCACCGAAGCACTGTACGAGTGCTGGATGCAGCGAAACTCTCGTTTCTCTCTGAAAGGGGCGAATACGTTCCCATCGGCCGCGAAGGGGAAGAGCATTGCCCCTGGCCCATCATCACGCCAGAGATTGAGAAAGCCATCGTCGGCCAAGCTCATTCCTCGCTCTCCATATACAATCGCTCCAACATCTATGAGACATTCGAGGACAGGTGGCGCAGTCTCCATGGCGTCAAGCATGCGCTCGTCTGCAGTTCCGGAACGATTGCCATCCTCCACATGTTCGAGGCTCTGCAACTACAGCCCGGAGATGAAGTTTTGTGCCCTGTGTACACCTTCTTCGCTACGGCCACTCCTATGTTGCAATACGGCGCGGTACCCGTCTTCTGTGACTCACTGGAAGACGGGAACTTGGACCCGGACGAGATCCTCGCCCGCAGCACGTCCAAGACACGGGCTGTGATAGTCACTCACATGTGGGGCCTCCCCTGCCGCATGAAGAAGATCGTTGAGAACGCTCGGTCGGTCAACGACGGTATCAAGGTGCTTGAGGACTGCTCTCACGCACACACAGCCATGGTGGATGGCAAGATGGTGGGCACGTGGGGCGACATGGCGGCATGGTCGCTCCAGGCAAAGAAGAACATCACGGGCGGCCAGGCTGGAGTGTTTGCCACCAACTCGACCGACTATTACGCGCACGCCATCATGCATGGCCACTTCAACAAGCGCGCCAAGCAAGAGGTCCCCGAGAGCCATCCCCTTCGCAAGTTCTGGCTGACCGGTCTCGGCTTGAACCTCCGTGCTCACCCACTCGCCATTGCCATGGCCAATGTTCAGCTGTCGAACCATGCCGTCACACAGAAATGGCGCGAGCACTGGGCCCGACGCATCATCAGCCACCTGCAGGTCATCCCGTTTCTCCGCATGCCTGACGTTGCCAACCAAACGACGGATCAGCATGCCTGGTACGCGTTTGTGATGCAGTTTGATGCATCGCAAGCGCCCGCAGATCTCAGTCGCGACAAATTTGTCAAGCTCTTAACCGACAAGGGTCTTTCCGAGGTGGACATCCCGCGCAGCACCGGCCTGCTGAACAGCCTCCCGCTATTTACTGAGACAGCCAAAGCGCTTCCCAGGTTCGGCACACCGGGGCCGTGGGGGAAGCCACAAGACACAAGCGAGTTTCCGCGGGCACTTGCTTTCTATAACTCTGCCATCAAGCTGCCGATGTGGTCGCGAGGCCAGGATGAGGCGATCGTTGATCGATACATCAATGGATTCGTCGAAACTGCTCACGAACAGCTCCACGGCACGTCATTCCGCGCGCCGAGGCGCAACACCATTCAGGCTAGGCTATAGACTATGTACTTCGTAATTTATGATCTGTTCTCATGTGAACACGACGCCATGGCCCTCGTGCCCCCAGTCTTGTGAGGTGCCCAGTGAAGTCTCAACCACATATCTCCCTAGCCTGACAATGGCGTGGTGCAATGATAGTTGTAGCTCTTACCGGTGAAGCCTAAGGTTGAGACGTAAAGAATCGCAAACTAGGAGCCTCGGACAGTAGATGCATGCTTGCAGGGGCGGTCACATCAATAGTATTAGCAATGAAATTACTGTACTGGCACGCAACCTGCGCTTACACAGTATTCTGCACAACCGTAACATCGCTAATATGCAGGCGGTGGCCAGTTGCTGGGGCGGCGGTATACCGATCCGACCAAATCATAGTTCATGGTCCCTGTTGACGTTCGCAGCTGTGCCTCTTGTCTCACGATGCGTGCTGCGTCGACAACACATCCTTGACAACAGGGGCCAGGACAGCGATGTTGCGAGCTTTCGTGCACATTGGAGTCAGTCGTCATAATTAGGATCAAGTGTTATGTAATTTGTCCCGGGGCAGGCGGCACCGTTCCAAGACATGCATGCAGGCTGGATGCTGTGCTCACATCCCCGCCCGAAAGTATCTGGTACCAGCCTTCGATGTTCTCAGCTGAAATAAGGACTCGCCCGTACAAAGAAAAGCGTGCAAGGGCTTCCGGTGGTCTCGGCGCTTCCGTCACACCGTCCCCTCTCCTGGCCGTTTTGGTGCTGTGTTGGGTGTTGGTTCTTCACCGTTGGCGCCAAAGGTTACATGGCGTCACACCGGAGAATTTTTAGGGGGATTGTCCGGCGTGCGCGGCTGAGACCGGTGCTGACTTGCTGACTGTGCTGTGGCTAGGAACTGCTACACGGCTTTTTGCCAGAGCAAGATTTGTTTCCAGAATTCACAACGGGCGTGGTTCACGGGATTCCAGTCCTCGACTTGGACCCTTCGCGTGGAAGTTCTACAGAGACTCGGGGCTGCAGTCGCCTAATGCAGCAATGACTTTCACGGAGCTGGTGTTCTTGCACTTCAATGACGTTGTGGGTGCGACTTCTCAAATGCCTTGAGGCGCCGTACTCACCGACCTTCCAGTACCACATTTCCAAGCAAGCAAGAATCGCCCGGTTCTGGACGCAATTACAATTGTATCGCAAGAAATACGCCCATTCATCTCCTTACACCATATTCAGCGGCGATGTGTTTTCACCTTCTTTGGAGGCCTCGATCCTTCGGGGCGCCCACATGGTGCCTCTGCTGAGAGAGCTGAAGATTGACCTTGCCTGCTACGGGAATCACGGTACGAAAACAATAGGCACCGGCAGGCGAACCTATACTAACCAAGCTGCTCCCAGACTTCGACTTTGGTGAACAACGGTTGTCTGAGCTCACCGCAGAGACCAATTTCCCTTGGCTATTGTCAAATGCATTTCGACGCAGCAGCAGCACCGCGTCCGACAGCTGCAACGGCACGGAGCGAAGGCACAGCGATGGCCATCTCCTTGCAGGTGCCGTCAGGTACCACACATCCGTCTTGCAAGGCTTCAAGGTGGGCTTTTTCGGCCTCGCCGGGACGTAAGACTACCGTCATGATCCAGTCGTCTGAGCTCTGCTGACGAAACGCAATGGCAGCGACTGGCCTTCGAACTGCCGAGAACTTCCTCACTGCACTATCGCGTCGCCGGTCGACGTGTCTCGAGCGTGCGCCCGCCATCTTCGCCAAACTGCGAAATGCGATTTCGTCGTTGCCCTCACCCATATGCGCCTGGCTGAGGACATCGAAGTGTCAGAGGCACTTCGCACAGGACCCCTGCAGGAGCGCGTCGACTTGTTGTTGGGCGGTCACGACCACGAGCTGCTCCGGCGATACGGCGGAGAGGTCTCTGCTCAGGGCAAGAACCCAATGGTCATAGACTGCAGCCATTCGGGGCAAGACGGCCTGAAAGGCCCCGTCGCCGAGGTCCCGGAGGCACGTGGCGACATCAGGATCGTCAAGAGTGGCTCTGACTGGCACTCACTGTCCTGCGTGCGACTGCACGTTGGTCGCACGCCTGAGGGTGTCGCCATGCTGCAGTCCGTTGCCGTGGAGCAAATCTTGGATCTGGCGGCCATTCAACTTGACGCAGATGCTCTCTCAGAAAGTGAAACGAGAGTGAGGGAGTGCCTCCAGGGCGTCAACGATCGCATCGACGAGCTCGGTGCAGACCCTCTCGTGCATACGACCGTCGATCTCGAGGGCACAGGCACTATCATTCGTTCATCAGAGTCGAACTTGGGGAACATGCTGGCTGACATTGTGCGCGCATATTATTTGGTCGACATTGCCCTCGTCAACAGCGGCAGCATTCGATGCGGCAAGGTCATCCGAGCCACAGCCTCTGAATCACAACCGTCTGAATCAGATAAACCCTTGACAGTACGGGACTTGATAGAGATTCTTCCCTTTGACAACGCTCTCATGGTCAAGCGCGTCACCAGCGACGTTTTGTTGGAAGCTCTAGAAAATTCGTTCTCCGATGCCCACACCGACGGACGGTTCTTCCAGTATGCAGGCCTCACTGTTGTCGCTGACTGGAGGAAGCCGGAGGGCAGCAGGGTCCTAGAAGTTTGGGCCTGTCCGGACAAGACAAAACCAGAAACTCGGAGTCGTATTTGCCGAGGAGATGGTCGCAGCTTCACGATCGCTATGATTGCCTTCATCGCAGAGGGGTTCGACGGGTATACCTGCTTCAAGGACCAAGAAACCTTGGTCACTGAGGAAGGCGCTATTACCGACACGCAGCTGCTGTTACGTACCCTCGGGTATGGGCATGACGAAGAGACGAATAGCCATGACGAGGCAGTGGACGAGGACGAGGCCCGTTTTAAGAGGGCGCGCGAGCACATTGTCACGAAGTGGGATCGCCTCGGCCTACCGATTGTATCGCCAGTCATTGAGGGACGCATCGTCACGAAAGGCGGCCGGTCAGTGTTGACGTAAGTGGTTGAGTCAACCTTATACACTTCATGTTGGGACTTAGAAACTGAACTTTAAAGACATAAACTGTAAAACTTGCGAGTGTCAACCTCGTACAAGCCACAATGGTGCTTCGAGTACCAGGGGTCCATCCTGCTCTGCATGGTTCGCAGGACAGGCCAATTATGACACCAGGATCTGGCATGGGCTACATGTAGTTGCTCATGCGGGTTGTGTTGAAGTGAAATGCATCAGGTCGGGGGATGGGGCCCTTGCTCAACACCAACTGGGCCACAGCTACCGCTGCCGCCCTGATGGATCGCTTGAGCGTGCTCCGTTCGACATTTCCCCAGTTATCCGACACGTGGAGCGGCAAATCGTCACGACCTGCAGTGTTGCCCGTAGATATCCCGCAGGTGGGTATGCCGCGCTCGACGAAGCCGATGTGGTCGGACACGGTGGTGAAGTTGCTACAGCTCACTGTTAGCTACAAAGAGCCTCCTGCGCGTCAGTTTTCGAGATGCAAGACATACGACACTTGAGGAACGACTCCCTGCTCCTGCAGCTGCTCGAAGAGCACAGTCGCGCCGTAAAGGTCGGCGTCGTTGTTCGCATGGACCGTATAGTTCGGGTGGGGGGTTGCCATCTGATCGAAGTTGAAGTAGAATGCGATTTTCCTCGCTTCCTCGTCGCTCAGCTGTGATACGTAGTGACGAGAGCCGGCTTGGCCAGCCCTATTCTGTTGTAAGAAAAACGCCGATTGACAATTGAGAGATACGATGCTTACTTTCCAGCCCCCCACCACGCAAATCGCACCTTATTTGTGATATTCTGGTGTTGGGCAAAACAATGCAGGATCTGTAGCACTGCAGCTGCGCCAGAAGCATTATCATCCAGGCCCGGACCACCGGGAAAGGAGTCCAGGTGCGCTCCAAGCATGATGACCTTGTTGGGATCACCTTGCTTGGTCTCAGCGATAATGTTGAGGACCGTTCGGTCCTGGACGGTGGTGTTGACTGCAAGGGTCGCTGTCATAGCCTGACCCGTTTTGAGCGACTCGATCCACTTGAGGCCATTTTCCCTGGTCGTGATGCCGGCTGGCACCACCTTTCCGATGTCCTGTGCCGAATTGACTGCATCACCGGTGGAAATGCCCTCAGAAGTATCCTGGTAGAAAATGACCGCCCGAGCGCCATGCTTTGTGGCGAGTTCAAGCTTCTTGGCCATAGCGCAGCCGCCTCGGTCCATGAGGAGAATGTTGCCTGTGGCATTGACGTTGGCCGCTTCCCATTGGTCTGGTGTGCACAAGGAACCACCAACGTGCTTCTGTAGGGGATCGATGAGCCGTCCGAAGACGCCATCGGGCGGCGTGGCAGAGTTGAACCTGAGCGACTCAACTTCATCATACTGGGCGGTTACGGTGCTGAGGCTAATTTCGTTGGTCCACTCGAAGGGGTGTGAAAATTTCCGAATGCTCATATCGAGCACTAGCTTATACGGCTGCAATTGCCCGAGAATGAGATCCATGGAGGCCTCGGAACCGGGGGTTCCAAAGGCACGATTGCCGTCATGGCGTTCGGCGATCTTGCCGAAGTCTCCTATCCAACGTTTTGTCCTGTACGAGGTCAACGCCAAATTTCGGATGCGCACATGCAAGTGCAGAATAAGCGTACGAAAGGGCATACTCATGGTAATCAACCACATTTAGCATCTGCTTAGGATCCGTCAGATTCCATTTTTCCAGTGCTCTCCCTCCCGCCAATGTGAAATCGGCAAGGCACGCGACCAGCAGAGCAATGAGTGACTCCCTAAACAGCATCATGGCGTGAGTATCGGTGTCCGCGTTATCGACACCAAGTCACTGGGATTGTGCGAAAGAGAGAACGTATTGGACCCAGAACAGACTGTGCGTGGGAGACGTTGACCTGCTTAAATAGAAGCCTGGGTCTGCCAGTAATGCGATGTGTCAACATCCCTAGCACCGTCCTTCCTTGGTGCATCAGTAGGATTCATATCAAGTAAATTCTCAGCTAGCTTAGGTTCGAAGCTTAAATGGTGACGATGATAGGTTGATGGGTTAAGGAGTTACCATTTGCCTCTACGTGCAGTAGACTTATTAGTGTACACGGTAATCACGGGCGCTGCTTGCCCACTCGACACCCAAAGAATCATGAAACCGCCAGCTGCGCTCGCCAGCCTCCGGCTAGCTGTAGTAGGAAAATCCACAGATGAGAAGCGGACTCGGGCACGCAGGACTGTGGTATATCTTGGGACCTCATGTGCTGTCGCGGAGACGAGACTTTGGGGCCGATGGCATCCACCAGATGGCTTTTGCAGCGGTGTGTCGACAGTCGTGGCACCGGGGCGAATGAGAGAGGACAGCACGCATGCACCTTTGAGATTCCTCATCGTGAACATGCTATCTTGGAAGCCATGGCACTACCACGAATTACATGTATTCGTTCCGTCGGCACTCGGCGCCATCTCCACTGGACCCAGTGACCTGCCCGTTCCTGTACGTCCCAATGATACACGGCCCTGGCAGAGTGCGTCAAACACACGACGCCACCGTCTTAGATGCGTGATGGTAGTCATCCTTTTGCGTTCCACTTGGCCTAGCGCCACTTAGTTGGAGCACATGGACTGTAGCGCTGCTTTGTCGGCAAACTTTGCAGCGCCTTCGTCATATATAGACTTTGAGCCCTGAGAACTTGATGCGTCCAACATCCAGAGACTTTTCGAGTGCTGATAATGCTGTCATCGAACTCGCCGTCTTCTACCATCTGAAGTCTCGTCCCTTAAGCCCATCCGTGGGCTCTAGGGCACCGATGCGAAATGCAGCCGCCGCATTCCATAGACCTTGCTTCTGGCCCGCGTAGCTCAAAACAGACATCACTCAGTCTCACTGACGGATCAAGATCGGCCAGTAAGAAGTTTCACGATAGATACCTTGTTCCACCTCCCCAAGCCAGTGGCCTCCTTCTTAGTTTGCAGTTTCCATTCGTAGTAAGTTTGAAGTCTGGCGGCGGATCGAGCCAGCGCCACTTCCTCATCAAAGTCGGGATATTCCCCGCTAGCCCGTAGTTCATGGTTCAGGAGTGACTCCTTGAGTCTGATATCCATAAGTCTGGTAACAATACTACAGGAAGAACCAGCCAAATACTTACATGTCTCGCGCACCGCTGTTGATGTTTGCCAGGGCCTTTACAGCTGCTCCGGGGACAGACGGCATTGGTTTCTCCATGGCCTTAGCGTAGTCTTCCTTGATTTCCCCCATGGTCATCGCGCCGGATGTGAGAGAAAGTGTTTTACGTGTGAAGCGAGTATGGTTCTGCAGTCAAGGGTTACTCAAGGAAGGGGGACGACATTGGAAGGTAGAGTACCCTGAACACTGCTGCTGCAACGCTTCCAACATCTGCTGAAGCCTGCGGTTCGAATCAGTGCTCATAGTTCATGGTGGGCCGGTTCCGAGGAGGCATAGACATACAATAACGGGAATGGTCGTGTCGGGAGGAAGACACTTGTCGAACATAGTGCTTGCTACGGCGCCGAGAAGGCCTTCAAAGTTCTCCATGAAGAACCCTGGCCTGAGGATTCTGATGTGCGGCGTGTCAGTCTTGGACAGGCATCTCCTCGCGGCAGGACAAACTACTTACACCCAATTCAGGCCCTTAGAGCCTAGCTCCCTGCAGTACTGCTCCACCCGATATTTGGCTTTGTGAGAAAGATCAAGCGATTTGTCTTCACCCAATCCAGCCTGGATGGCCGTCGAGTAAACGTATGCCTCAACATGGAACTCCAGAGCGATCTCTGCCATCCTCTGCAGACTCGTAACGTTCGTGTCTCGTGAGTTGTGACGGAACAAGCGGGAATAGAATGGGTACTTACCCTGCCTTGCTGCTCCTCATTGTCGGCACTTGCTCCCAGCCCAGGGTACGCAAGCACCGTGAACACGCCCCAGATCTTCCCGCTGTCTCTCGCGTCCTCGAAGATTCTCCGAATGCTTTCTATATCGTTCAGATTGCCTTCAACCAAGGTGATACTGTGCGCATGCTCATGCTCAGCTTCAAGCAGCGCGCGCGCCGGCCCAGATGCAGCATTGCGGGTAAGAGCCAAAACGTGATACTGCAGGTCGGTAGGGATATCAGTGGCGGCACGAGGGCTCAGGAGTGCCTGGATTAGGGAGCGACCCTGCTTCCCAGTGGCGCCCACGACGAGAACATTTCGAGGCGCCATCACATCACCGAGCAAGCCTCACGATGGGTCGGGTCGGCTGGTGTAACGGGTGGGGACGTTAGTCAGGGACTTGGGGGAGGGGATAGAAGTCAACACCCTCAATAAATATGCCGAATTGATGCAAGTCGGGCGGCAAAGAGTGAAGCAGATATTATGTCAGACCTAGCGGGCGGCAGGGATCGCCGCCATTGAACAGGCGGATAGCCAGCCGATTGTCGAGCGCTTTAGGGCACAGCGAACATGACACTAGTTTCGTAAACGGCCGTACAGAGTAAGATTCGCTCAGATGGCACGGCCGATCGAACAAGCATTGGCATGATGTGGAATCAGCCCAGAACCGGGCATTCGACGCCAACTACATCATAATTACCTGTTACATTACTGCCGGACCAGATCCTGTCCGCCCGCCAAAATGCAGGCCCAGTGTCGCACAACAGACTGCACTGCTGCAGGTACAGGCTGCCCCGGCACCTTTTGGGACAGCGGGACTCGGGGTCCAGGACTCAGGACTCCAGATGCGATGGTGGCGCCACACGGCTCTGTTGTCCAGCTCTGCTGGTCATCGATGCCACCCGTCGTCGACTCCAGTCGAGATGCACAGCCATAGGTGCATTATTCTCGCAACATATCAATAAACTTCGTCGAGCTTGGATTGAAAGAACATTTAGAGCATACTAACTAATGGAACATGGGCCCCTTCACGGTGCCGGCAATTTGACTTTCAGGATAGGGACAGGTGCACCACTAGTGGCGCAGTGGATTCTGGAACCTCGCCCAGCCGCCAGCATCATTGAGGCATCAACCAAGGCACTCCACATCATAACTACCGGCCGACTCAGACATCGGAATGTAGACGTCATATGCATCACCACTCGGATTGAAGTTCCCTTGGAAGCGGTCAAACAGAGGTGACCAATAGAGAACACCCTGCTGTCCGTCTTTGCATTGGATCAGGATAGTGATGCCGGTAGCACTGCTCACGCTGTAGTCGGTGGACACGGTAAGGCTGGCGCTGGCGGTGAACAAGTCGAAGAAGCCGGCTTCCAGACCAAACGAGGACTGAATGCCTACCGTCTTGGTGTCTGTTTCCGTGGTGGTATAAGAACTCCCTGCGGGAAGCCGGCCGGTCACCTGCTGGCGGGAATTGGGCGCCTCGACATTGTTGGTAACTACACTGAGCGTGGCGCTGTTGTCCTATGAAACGCCAGGGCTATTAGCTCGGAAGGCCAGAATAGAAGGAGAACAGACGTACACCAGATTGCTGTCTCTTTGCATTCTGCATTTCTGCAAGCTCAGCCCATGTAATTCCGTGCATCTCCAAACCTAAGCTGCGCGTAGATTTGTCGGGAGGGTTGTAAAGAGGGTCATTCCATGCCTGGACCTGGTACCGTCCGTCTGCTGTGTTCGACGCACCACCGGCCTCCTGACCGATAATACACTTGTCTGAAACAGCATTGTAGTTGTCATTGGCGACCGAGTTAGAGATGGGTGGCGAGCCGGCTACACGATTGCAAACAACAATCTGGCAGTTGGCTGTATGTTGACGGTCATTGACGGTGAGGCAGTCCGAGCCATCAGGGATTGATGTGGTGCCGCTTGGATTCGACGTCCAGCCCAGCCCCGCAACAAGCAATTCGCCTGGCCGAGAGTGGTCAGAACAGATTCATCCGGAGTACAACTCCACTCAAATGCGTAGCAAGTACGTTCATACGAGTCTAAGGCTTGTACTTACATGCATCGACATCTGGGAACCTCGAGCCGTCACACAGAACGCCTGGCTGGTCCTGGCGACGAACACCAACGGCAGCACTGACGCTCGCCGCGAACGAAAGGGTCTGCAAGATATGCATGGCTCTAGAGTTTTGGGTGTAGTTCTTTGGCTTAATAGTATGACTGAACAATGTCCAAAAGGCTGCTGGGTGGGTTTGATAACTTGGTCCAGAAAATGATGGACCTCTCTACCATTTATATAGCCTTTATGACTTCAATCGCAAGTCCATGATGTAATTCTCCTCAGAATTTTGTCCCGATCATCATTGAAGCCATTGGGTGCGCGCACAAACAGTCATGATCACCCAGCCAGCAACGGATTTGATACTCTTGGACCTCATCCCCGAAGCTCATCAGTTGAGTTCTGAATACTAGGTAGTCAAAACTACCCACCTCGTATTCCTCCATCTCAGCGCTGTCGATCATCTCGATGTGTTAAGGAATCCCCGATTCACGTCCGGGCCTCTGCTGACTGCCAAGAATCTTCTTTGGAATCATACTGAGCGGCCAAACAGAAGCACATGCACGTCCCGATCAACACTGACTTAATGTCCTGGTTTCCGGCGATATTCACGGGTACTGAGCCGCTGCTGGGCGGTGGGCTCTGCAACTACCCACTTTGTGTTCTTGCGGAAGACCAGTCAGGCTCTCGCGAGTCACTTCTAGTCATTTAACAACTGCTGGAACTGTTGAACGTCTCAGAGACTAGCATTTAAGCGACATTGCATTGTGTATCAATTTGCATCAACAAATGCCCTTTGCATAAGTCGTGGCGCAAATGTCTAGTGTTTGTACTCAACTCCGTGTGCCGAGCGGACGTGCTTTCAAGGGACGATGCGTCGTCGTTGCCGCCTCTCACCGATCGTACCGGTGGACACGGGAGGATTCTCTACCTTGTCAGGCCACTAAACGATACTCGGCCGGTTTCCGCGCCTATAGGCCGTTGCGCCACAAGGCAGCCCGAAGTAGAGGCCAGCTTCTCCGTGTCAGTGATGGCTCTCCTCACAACGGCTGTGGGATGCTTCGTGCACGTGTCCACCAGATGCTTCACTAAGGAGATCATGTGAAGCGAGCCTCGCATACCAGGTGTGACACTATACCATCGATACTTCCCATTGAGATAGTGCCTAAATGACGAGAGTAGTGTATCCAAGAGTAGTTCTCTATTTAAGAGTAACCCGTCTTTACAATGGAGTGGGGGCTGTTGCACCTTAGTAGCGCCTTCAGAGGTCCGCTTCTACCAGTGCCAGATCTTGGAACTCGAGGCGCCACAATGGACAATCTGTGCCGTTGAAGCGGGAAACGCAGGCACCTGCCTAGTTTGGAGGTGTCGCGTTTCTCGTGTTCAGCTGGTCGGGTACATCAGCCTGAATAAGTTCGGAGTACAAGAGCGCTGCACGGTCGACCTCCTGCCAGGCTCTGGTACTCCATCGCGATCAGACGTCACATCAAGTATTCTCGATCGCACCAAGGTGCTGTGCCGCACGCCGTCTTCTTTGCGCAAACGCGGCGCCCTCAGAAGATGCCTGACGCGAGGCCCGAGACCAATTCATCGGAGTGCGGGGATGGCTTGTTCGGGCCTGTGGTGTGGACAGAGGGGTGCCGCGGTGGTTTCGACTTCACTGGTATTACCGATCATGATCCGCCCGATGCAACTCAATACTAAAGCGTGTAGTCACATTTGAGGATAGCATCCTTGCCATCGTGCCGGCTGTAGCTCTGCTCCTGATAGCTTCACCACGAGCTGTGTACCTAATCCGGCGGGGAGACAAAACTCGGCGACGCGCAACGTACACACCGAAGCTAGTACGTGTCGATGTCTTATTCCCTGGTGGCGTCTGAGGTCGTTGACCAAGTATTAGGTGACTGCATGCCTCTTTCTGGGTCTGCAGTTAGGCCAGCTGATCACCGTCGCGCTGGCTGATGCCAAGAAGACACTTTCTTTGGCGGCCGCTGCTCTCAACTTCGTCGCCGCGTTTCTCATCGTGGTTCTTTGCGACATTGAACATGCCAAGACGATTCGCCCATCATTTCTTCTTTCGGCGTACTTGTTCACATCTGTGTTATTTGATGTCGCGCGGGCGCGGACTCAATGGCTCATGTCCAGCAACATCCCGTTCGCCTCACTGCTCTCAGCGTCGCTAGCGCTGAAGACCACTCTTCTCATCTTAGAGAACGTGAACAAGCGCACAATTCTCATAGGACCTGCACCTTCTCATGAGAGTACCAGTGGCCCCTTCAATAGGGGACTGTTTGTCTGGCTAAACTCCCTGCTTGTTTCTGGCTGGGCTACTGTCCTCACGAGCAATAGCTTGCCAGCTATTTACGAGAAGCTGTCTTCAGAGGCTTTACTGAACCGATTCGAATCTGGATGGTCCAAAGGTGCGTCGGTACGCAGTCAACGCTTCACGATTCGTCCTGCAGCTAATCCGCATCAATTAGCAGCGAACAAACAGACCAGACGACGGTCGTTATTTCTCCAAACAATCGTGATTCTGAAATGGGAACTACTTGGCATCGCACTACCACGTCTTGTAATCGTCGCTTTGACCATTTCTCAGCCTTTTCTCATCACGAGCGCCTTGCGCTTCCTGTCGATGCCGCCAACCCCGTCGAACATGAATCTCGGCTATGGCCTTATAGGAGCCTTTGCATTCGTTTACATCGGATCTGCAGTCAGTCTCTCTACGTAACCTGGCAGTCATACAGTGTTAAGTTAATCAAGTTAGGTCCTTAAAGCGTGGTACGAGCATCTTACCGCTCGGATCGGCGCCATGGTTCGAGGCGGCACTATCACTCTCATCTACCGCAAATTGCTCCTCCTACCAGCCAATGATGTCAAAGATTCGTCTGCCATTGCTCTCATGGGTAATGATGTCGAGACTCTTTCAGAGAAATTGCACTTCCTGCTTGTCGAGTCGTGGGCCAATACGGTCACCGTGGCGATCAGCATCTGGATGCTCTCGGACCAACTGGGAGCCGTCTGTGTCGCACCCGTCGTCTTGGCACTCGGTGAGCTTCTATCACAAGGCTTCTGGGCTCTCTCAGTCGCTCACACAGGTATCACCATCTTTAGTCTCGCTGGCTTCCTCAGGGGTTGTCGGAAGGATGATCGTGTCCCGCCAGACGCAGTACCAACAGGCGACACAGGACCGAATCAATTTTACTTCTGAAGTCCTAACCTCGATGAAATCCGTCAAAATGTTAGGTTACTCTGAACATTTTACTAAAGTAATAGAGACGAAGCGACTGGATGACATCCGTGCCGGAAAACACTACAGAAGAGCCACAACTCTTGGCAGCATGATATGTAAGGCAACTCATAGTGGCAATGGCAGCTTACTGTATCCGATTCCTACCGCTACTGACAGGCTCTCTACAACTAGCAAACGGCGTGGAGAGTATGACACAAGCTCTGACCTTTGGAGCTTACGCCATTGCTGCCAAGGTCAGCGGGAATCAGTCCTTCTCGGCCGCACAAGCTATTGCCGCATTGTCCATCTTGAACGTTCTCATAGATCCCTTGCAAGAGCTTCTCATGAGTGTACCGCAGGCATTTTCAGCTATAGGGTGCTTCAAAAGGGTGGAGGATTTCCTGTCCCTTGATGAGAGGACCGATCGTCGGTTGCTCCAGTCCTCTCACACAGCGTCCACGCCGGACTCGATCGACCCCGACGGAATCAACCTCAAAATTTTCGCCCGAGCGCCCAATAAACGGACCCCAATGGCCATCGAAGCAGGCAGCTTCTACTGGGACCACAAGAAGGTTCTGTCCGACATCAATCTGAGTGTTCCATCAGCTGCCTCAGGCTCGCTTACCATAATTACCGGCCCAGTCGGCTGCGGCAAGTCTACCCTCTTGAAGGGCATTTTGGGAGAGACAAGTCATAGGACGGGCAATGTGATTCTCTCGTCTCCGAATGTCGCTTTCTGTGACCAGACGCCCTGGATTACAAACGCTACGCTTCGCGACAACATCATTGGCGAGTCGAGATTTCAGGATGAGGGCCGGTGGTTCAATGCAGTCGTGGACGCCTGTGATCTACGAACTGATTTCTCACGACTACCCGACGGCGAAATTACCGTTGTTGGTGACAGTGGTGTGAAGCTCAGTGGAGGCCAGAAGCAGAGAATCGTAAGCTGATCTAGGTCCTCAGTGCAGACGGAAAGGAGTTGACAGGCCGTCTTCCCTCAGGCTATAGCCCGAGCTGTATATGCTCGCAAGCCTGTTGCAATTTTTGACGACGTCTTCAGTGGCCTGGACAAGATCACGGAGAGGACAGTGTTTGATCGAGTCTTCAGTCAAAGGGGCATCCTGCGACGTACTGGAACACAGATTCTCCTGGCGACACATGCTGGTAGGACACTCCACATCCAGCAATGATCCCTAAGCTAACTCTTGCTGAAAGTTCACGTTCTACCGGAAGCCGATGAGATCATAGTACTGGGAACAGATGGCCGAATCCTCGAGCACGGGCACTTTTCGAAGCTCCAAAAAAGCTCTCAGCATATAGCTTCAATGCGAATGGCGACAGAGGACGACGAGAACATGGAGGAAACAGTTGATGGGCAGGAAGCAGTCAGAGATCCGGTCGGCGAGTTCGAATCGCGGAAACGAGCGGTGCAAGAACAGGCACCGTCCAGCGACCGCAACACGTTCAAGTACTATTTTGCCACCATCGGACCGCTTAGCATGGCAGTCGCTGTCTTTCTTACCGGATCAACTGGTTTCTCCTCGACCTTCAGGGGTAAGTCTCAGCGAGTTTTGCGTATGAGAGCATCGATGCTAACACATCCCAACAGCCGTGTGGGTGACGTGGTGGGGAAACGGTCGAGGACATGAACCTAATGACTTGGCTTACTGGCTGACGATATACACATGTCTGGCTGTGTTGGAAGCCACTCTCATTACATTGGCAATATGGTCTGCTCGCCTGTCTCCTGCTACGTCCAGTACAAGGATACGTTCGTGCTGACTTTGACACAGCCATTTCGTCCTCTACATTGGCCCTACCAGCGGGCGAGTATTACACTCGAGAGTTCTCAAAGCAGTCATGGAGTAAGCTGGCAAGGCAAGCAGTCACTGAACTAACGCGCTGACTCTTTTGCAGAGCTCCTATGAACTTTCTTTCTATCATCGAGACTGGCTCGCTGGTAAATCGGTACTATCTGCATTCTTCTCAATCTATGTTCGCGACGGGGCACTCAAGCTGACGCCTTTCCCAGGTTCAGTCAAGACATGCGTTTCATCGACATTGCTCTGCCAGTCTCTCTTGTCATCTTCCTGTTTCGTAAGTGATCCAATTTGTGACACGATACCACTTCCTTGAGCTTACTGCAAGCTAGAAAGCGCCAGTAGTGTCGGCACTCTTGGCCTGGCAGTGGCTGCTGTACCCTGGATCGCGATCTCCGTCCCATTCATTGCGGCAACGCTCGTGATAGTCCAGCGCTTCTATGTCAGGACATCGAAACAGCTACGACTTTTGGAGTCAGTGCTCTCCAGCGCCGATCGCCCTCGACGTTTGCTGACGCCTATCGCAGCATTGAGCAGAAAGCTCCATTATACTCTCACTTTCTCGAGACAATGAGTGGGCTCTCCACGATTCGCGCCTTCGGGTGGGCTTCGCAGTACGCGGGCAAAACAGCATTACTCCTGGACAGCGCTCAGAAGCCATCGTATCTCCTGAGCTGCATTCAGAGATGGCTCACCCTCGTACTGGATCTAGTTGTGGCGGTTCTTATCGTGATGCTGGTTACCCTCGCCGTGTTGTTACGAAGCAAAGGTACCATTGATCCATCACTTCTAGGCATCGCGCTCGTCAACATGATGTACCTTGGTATAAACCTAAAGAACATTGTGCTCCAGTGGTCGACGCTGGAGACCTCTCTCGGCGCAGTGTCACGAGTCAAGGCCTTCTCGGAGACTACGCCTTCAGAACACTCACCATTAGAGATCGATGAGGCGCTCAATGGCTGGCCAGCTCGAGGCTCGGTACAAGTACAAGATCTCACAATTCAGTACGAGTGAGTTTGCACAATGCAGTGATCGCCCATATAAGCAGCTGACATTATTTGTTTTGCAGCGAGCTTGCGGGCCCAATTCTACGGGACGTGTCATTCTCCGTGAGCCATGGCACAAAGCTTGGTCTCTGTGGTAGAAGCGGAAGCGGCAAAAGTTCGCTCATCCAAGCCATTCTTCGAATGGTAGACATCTCCGACGGTCGCATTGTCCTCGACGGCAAAGACATTACTAACGTGCCACGAAACGCAATTCGACGGAGCGTAAACTGTCTAACCCAAGAGCCGTTTCTCTTCACAGAAACAATACGATTCAATGCGGACCCTCTGGGAGTCCACACGGATGATGAGATCGTCGAAGTATTGAGCAGGGTAGGATTGTGGACGGTCATTCTGGGCAGCGCCAACGGAGCTGCTGCGCCCCTGAATGAGAAAATGACTGCATCATTCTTGTCCCATGGCCAGAAGCAGCTCTTCTGCTTGGCCAGAGCTCTCTTGAGCCGAAGCTCTGTCCTCATTCTTGACGAGCCCACGAGCAGGTACGTGTCGGGCGCCGTGCCGTCTTAAAACACGAGCGGAGACTGACAATCGCCACAGCGTGGACAGCCAAACAGATGCCAAAATCCAGGAGATTGTTAGGTCCGCCTTCAAGAATTGTACGATCATCATGATCGCGCATCGCTTGGAAAGTCTGCTCGACTTTGACTGGGTTCTGGTTCTGGACAAGGGCAGGCTGGTTGAGCAGGGGAATCCGATCGCGCTTCTGGCCGACAAGGAAACGAAGTTTGCTGCATTGTATAGAGCGGACAAGACGAGGAAACGAACCTGAGCATGGTGGCCTAGTGTTCGCAGTAAGGGTTTCTCACACAGTAATTGAGCGGGATACGATACAACGCCTGGGTTTTGATCCCTACAGTGACCTGTTAGCTGCCGCAAATAGCCCAGAGACGAGCTATCCGCAGCTCACAACACACCTGTCGCGCAGAGTTTCCGGATCTCGGCGCTGCTCAGGGGCAGGTTAGCGGAGCATACGAACGTCCACAGCGCCGTTAGGGCATGAACAGCTTCGGCTCCAGCACTAGCATGATCGTCAAAGGGCGCAGTGCGGGGCTTCCTTTGGAGGGGCCAGGGCTCGTGTCAGATCATCGCGGCCAGCGACCGCAGAGCAGATTTCTCCGCCCATCGAGCCGACACCAGTTCACGGAACTGCCTTTCTGTGTCCGACATCCCACGAATATAAGCGCCAAGGCCAACTTCTTTGCGCCTCTCATCATGAAGACACTGGGCCTGCTCGGCGGCATGAGCTGGGAGTCGACGACGACATACTACCAGGAGATCAATCGCCGCGTCCGCCACGTTCAAGGCGGCTTGCATTCTGCTCGATGCGTCATCTTCTCCTTCGACTTTGCCGAAATCGAAGCGCTGCAGCATGCCGACAAATGGAAAGAGGCCGGCGACCTCCTGAACGACGCAGCGGCCAAGCTGAAGCTCGCGGGCGCGGACGCCATCGTGCTGTGCACCAACACGATGCATTTTGTTAGCGACGGCATCGAGGCAGCCTCGCAATTGCCTCTCATTCACATTGTCGATCCGACTGCCGACCGAATACTCCAACGCGGGTTTAGCTCCGTTGGGCTATTGGGCACGCGCTTCACGATGGAGAAGGAGTTTTACATGACACGGCTGGCCCAAAGGTACGGCTTGACGGTCATCGTCCCTGATGAATCGGACCGCGCCATTGTTCATTCAATTATCTATACCGAGCTTTGCAATGGGATCATCGCCGAGGCGTCGCGAGAAGCATACAGCAAGGTGATCAGGAACCTCGCAAAGGCCGGCGCAGAGTGTCTCATCTTGGGCTGTACAGAGATTGGGCTATTGGTGAACGAGGCAGACTGCGAGCTTCCAGTGTTCGACACGGCGCAAATACATGCCACTGCTGCCGCGGACTGGGCCATGTCAATTGAACCCGCCAGCAACAACTAGCTCTGCGACCTATCCCGCTGCGTACTGGCTGTGACCGAAACGGTCACGGACAAAAGGCTTCGGCGCGTTGTAGAGCCGACAGATACCTATTATGTAGATTCCTTCTAGATGACAATGTCTATAGACGAGCTTCAATGGTTCCCTCGAGGAGCACTAATGTATAGACCGTTTCCGGGATCGGTGTCCGTCGCTGTTGTGATTATGGTGAGTGAATGCCCTGGTTCCCGTGGAAAGTGCCAGATACTCACCTCTGTAGGGAGCCTGAGCAAGAGTAACACAGCTGAACCGAACATGCCATTTGCGCAGCAGCGAGAACATGCATTGGGTCAAATAGGCGTCCCTAAATGAGAGGCTGATGAGGAAGTGGCTCCATGTTTCGCGAGTGTCGGAGTCGGGCACTGCCCCCGGAATGAGGCGCATGATGGGTCTTCCAGCGTCGCGAGGGTCGAGCACCTCGACACTAGGGCATAGAAGCCTCGCCTGTAGCTCTGCCTGTAGACTTCTTCCATGGCTTGTTCGGGAGCTGACCCAGCAAACTTCAATCTTGTGCTCGTTCGGGGGGCGCATCAATTGCGCTCGGACTCCAGCTTTGCGTTCGGCGTCTCGCAAAGTTGTCGCCGGGTTCAGATCCGGGAGCGGTGGGCCGGTAGGGCATTCACCTGATTCTGGGTAGGGGGAATTCCCTCCCTCTGCGCTCGGGTGCTGTCCCCTAGGTAGAATCATGGCTGGCTGGACGCGTGTGTAACGGTAGCCGTTTGTGATAAACTCTCTTATTGATGTGGTGGTTGGGCGCAAAGCAGTGTTTGTGTGCTCTGGCTGCTTGATGATAAGCGGTTCGTTCGTGACTCTTTTATGAGTTCTCTTGCGCGCTTTGCCAACATGGAGCTCGTCACGGCCGTTCCCTTTGGTCATTGCTTTCGACAAGCTGTCGAAATTCGAGACACATACACCATATTGTCGATTGTCCAAGTTGTGTTTCCGTTATATAAGTATTTGCCGTACTAGTAGAGGGCGGGCTTCCGCAGCCACCGTGAGGACCCTTTGTGGAGCGGTGGCATTGCTCAGACAATATCCCACGACGCTGTTAAATTCAGCATTACGAATGTTAATAACGGTGTAGGCTCGTCGGCTTATATATGTTACTTCAATTTTTCAGTTTCAGAGGCTTGCAGAAACCTTCAAGAACGATTTCGCGCGAATGTCACATGGGTCAGACGCGCGCCGAGCACGCACGGTTCAGTGCAGTGTCCACACCGCAGCACCCGCTAAGGCAAATCTGCGCCTTAATACTGCAGCATGCGATCGACATGACGGCTGCCTACATGTCGCAGGATTCAGTTTGTAACTAGCCTCGAAAGCAAACCGTGGGAAGACGTAATGAAGAAATGGCAGTTAATAACGCGTCGGCTTCGTGGTCTTCTTCTATGGTATCGTCTAGTCGGATATTTGCGCACATACAGGAGCAGCGAGCGACGCCTCCCTAAACCAGCAACATGACGGCCTCGCTATCCGGGACGACTACAGAGGCAACACCATTCTTGACCTTGACCACCTTCTCTTCAACCTTGCCGCTGCGAAAGTGTCCCTTACCAAAGTCCACGCCGTGGCTCCACTGCTCACCAGCCCACGAGACGTTGCTGGTCGGCCCGCCAAAGTCGTACCCCATGGCCGCGACGCCCTTGTCGGCGCGCAGCCGCCTCACCTTGACTTCCTTGACGCCGGTGCCGACATTGACCTGGAAAGTCATGCGCTCCCTTTTCGCACTCGCCGTCCCGTTGTACAGCCTCATGTTGACGAGCGCGACGCGCTGAAGCTTGCCCGACTTGTTGTCGTACATGGCGTACGCGCTCGTCAGGTCGCCCCCTGTCTTGATCTCCTTCACCGCGGAGGGTTCCCCCTTGCCGACAAAGTCGGCTACGAACATGGCTGCGGGAAACGGTGCCCGGACTTGGGGGCCGGGGCTCGGCTTGCCGCCGGTGTTGTCTGGTGTCCAAAAGACACGTTTGGCGTTTGGGCGCCCGGCCAGGTTCGTCACACGGGCCACGCCCCGCGCCATGGCCGCGAGGTTGAAGTCGACGGCCCAGAGCGTGTAGCCGAAGCCGTCCGAGAAATGGATTTCAGCACCGCCGAGAACAGCCGAGTCTTCGGTGATGGCGTAGTCCAGCTTGCGATCGTGGGTGGCTTTGATGCTGGGGGTGTATGGGCCGAAGCGCTTCGTGATGGCAGTGTGATTGATCATTTGGCCTGGCAGAGTCAGTACGTGCTTCGGTGGACACTCTTCGGTGGTTGCCAGACATACTTTGCATGGTGTGGTCCGTCCAGGGATGCACCCCCGAGATTTGGTACCAATGCTCTGCTGTTGTCGAGATTCGGCCATTCTTGTTGATATTGGCGTTGAGAATCTCCTTTCTAGAACACAGTCAGGTCAAACTGCCATGTTATTACTGCGTAGATATCGGACTTACACTTGGTATAGTTTGTTGCCAGTGACGGTTCCACTGGCTGTGTTCCCAGCCTCGAAGATCTTCGCCGCGTCACCTTGCAAACCCAATTTCTTCACAATGCTCTCCTGCAAGCTCAAGGCAGCATCGACGTAGGCCTTGGCGCCGGCTTTGTAGATGAATTCGACCTCATTTCCAAGTGCGATGGCTTGCACCCGCTTCCCGGCATCCAGATTCTCCCACGCACGCGTCACAAACGCCAGGGTGTTGGTGACATTGATGGGATTGCCGAGTGGTGCCTGCACGATGAACTTTGCATCCTTGAAGCGCTTGTAGCCGTCGAAGAAGCTCGGCCCCAGGAGGTAGCTGGCATCGTGGCTGTCGCACTTGCCTTTGAAACACACCTTGTCCTCCTTCTGGTGCGCGTCGAAGAGGAAGTAGTCGCCGCTCGTGCCGCCGATGCGCATCACAGGCGGGGCGCTCATCCGTGCGGCGAGGGCGCTAACGAGATTCTCAGAAAAGTCATTGTCGAAGTTGTTGAGGAAAGCGGACTCGATGCCGAAGCCCACGAAGTTTTTGGGTACGACGACGGCATCGCCGGGCTTGGAAGGGGGAACGGGAATGGGATGTGCGTCTCTGGGGGCAATGACGGTGGCGTGCGCCGCAGCTCCGACACAAGTCAGTGTTGCAGCAATCTTCATTTTGCAAAGAATGATGGGAGTGCCGTTTCTCTGTTGCCATCTCAGTTCATGAAGACATCCGGGCCGTCGCTATATAAGTGGTGTGAGTTCGCGCGATAGTTCCTCATAGAGGAAGCCGTTGTTGCGGCTAGGGGGTGATCAACAGCGCGTCAGAAGGCAGTGCTGAGCTGACTGCACATCGTTGCCCGTTGCGATGTGCCGGGGCATGTCACAGCGGACTACGAGGTCCAGAAAAAGAACACGCTGACCACCACTAATTGAGGCTCAAATTATCCAGGCTCTTCTCCCCCAGAACAGCCTCAAACTGACGTCAAGAATCATGGTCATTGAAGGTCTACCAGCTGGAAGAGTGGGAACGTATAGCAGACTGCGCCCGTGTGCGAGGGACGATCGGACTGCCGCCCTGATGAAGAGCCCGGCAGGTCCGGCAAGTAAAGCGGACCGCTGGGGTCGGGCCGTCGGGGCGTCAGGCACGCTGCTCTCATTACTGTTGTTGATTCGATCAAATTGAAGCAAACCAGGCGATCCCACAGCACTTCCCAGCGAGACAGGTCCACTCGTCAGCTCTGGCCTGTTCATTGTGATATCACAAGGTATTAATAGCAAGGTGGAAGTACTCGGCACTGCATTTTTCGTTCGTAGTAGCGACGGCAAAGTTGCCTTGATGGAAGTCTGGCCAGATCAATGCCCAATGTACGGAGGACCTCCCCCTTTTGTAGTGCCCAGTCGCCACTTGTTCGCGCAGACGACAAACTCTCAGTGACACTTGGCCCATGGCCCGGACCCCGTGTCCCCTGAAACCGTGCACGTACCGATCGTCGGAGTGCACTTTAGCGATAAAGACCATCCAACGTCAGCAAATGACTCGTGGCCCATTCTTCGCATCAACTAGAAGGACACTCACTCTTATCGGGCCCTCTTCGCACAACCTGTGCATGAACATCTCAAGGATTGTCGGACGGGATAGATAGTTGGGGTTATCGAGGCTAAGGAACAGCCTCGAATAGTAGCATACTTGATCCGTATGGTCGCATTTCTTTGAGACAGGAGTTCAGGTGCCAGTCTTCGGGTGGGTGGTGGCGAAAGGACTCAACTTACTCCTACGATTGGCTTGGCGTTTTGTTCGTCAATGTAGGCCTGCCTCTGTTCGTTGTTCCTAAACCTGCGCGTGGTGTTGTGCTTGCGCGAGCCTACGAGCTCCAACGCCGTCACGCCCTGGAGCGTCAGAGCGACTAGGACTAGTTGAGCCTTCATTGCTGCTGCTGCAGTTTGGGATCCGTAGGAATGGGGAGTGGATGGACGTGGATGCCTTGGAAGGAAGGCAGTGTCGCCCCTGTGCCTGCGCCCTTGAGGAACTTTATAGGTATCGCAAGTCGCGCCCCGTGACCACCGGTAGTATCGCCATAGAGATGGTATGGGCAGACGCAGCTTTAGGTAAAAGACGGGCGATTCGTCTCACCTGCCGAGAAGCAAGCGTTTTGGAACTTGCAATGACGGTGCGCTGCTCTCCACCGAGACACCGGACTTGTGATACAATGACGTATGCAGAGACGCCCATGACAGTTCCTATGAAGGCAATTACAATGAGCTAGAGAAAACCGACGCTCATCTGTCCTCTGTATGCAGGCATGGTCACTCAATCGTTAGCTAATTGTGGGCGGCTTTTATGTCACGAGAACGCGCCGAGGCGCCGAGGCCACGGCGTCAAACAGTCGAATTGACCACATCCTCCAGCCCACCATGGGGAAGTCGCACGGACATCAATTCACGTCAGAGAACACGATCATCTGGACCCTGTCCATGGTTCATGCCATTCTCTGTTTTCCGTTGTGATCTGTGCATCGACAAGTGTCAGCGAGTCTTCAATGTTGCCGGTTTGCGACTCTACCGCCAGTCTCAAACTTGCTGGTCGAAATGGGAAATTGAGGCCGCGAAGTTCTCTCAAACTTGCGCTGCAAAGGCCGACCCTGCTCCAGACTCTTCTGACTATTAACGTGCGGCAAGTGATAGTGCTGCCCTCGGAGCGGCCTGTCGCGAAGTATGCGTTGTGATTGCGCGGATGTCGTACGTGCAGGCACACGGAGTTAGTTGCCCGTCAGCGGTCATACCTATGCGAACACCCTCAATTGGCCAGAATCGCCCATTTCGCCGCAGAAAGCATTTGATCGCTACAGCTCTCACTGAAAACCCCAATGCTTGAACAGTGAGGTCGATCTACCTTGCGTCAGCGGGGAGCGACGATGAACAGCGCGAGGGGAATCGCCACATCGCACCACTAAAGTCGCACCGCCGCAGCCTGGTGTAAGCAAGCATTTATGCTTAAAAGAAAGGCGCCACGGAGCTGGGGTCTAGATGCCAATAGATTGTGCCCACCGGCGGTCGCCTCAGGCGAGCAGACTGCGCAAGAAACACGTCGCCTTGGCATTCTGGCTGTGGTTGACCCTGTGAGTCAACGGCGACTACTCCTTTCGGCAAGGCAGGCATTAATATGGACGAACCGGCCGACCCGGCTACCGTATCCAAGCGACAGCCAAGCTGCTGCGGCTGGCGGGATTGGGGGCAATTCCGCGTGCCAAAACTCTCCAAGTACCCGAGTCCAGCCTCCATTCCCAACTGTGACGCGTCTCCAGGTCCTTCCTGTCTTGTCGCGATTCTGACAAGCAGCCTGAGCTCCAGCGCGACGGGGAGATACCGCCATGGCAGTCCCAAATGGCACCCGACCTGAGCGACAGAGCGGTATGTCGAAAGGCGCCAAGCCCAGACTGATCCGTAAATTGGGATGCTTGTATGTTTTTGCCAGTTGCTTTAACATTTGACGAACCTTGGCCGATGAGCTGACTTCAATCGCAAGGGAGCTCTACCAGGCGTCGCTGCATGTCCTGGGCATGTACTGCGGCACCAGCGTGGCATGCACCTATCGCATTCCCGACAAGATTGCCTCGACAGGCGAAGAAGCACTCGAGGCCGCTCTCAATACAGCAATCGCGCAGACCGTCTTGCAGTATCCCGTACTACAGGTCGGCATCTACAAGGAAGATTCGCGCAGGCCATCTTACATGCAACTCGACACCGTGGATCTAAACCAGCACGTACAATGGAAAACGCTTGAATCTGAAGATGATGTCGATGCGGCTGCTCTTGAGACGCTCATCACGCAGATAGACACCAAGTTCCACGACATCGAGGCGCGTCCGCCGTGGCGCATCACCGTCCTCCGGCGACGGGGCTCGCAGGCAGTTGAAGTCAATTTCGTGTGGCACCACGCCCTCGCAGACGGCATGAGCGGCAAGATGTTCCACGAAACGCTCCTGCGGCATCTCACGGGCGCCGACGATGGCTCAGTAACGCCAGGCGAGAGCCGCATCCTCGATGTCTCGGGCTCGGCAAAGCGCTTCCCGCCACCAATGGAGAAGATGGTCAAGTACCCAGTCTCATTCGGCTACGTTCTTTCCGAGCTCTGGAAGGAGGTCCGGCCGCCGAAAGCTGGCTCCGCAGCGGATCAGGTGCTGGCTCACTGGGCGCCATTGCAACTGCAGCCGCCCGAGACGGATATCCGTCGCGTACGATTGAGCAACGAAAGACTGCGCATCGTCCTTGCCGCGTGTCGGCAGCATAATACAACGCTCACGGGACTGCTCCACGGGATCATCGCCGTGGCGCTTTCGTCGTTGCTGAGCAAAAAGCAGGCGCCGGGGTTCCTCGCCAAGACGGCCATGAACATGAGGGTGCTTACACCAGCGTCGGGCAGCCTCGTGCCAAAAGAGACCATGGCGGACATTGTATCGGTGGTCGGCCACACGTTTGACCCCGACGCAACGGCTGCCATTCGCAGCAAGATCGAGACGGCCGCCTCTGAGTCGTCGGAACAGAGCAGGCGAGGGACGCTTGCGGAGGCGATTTGGGCCTCTGCGGTCACCGCGCGACAAGACATCAAGAAGGTGCTCGACCAGGGGACCAAGGACAACATCATTGGCGTCATGGGCTTTGTCCCCGACTGGCGGGATCACGGCAGGAGCGTGGCGAAGAAGCCGCGAGACTCAGCGTGGGTGATAACTAACCTGGGGGTTATCGACGGAGGGTTGAGCGGAGAGGACGGGGGTGCGTGCATCAGGAGGGACGACAATTGGCACATCGAGGGGGGAACATTCTCGATCAATGCGCAGACGACGGGAGCGGCGATTTCGGTCTGTGTGATCGCGGTCAAGCATCGTGAGCTCGTCTTGGATGTCTGCTGGCAGCGGGATGTAATAGACAGCAGGATAGCGGAGGGTGTGGCCCAGGCCACCGAGGACTGGTTGACATACTTGGGGACAGACGGGCCGAGAACATAGAGGTGGACGCTGGCGACAGGAATCGCCATGCACAGAGGCCCGGGGCCACCACCAAACTCCCCTCATACATGTAGACTACCGCGTCTTGTCAAAGTACTCATCCCACGCATCTTTTTTCCGCCGAATCACCTTTGTCACCTCCGTCGTCAGCGTCGCCTCATCCAACCATGGCATGATCCTCTGCTCCAGGTCGTGCTTCCAGTAGGGGCTCAAGTCCCTCATCCCGCGGCGCACCGCGCCGTCCACCGTGCGCACGAGGCACCGTCCGTACGAGTCCCATCGGGGCGCGTTGGGCGTCACGCCGCGGCTGTTTCCCTGGGAGAGCACGTCGCCGGGGATGATGGCCAGGCAGTCGACGTGCTGCGTCGCGCGGTTGATGCTCAGCTCGCGGGCGACGCCGCGGCTGAAGGACAGGTTGAAGCCCTTGGTGGCACCGTACATGGCGAGATAGGGCGTCCCCACGTGCCCGGCCGAGCTCATGTTGAGGATCAGCGACCGCTCGCCGGGGCGGGACGGCGTGCGGCTTAGCAGGGGGAGCATGAGGGCGGTGAGGCGGGCCATGAAGCGCGCGTTCTGGGCGATGACGATGTCGACGTCCGCGCAGGAGTAGGTGGACAGGTTACGGAGCGGAGGAAGCTCGATCGGATTGCCGCCGACGTTGTTGATCAGGATGGACACCTGCAGCGACTCGGTGTCAAGAGAGCGGACAAGCTCCTCCATGGCGGTGGGCGTGGCAGTCCTCGCGTCCATGACCACGGTGCGCACCGCCGCGCCGGGAGACGCCTCCTCGAGCGTCCCCTTTGCCGCGGCCAGCTCATCCGGTAGGTGCCCTAGCAGAATCACGCCGAAGCCATTGCGGACGAGCTCCAATGCGACGCCGAAGCCGATGCCCGCGCTGGCACCCGTAATGAGCGCGTAGGTCGGTTCGGGGCCGCTGCGACGGTAGGAGTGCAGGGGACGCGCTGGGAGGACGAAGTGAAGAGCGACAAAGTCCCAGATGGTGTACCCGGCGTACAAGAGGACGGCGCTGCCCAGAGCGGCGAGCGCGTAGAGCACCAGCCCAGCCATCGTGGGAGTATCAATTGTGGTCACTGTCGTGGTGGTGCGTGGTGGGTGTTTTGAAGATGACAGGGGAAGGAGCACGGCTGACGCGAGACATTACATGGTCAACAAGACTCCCACGTGCATCTGGCTCATAGCCGGCTGTAGCGATTCATGCCAATTTCACCGGCATAATATATTGTAGCACCGACGAAGCAGTGACATGCATGCACGCCCTCATAGCCGCCCGTGAACGGTTCAATTGATGCCGCGATCCTCATGTAGGGTAGCCAGAAGGGTGTTGGTTGCAGCGGCGCCACCGGCCCGGAAAAACTTCGGTATGGCTGCGCTCGCCAACAGACAGGCAGTAACGCAGCAACAAGAGTATTGAAATGGCTTGGTATTTCATTTACCAGTCATAAAGAATTCAAGGAAGCTGAGCTCGCTTCTTGATGCTCCATGGACGCGATCCGACAAGAGGTAAAAAAGTCATTCGCTTCGCGTCTCGAACCAGTGCACCTCCCCGCGGCGGTCGCGCGGCGGTGACTCAGCGCGCGCGCCAGGCAGATTTTTCGAAGTTGCCTGCTTCCCCACTCGGCCACGCGCGCGCACTCGACACCCACCGCACCACCTCGCCGCGCCCCACGCTGGCCACCGTCGCACTTTTTTCTCCTCGCCAGCCTCGACTCACACCGTTGCCGCAGCGTCAATCGCCATCGAGACCTCACTCCCTCTCTTGGCCGGACATCAAATCGTCGCCGGGTTTCGCGCTTACAGCACGATTCTCGCGTACTCCGGTGCAGTTGAAGGCCCGGGGCACGCCCGTGGCGCTGCACGCGAGGGAACAGATTGCCCGTCGCCCTGAAATTGTCATATCACACTCGACCCCAGGCAGGCAACGCTACATAAAACAGCCACTCTGGTCTGGGATATACGGCAATCGCCAGCATCACATCACCAACACCAGTCGCCATGTCGTCCCTTCTCAACCCGAACCGCAAGCCCCAGTCGGGCGGCGGCCCGAAGCCGCGCTTCGCCAAACCCAACCCCATCCGCGCCATGCGTGAGCGTGAAGAGCGCCGTCAAGCCGCCCAGCAGTCTCAGTCATCGTCGGCAAACAGGAGCGGCTCTGTCGCCGCCCCGGCACGCCAGCAATGTCCCAACAAGGCCTGCCCGAAGCCCAATGTCGTCGACGGCACTTGCCAGACTTGCGGTCGTGTCGCTGACGACAGCAACATCGTGGCCGAGGTCCAGTTCGGCGAGACCTCGTCCGGCGCCGCCATTGTCCAGGGTTCGTTTGTCGGCGCCGATCAGGCCGGTGTCCGTAGTATGGGACCGGCCTTTCGCCGCGTCGGCGGCTCCGAGGACAGGGAGAAGAGCATCCGCGAGGCCCGCGGCCTCATGCAGGGTTACGCGCAGCAGCTCAACATCAGCGAGAGCCTCGTCACCGCCGGGACCCAAGTCTTCAAGCTCGCCTCGGGCGCCAACTTTATCCAAGGTCGAACACTCGCCAGCGTCGCTGCCGTCTGTCTGTACGCCGCGTGTCGAGCCGAGCCGCCGTGCAAGGTCATGCTCATCGACCTCGCCGATCTGGTCCAGCTCAACGTATTCAAGCTTGGCCGAATCTTCAAGAAGCTCAACGAGGTGGTCCCCATCGGCAACGACGGCCTCATCCCGGTATACCCCGAGGATCTCATTTGGCGTTTCGCGACAAAGATGGAGTTTCACCAAGAAACGGCAAAGGTTGCCGAGGACGCGGTGCGGCTCGTCAAGCGCATGAGCCGGGACTGGATGGTCATGGGTCGACGCCCATCTGGTATCTGCGGCGCCTGCCTGCTCATGGCTGCTCGCATGCACAACTTCCGGCGGACTGTGCGCGAGGTCGTCTACATCGTCAAAGTCACCAACCACACCATTCAGAACCGCCTTCAAGAGTTCAACTACACCGAGTCTAGCAAAATGTCGGTCGAAGACTTTTTGAAGCAAGACTTCCTGGAGAGCTCGCATGACCCACCCTCGTTCTACCGCAAGTCGGACGAGTTTAGACAGATCTTGGAAGAGAAGTCTCGGAAACGCAAGCACAGCGTCAATGACGAGGGCGGCGAAGGGGGCGACCAGGAGCAGTCAGAACGCAATCACGAGGTTGAAAAGCGACATCGCCGAATGACCGACGCTGGCGCCGACCTTTCGCAAGCCCCTGCAATCAAGTTCCGACGAGACGCGGATGGCTTCATCATCCCTCCGCATCCCTCACAGATTCCGCGCGACGACCCGAATCCCATCGTTGAAAAGATGGACGACACCGATGCGCTCGAGTCTCTGGCCAACGAGTTCGGCGACGCCATCGACGACGAGCTGGACGAGGGCGACAATGTCGATGGGGCCAAGGGCAAGGGCAAGGGAAAGGCCAAGCCGCAGCTACCCATCAACGACGAATGGGAACAAGACGAAGAGGAACTCGAGGGTCAAATCGAGGAGATTTTCAACGACCCGTTGACATATGAGCACGCCCTCGCCTACTCCAATGCCGAGCAGCGCGCACGCATCCACTCGAACTGGGCCCTCAAGCAGAAACCACAGAGGGAGGTGTCCATGGCGGCCGACATTGGGGAGGATGAATTCGCAGACGACCCGGAAGTCGCCAATTGCCTGCTGTCGCCGGACGAGGCTCGCATCAAGGAGCTCATCTGGGTGAACCAGAACAAGGACTGGCTGAGGAAGCACCAAGAAAAGGTGTTCCGGAAGAAGATTGAGGCAGACCGCCCCAAACAAACGCGGCGACGTCGGAAGCGGGCACGGATGGGCGAGGGCCAGACCAGCCCGGCCAGCTCGGCAGCGGAGGCGGCCATCAACGTGGCTAAGGACCGCGCGTGGTCCAAGAGGATCAACTACGATGCCATCCGCAGCATTTTTGACGTGCCCAATTCGGGCGGCCTGGGATCGGCGGCGACAAGCCGGAAGACGAGCTTGGCGGGAAGCACGCTGGGCGCCGAGGACGCAAACGAGGAGCCGGACGAGAGCATCGCTGGCGACGATGTGGAGGAGGAGGAGGAGCCGGTGGACTACGAGGAACCTCACGGCGGAGAGGAGTTTGGCGGCGGCGAGTTTGAGGGCGGCTACGACGATGACGATCCCAACATGGACGAGGAGTACGGTCTGGATGACGAGTAGACCAACTTTGTCTTTTGGGAGTAGACGACTGGACTGCGTGGGCGAAGAGAGATACCCGGACTGTAATGTCCCGCAAGCGTTGGGAGTTTAGATGGACCAGGCAACGAGGACAACGCCAGCGTTTGGAGTTCTAGATGGACCAGGCAACGGGGACAACGCCAGCGTTTGGAGTTCTAGATGGATCCGGAATTGATGATTACCTGCCCGATTCTCTGAAGAGAGGTCCCGTGGCTCGCTGAATGTGTCTCGTTAACGTTGCCGGTTGGGGAAGGCTGGTTGAGCCGGCCCATGCGGGCGTGCAGCTGACAGCGACTGACCGACATTGATTCGAGGGTTGGCCGCAAAGGGACTGTAGAAAATGCAGTACTGTACAGTACAGTACCTGCGTATAGCCTATTGCTCCTCTGGCCGAAGGCGAATGCACTGACACAGCACTTCGGCATTCCTGAGCAAATCCGCAGAATGCCCTTTACCGCCCTTTGGACGCGTTGGTGCTTCCTCCAACGAGCAGGCGTCACGAGACCACCCGGAACCGACAGCTGGAGCAATTTGTTATGCAATCGAAACCGCCAGCGACCCAGCGGCGTTGGAGAAAGCCGTGCGCGCCGTCGCCTTTCCCCAACGAACCGGCATTACGGTACTGTACAGTACAGTACGAAGTGCAGTACCTAACTCAGCCACTTACACCGACTGCGACCACTGGGGGCAGTGCCTCCGGACTCCAGGGGCCCCACGATGCAGTGACTGCGGGGTGTGTTTGCGTGTCGGCAACGCGTGTCGCTTCTTTTGCGCTGGACACGACATGGATGGCTGGCTTGTTTAAGCTCCAGGAGCGAAATTTGCCGGTTCCTGATCGGCCACCGGTGATGGGTCCAATTGTCAACGGCGTGGGAAGTATGATAAACTCAATCGGCCGCCGAGCCCAGGCCGTTTCAATGTCCACCCTCCCCGCCCGCGCTGCCGAAGAAGCCGCGCCGGAAGCCCATGCTTTCTTCTTCGATCGCGGTGGAGCCCTGCCCTGTGTGTGATTGTTCCGGAATCCGCTGGCTGAGGAAGTTGGCGGGCGGGCCCCGTGGAGGCACCGCCCCAGGGAGGGGGGACAGGGAGGGCGAAGCTGAAGCGGCAGGACGCTGCTGTCGCAAACCAACAAGGAGAGCCTTGTTCTCGTGGCCGTCCGATACGAGGAATTACATGCTATGTACCCAGAACTGTAACTGTAACTTTGTACGTAGCCCACGCGCGGGAGGGCATCCCGAGCGTTGCCATTACGTAGTCAAATCTTCTCCACAGGCCGTCGCGTGACAGGTTGCGGACAAAGGCGAGAAACAGACAGACACCGGCTTTGTGCGGCGGCAAGACGTGCGCGGTCTGGAGCCAGCGGCCAACCCAGAGCTTGTTGAGCCGGGGCGGCGGATGGACGGGACCCAGGGCCAGGACAACGCCGGCGGCGATGGCAGCGGCGGCAGCAGCGCGGAGCTGCGGTGTGTGGGGGGGAGGGGAGGGGAGGGAAGTGGAGGGGAGCTGACTCCATGATTTCATCATTGGCATCAAATCGAAAGGCGAGGCGTGTTCTTCTTTCCCGCCGGGGGTACCTACCTAGGACGTGGGGAGGGAGGGAGGGCCAACCCGGCTTTTGCTCCGTTCGTGTTTGGGTATAACAGGGAGAGTCGACGACGACGACGACGAGGACTGGCTGGACGCATAAGTGCCGTTTCTGCATCGCACGAACTCGGTCGGCTGTCTTCGCTTCTCCTTCGTTTCCCGATTTCATCCCGTTGTCCCACTTCCCTTTCCGATTGCGATGAATTGACTCGGCTCAGCACTGTATTTATGAGCGAGAGCTTTGCAGCCTGGCATTCGTTGGCACTGTAACATTCTGCGACGCCGACACAGAGAAAGAGAGAGACAGCGAAAGAGAGAAGCCCCAAGACTTTGCGACAGAGAGACAGACAGACGGCTGGAGACGCAACACCACGCAGACGAACACACACATTATCGACTTCAACATGTCGCCCAGCCAAGTCTTGAAGAAGCCGCGCCTGGTGGTGATGGGGTCGAGGGAGTATGCCGTCGACGACTACGTTGCCGACTTTGAGAAGGACTTTGAGTTTACGGTACGTGGCTGCTGCCTCCTCCCGTCTGCAGCTTCCAGGTCGCCCAGTGACTTTGCGACTTGCAACGTCGCAACAGTGATTGAGGGGCACTGGACTGATGGCCGCATGGCTGTAGCTCCATCAGCTAACGGGCGCAAACCATCCTAGGTCCTCGACGCGCAGAACCGCCAAGAGGCCCTCGTCAAGCTCCCCGAGCTGGTCAAGAAGACGGGCCCCTTCGACGCCCTCATCATCCGCGTCGGCACCGCCGAGTTCGAGCCGTTCGACGAGGCCCTCCTGGGCCCGCTGGTCCCCGGATGCCGCATCATCGCGTCCGCGTCGGCCGGCTACAACGAGTTCGACGTGGAGTGGATGACGCGCCAGGGCATCTGGTTCACCAACACGCGGTCGGCCGTGGCCGAGGCGACGGCCGACATGGCCGTGCTGCTGACGCTGGCGGTCGTGCGCGACGCCTTCCGCGCCGAGCGCGGCGCCCGCTCAGGCACCTGGAAGGCGGGCATCGTGCCGAGCCGCGACCCGTCGGGCATGACGCTGGGAATCGTCGGCATGGGCAGCATCGGCAAGCTCGTCGCCAAAAAGGCCGCCGCGTTCAACATGCGCGTGCGGTACTGGAACCGCACACGCCTGGGCATCGACGACGAGGCAGAGTACAACGCGCGCCACTGCGCGACCCTGCACGAGCTGCTGGCGCACTCCGACGTCGTGTCCCTGCACTGCCCGCTGACGCCCAAGACGGAGGGCCTGCTGTCGCGCGCCGAGTTCGCCGCCATGAAGGACGGCGCGTTCCTCGTCAACACGGCGCGCGGGGCGCTCGTCGACGAGGACGCGCTGATTGAGGCGCTGGAGAGCGGCAAGATCGCGCGCGCGGGACTGGATGTGTTTTGCGACGAGCCGGACATCAAGGAGTATTTCCGCACGAGCGACAGGGTGGTGTGCATGCCGCATGCTGGGGCCATGACGGACGAGGCATTTCGCAGGGCGGAGAGGGAGTGCATGGAGAACCTCCGCGCGTGGCTGCAGACGGGCACGCCAGTGACTCCCGTCAACCACGTTGTTGTTGACAGGGCAGAGAAAAGTGAAGACGGGGATACGGAGTAATCGTGGTTTTGAACACAGAGGGGGCGTTACACATTGATCAGGGGCATGCACAAGACTGTCCACGGTACAACCAAAAGTTAGGCATATAATGAGACTCAAATAATTGCTGACCCAACTCTAAGCTAAAGACGTCTATATGTACTGATTTCGCCAACTCTTTTGGTATTTACGGAAGCGAGTTTTGGATCTTCTTGGCCGCCGCCCTGCCGCCGAACCCCCATCCGATCTGGTGGGCAACGTGGATCGCCACGCCCAGGTCGTCGGCCCATGCCCACACCAGACCTGGGTTCTTCTGGAACATGCGTCCCGCGCCGATGAGGTCCAGGGGCGTGTCGTCCGGGCCTTGGCCGCCCTCGATGATGCTCTGCGCCACGTCACCCGTCTTGATGCTGCCCACGGAGCTGACGAGCATCGAGTCGCCGACGGCGGCCTTGATCTTCTTGGCGAAGGGCGCCTGGTAGCCCGGCCCGCCCTGGACCTTTTGCTGGGCGTGGTTGCCGCCCGTCGACACGTCGAGGACGTCGACGCCGCGCTCCGCGAACAACTTGGCGAGCCGCACGCTCTCGTCGACGGTCCAGCTCTCGCCGCGCCAGGCCGGGTTCGTGTCGAGCCAGTCGGTGGCGCTGATGCGCACAAACAAGGGCATGTCCTTGGGGATGACGGCGCGCACCTCGTCGACCAGCTCGAGGGCCAGGCGGGCGCGGTTCTCGAAGCTGCCGCCGTACTGGTCGGTGCGCTTGTTGACGGCGGGCGAGAGGAAGCTCGACACGAGGTAACCGTGCGCAAAGTGCAGCTCCACGACGTCGAAGCCGGCGCGCACGGCGCGGCGCACGCCCGCCACGAAGTCGCGCTTGAGCTGCGCGATCTCGGCGAGGCTCATGGCCCGCGGCGTCGGGTAGTGCGCGTCAAAGGCCTCGTCGCTCGGGCCCATGACGTCGTCGGGCCAGCCGCCGACCTCGGCCGTGGCCGTCGCGCCGGAGCTGAGCCAGGGGGCGACGGTCGAGGCCTTGCGCCCGGCGTGCGCGAGCTGGATCGCGATGAGGGCGTTTTGGCTGTGCGCAAAGTCGACGTGCTTCTTGAGCGTGTCGACGTGCGCGTCGAGCCAGATGCCCGAGTCCTCGGGCGTGATGCGGCCGTTGGGCTGCACGGCGGTGGCTTCGAGCATCATGAGGCCGGGCTGATCAGGGATCAATCACAAGTTAGCACTTGTCATTTGGAGCCATTGGAGTTTTTGGTCTTTCAGTGGTGACTTACACCGCGCTGCACCATGCCGCCGTAGTGGGTAATGTGCCAGGGCGTGTGGAAGCCCTCGTGGGCGCTGTACTGGCACATGGGGCTGACCCAGATGCGGTTCGGCAGCGTGACGCCGCGGATCTTGAGGGGCGTGAAGAGCTTGGGCACGGTCTTGCCCGAGGGCTGGGGCACGAGGGCGGTGCCGGCGACGGGATCCTGCTCGGGCGTGAAGAAGGGGACGCCCTTGGCGGCGACGTTGGGGATGGGCGCCGCGCACTTGGCCGACTTTTCGAGCGCGGGCGTCTCGGCGCGCGAGACGGGGATCCCGTGGTGAGGGTGCGAGATGCGCTGCGTGAGGTAGGCGGCCATGGCTGTTGGAGACTCGGGCTGTGTGCGGATGGAGGGATGTATGGATGGATGTAAGGCCGTATTGGGAACTGGACGCTGGGAGGTTGACCCTAGGTGGTGGACGATGTAGAGACGACCTCAATGGCTCCCGCTTCGACGAGTTGAACAATGTAGAAGCAAAGCGATGCGAGCGTGAGAGAAGAAGAAGCAGCAACTAAGTGTGTCTCTGTGCTTTGGAAGCCAAGTTATGATCTGTTCTGCCAATTCCCATCATACTGCAGTCGCGGGCGGCCGGGCCCCTTTTAAAGTTGAACCAGCACACACGCGGGCCCGAGTGTGTTTTCCACAAGTCGCAATGGCGTCCGGATCTGCCGCCCGGGCCTGTGACATAATTGACTTGGCGCGGGACGGCCATTGATCACCTACGTACCTACAGCAGCAACGTACGCACGTTCGGTACGGATACGTCAGTGGTAGCCAGATGAGGTAGTGGTCTCCTCCCTGCGTTAGCTTCCAGTCTCCAGTTTCTCTCTCTCTCTCACTCGCTCTCCGGGCGTGTCATTCCGCCAAAACGGCGTGGTGATTTCTCAGCAAGCGTTGCAACGGGACGGATTGTGGAACCCCCGAACCCCCCCGCCAGTTGCAGATTCCGAGGAATCGAAGACGCTAGCGCTGCGGCCCGCAGTTTGATCTTGCGTGACAGTTGATGGATGTGGGCCGGCGCTTCGGCATCTTCGGTGGCGTTGCCGGCTGTGTAAGGTTCATACCATACTACACGCACGTTGGTGGATGGATGGGTGGGTGGGCGATCCGCGGCTGTCCAACTCCGTGGCGTGACATGAGTGCCGGTGAATGGTGAGGACTCGGCAATGCCGTGATGCATACATTAATGCACGTACAGGTGGAGCGTCGCGTGGAGCGTTCTCGGCAATGTCGCGGTGCAGGCTGGTCGGTGACTCGGTGGTGTCAAGGACATGGATCACGGTTCGTCTGCTCGGCCGGCCGTCCGCCCTTGCCGTCGGGTGGTAGTTGAGATATCTTATGTGACGACATCTGTACAGCTTCACCAACCAGGACGCATGGGTACGCGATGGATAAGCATGCAGCATGGCATTCGTCGCTACAGACTGAGCTGTACCACAGCAGAAAGACGCGCGACGTGACATGTCGCCGGACACGACCGCCGTCCAAATCGTCAACACATGGCTTCCAGCGTGCGCCGTGCCAGACGCACATCCCCTGCCTCCCCTTCCCAGTACCGCAAATGCGCCATGCAAAGATCCAGCACCTCCCCCGCCCTCTCCGCGCAGCCCATCTCCTCCAGCAGCCCGATCCTGCGCGCGCAGAGCACGACGAGCGCCCGCGCCGCCGTCTCGCGGCACTTGAACCACGCGCCGGCGTGCCTGTGCCGCAGTCCGACCGAGAACAGCGGATCCAGGCTCAGAAGCACCGCCCGCTCAGCCAGCTGCCGCAGCGCGTCCCTCAGCGGCCAGTCCTGCTCCTGCATCAGGGCGAAGCGGTACAGGAACGGCCGGTAGAGGTGCAGCTTGATACTCGCGCAGCGCGACCACGTCGCCAGCTGCAGCCGCGTGACGGAGGCGAGAGTATCCCCCCGCGGGACGTCGAAGCAGCAGATGGCGTGGGGTAGGCTGGCTTGCCACTGGCGCAGCTGGGCCTCAAAGTCCCAGGCCGCGTTCATCATGTTGAGGAGGTTCATCTTGCCCCACGAGGGCGGCGGCTCGACGTAAAAGGCGTGGTTGACGCGGCTTGAGAGCCGGAGCAGCGATATCTCGGAGAGGTAGTAGAACCACGAGTGCTCGTGCAGCTCCTTGAAGTCTTGCGTCTCGGCGACGCCGGCGGGGCTGGAGTTGGCGGTGGCGGACGAGGATCCCGGCATGGATGCTTGGTCGGTGTCGTTGAGGCCGTCGACGCTCTTTGGGGTCGGTGGCGAGGGGAACTGGTACGGGTAGTCGATGTTGTGCAGGCCGGACCGCGGCAGTTCGACCTCGGCGCATATTTCGCTACTCATCCGTCAGCCTCTGGTGTACGATTGTGTCGTTGACGGCATGCACGACTCGACTGACCTCTCGGACTTGATGCAGCTCCAGAACAGCCGCTGCTCGAGGCAGCACCTTAGCTCCTCGTCGGAACAATGCGCATCCCCCACCATCTCATCTTCGTAGCAGTGCCCGTCGCCAATCATCTGCGCCGCCGCCCGGCTCTTGAGGTACACGGTATAAAGAGAGGATGCCTGGAAGAAGGACTGCCAGGCCTCCACCGGGCGAAGCGTGTAGAGCAGGTATGTCCCCGACAGGAAATGGCACTGGCACGCCGTGAGGCTCCGTCCCAGGACGCCGAACCGGCGCTTAGCGTATTGGTAGTACGACTCTGCCTTTTTGCGAGCCTGCGTGTCCTCCTGCTGCGAGGCGGAACTGCCGAGAGACGACGGGGTTTCAGCGCCGGGGCCGAATGGCCGAGCGATGGCACCCAGAGCAGCGGCAAGTAACTGGTCAAGACGATTAGCTTGCATCAAACCCGGCGAAACCACGAGGAAACTTGCCACCAGACACGTCTTTGCGTCCCACTGCGGGCCGAGCTCTGCAACTGCCCGCCCGTACGTCATCAGCGTGGTGCAATCCAGCACCGGGTTCATCACATGGACCAATCTGAGGAATCTCGTCAACAACGCCGTGATTTCTTCTCCATCCAAGAGTGGCACGCCGGCGCTGGGGCTCCCGGCCTGCGGCGGTGCTTGCAGGTGGTCGGCTGCGAGGATGTTGCCCGGCATGAACTGATCGCCTCCGCTGACGGACAGCAGTGGCCACTGAAACATGTGGTCCAGACTCGTAAAGGCCGGCGACACGCCCACTACCGAGTCGCCGGGGTTTGGGCTCGGGCATCTCTGCGTAGAGAATGATCTGCCGGAGGTGTCGTATGTGATGGGCTCTGCTATGCCGGCGGACCGGCCCAGTGAAGCTTGAGGCGTAATGGCCTGCGATATGTGTTAGATGGAGCGAAGCTGGGGCTGCAAAGCAAGGGGCAATGAACCTGTTGATCGAGGTCTGATGGAACAGTCGATGGCAGTCGCTTCAAGATCTCCTGCAAAAGTTGCGTGACTTGCGGACTCACTTGCTCCGGACTGCGAGCCGTCTTAGCAATTCCCTGTGATGTTCGGCGCCACGAGCGATCGAGGGAGAGAACGTACGAGTCTGCCCCGTATCTGGGAGGCTTCGGATACACGCACTCGCAGCCCAACCGCGCGCACCCGGCGCACGTCGGCCTCTCGTTGGAGCACTTGACCTTGCGAGCTCGACACACGCGACACGCAATGGGCGCGCGCCTCCGTCGCGCCGATGCATCCTCGTCGTCCTCATCAGCCGCCCCGTTGAGGGGCACGTCGGGCGGCGAGACGCTGCGAGTTCGTCCCCGGTCGGTCCTGCGGCGCTTCTGGGGCCGTGGCCGGGCGGTATCGCCGGCGTGTTGCTGCGCAGGAGACATGCCGAGACGGTGACGGCGGTTCGGGGAGAAGCCGGGATCTTGGCCGGGAATTCTTGCCGGCGGCGGTTGATGCCAGGTGTGATATCCCAGGTCGTGACTGCAGCCCGGCGATGAAGCCGAAGGCTCCGAGCCTGTGGCGACTTCTTGTGAGCCTGCCAGGCTGGACTATGACGAAACAGGCCGTCCGCGCAGGCGGCTCGGAGAGCCCCGGCAACACCGCCGAAGTTACCGACTCGCCCGACTTTAGCACGCGGAGATCTGCAAGCCCCCATTTGTTTGAATGGAAATCCTTCTGTACCAAGACTCTAGGGGCATTGTCGTCTTGGTAATTGCACAGACTGCAAAGTCCTTACGCAATCTCTGCAGATACCGGTGCGTTGCATTTGTCAGTGGCATTGATGCATTGAAGCACCGTGGAGTTTGCAAATACATCATGTCCTGCTGTTGCCAGCCGACTCACCGAGAGCCACAGTAGCCGCTGGGAGGAGCCACTGTTCCCGCCCGCTGACATGCACCGGACCGCGCTTGCGGCAATGCGACGATGCCTTTGTAATGATCCGATTATCTTGTCTTTTCACGATGCGACTCATGACGGCCCATATTCGCCCAGGGATTGACTTCATGTTTGTTACGTTACTTCGCCGCTTCGCCGTTGGTCAAGAGCCCGGGCGCAACCGACCTAGAAGGAGCCTGTAGAGAGCCAGATGCGCTAGCCCACTAAGCCCAGCGCTTCCTGTGCTCCGACCTGAGCGACCTAACGGCCGCTGGTCGAAGGATACACAGACCTACATGGCACGGTTGGGGGATCACTGATGCCTGGAGTAGAAGGGAATTAATCTCAAGCCGCTACATCTATTGTACACAAAGAAAAAACATTGCAGCGCCTCATTCCCATGCCAAATGAACGACGCTAAAAGGCCCGGTCTGTTCATACCACGGCGGCGATGTTGTTGTCGATGAACCGATCGGCCTCTCTCTTCAGCATCAGGATACAACTCGCCACGACAAAAGCTTCCACACTGTCGGCGCCGACATGCTTCTCGTCCTCCCACGCGCGCAAATCCATCACCAAGCGACCGCCATTACCCCCCGAGTACCTCCCCGAGCCGGGGGTTCGGAACTGGTCGTTTCGAATGAGCTGAGCGATTCGGGCGCCGCTCTTGGTCTTTGTGCCGTCGGGTAGTACGCTGCGATCCATGCGCTCGAGAATGAGCAGCGAATCTGCGTTGCAAGCCGTCTTCTCGTCCTGACTACCGTAACGCCACTCGAACTTGCCGAGCGACGTGTCAAAGACCTGCGCACGGCTGATCATCGACCGGCTTTTGACGTCGACGGCTTCTCCACGCAGGTCATCATCGTTGATAGCCTCCTCAACCGAAACGCCGGCATCGCGGGGCAGGATGCGCATTCTGGGGTGTCTTCCCGGGCCCCAGCGATAAATGGTTGAGATGAGAGCATTCTGGCGTGGATCGGATGGGCGCACTAAAGCGCACGAGTTGGAACTCTGCTTTCGGCGAATAGAGGTGTACTTTTCCAGCAACGGTGCTCCGGACTCGATGCCGTAGACGGAAATGTTCTCGAGGGTCCTGCCGCTGAGAGCCTGGTTGGTGTCGTATCCCATGGCTTCTACCTGAAGCTCGCTTGTGGCAAGGAAGCCGTCGGGGGAGGAGGAGTGGCTGCTGCCAGCGTAGTCGGATGCAATAGCCTCCTTGTACTCCGGGGGAGATTCGGACTTCCAGTGGCCAATTGACTTGGAAGGGTTCGCCCTTGACTTTCGTGAACACGTAAAGATCCCCATTGTGGCTGGGACCCAGTCGTGCTCGAACTTTGAACTTTGAACTTTGGGTATTTGGGCGTCCGCGCAATAGAAACTTGGTCAAATAACAAGTGCGATTCTGATGACGTGCCAACTCAACTTAAGGATTGGCCGTGTCTAATATATATCCATGGATGTATGCGCTGCACATGTGCGTTGCGCGAGGCTCAAGCTGCATGGAGAGGAGTGCTGCGCCAGGTGGCGACTGGATTGTTGTTACTCCCTACAGTGACGCCATAGGCGGGAAGTCGACCACTCACGTATTGCAGGCGCTACTTTAGTGAGGTTAGGCAGTTAGTTCAGGGTCTCTGGTGCTGCGGAATGGCAGGGCTCAGCAGCTTGTCTGACAGGCTTTCGCTGCGACGTTTCCTAAAGGGGAATCATCTGGCGCTCGATGGATCTGCGGCGGTGTCGCCGATCGAGGCAGTGCTGTGCCAGCATCCGGCACCCAGAAGCTTCAATTGGAGGCCGGTGAACGCATGCGGCCTGGCGCGCTGCGCATACAAGCCGGGCACGCGAAGAGGCTTTGTTCGACACGATGCGCTGCCGAGTGCCGACTCGCCCTGCGCAGGGGCGCGACAGGGCTACTTTTGTTAACCACAACTCCAAGTGCTTTGCCGCTGGACAGGCTCGTGCGTCACTCCCCCATAACCTTCACTGGCGTTGCGATGGAACTACTCTTTCCTGAACTGTCTCCGTCGCTGGGCCTGCCCCCCTGTCAATCGCCCAACAGGGTCTCGCTCACACATCTCGCTCACAGACGGGACGGTCGTATTCGTCAAGCTAATCCGTCGCGGTAACAAAAGGATTATCGCCCGCGAGTTGGACAACCATGCCAAGATCAAAGCAGCTCCGCTCGACGAGACGCTACAAGACTCGCGTTTCGAAGGGCCAGTTCGGGACGGACATGGCATTGTATATGGACTCCTCCTGACTGTCATCGACTGCGAGCGCGTCACGCTCGCCTGCGCTGCTTCCAATCCGAAGACGCCGACTGCTCTTTCTACGCCCATCCCCTGTGCTTATATATAGGGCAACGCAGGTCAAAGACATCGTTCACCAACTCCATAGCTTAGGGATTATCTGGGGTGACGTGAAACTGGAGACTGTATTGATCGACAAAAACGAGGACCCTTGGGTCGTGGGTTTTTGGGGTGGCTATTCAGACGGCTGGGTACCCAAGGAGCCGGCGGGTACAAGAGAGGGTGACTTGGCTGCCTTCGACAAGATCGCTGCGTTCATTAGGGAGCGACAAAGTCTGGTGAGATATGCCGCCACTGTGCCATCAATTGACATTGAGGATTGTGTACCGACTGCTCGTACATAATAGCATGTGTCGTCCATGCTTACAGGCGCTGGGCCAATTCCAGGAACCGGCTTATGTTCTCGACGTTCACACCCGAGCTACCAGCCAAATACCCCACCACGTCTTCGGCGGTTGTGTAGCCAGGAGTGCCATTCGATCACGCCTACACATCCATCTCAACGCGTTCTACATAAGTACACATGTCTGTTGTCAACCCTGGTGCCATTGCGTCGCGACACAGACGGGGCACGCGTAATCGACCGATCTTAATGCAGGCCCAACAACTAATTGAAGTCACCTCGATCAAGCCTGAGCTTGTCATAGCGCAATACCGCCCCCAACAACACACTGGCACCGAGAGCACTACATCCAGTTAGCACCAGCATCAGCCTTGGGACCAAGCCGTAAAGTACTCACCAGTCCTCCGCAGAGCAGTACTCGGTTGGGTTATGGCTGATGCCCTGCCGGGTCGGCGTAAAGATCATGCTCGTAGGACAGCGCAGGTTCGTGTAGCAGCTGTCGTGCCCCGCGCCGCTGATCATCGGCCTCCACAGCTTTCGTGAAGACGCCCCAGGCAGCGTGGAGCAGACGTCGCTGGCGCTCTGTTCCACGGCCGCTATGCACTCCTCGTTGAACTGCACGGCGGGGCTATCGACGAGGAGCGACCACTCCACCTCGCAGCCCTGCTCGCTGTCTTCCTGCGCGATGCGACGGAACTCGTCTTCGCACTCCTTGACCATGGTGGCGAGGACCTCGTTGCGCACGTGCCGCAAGTCTAGGGTGAATTTGGTGGTGTGCGCCATGGTGTTGACGGTCCCGGGATCGGCGTTGAAGATGCCCGTCGTGCTCAGGCCGTCGTGCTTCTTGGCGACTGCGTTGGCGGCGACCAGCATTCGTGCGGCGGAGAGGACTGTGTCTTTGCGCGCGTACAGAGGCGTTGTGCCCGCATGGCTGTCCCGTCCCCGGACTGTGATGTCGAACCACTTGAAGGCTTGGACACCTGTCGCCGTGTTAGTGGCGGGTCGCAGAAACGGGTACATGGGGGTTGACACCTTCAACGACACCGATCTTGAGGTCCTCGTCCTCAAGTATGGGGCCTTGTTCGATGTGAAGCTCAAAGTGGGCGGCAAACGGGTTATCGTCGAACGAGGCCGGCCGTTCCCCCTTGTAGCCTATCCTCTCAAGCTCCTCCTTCATTGACTTGGGCTTTCCCTCATGTGGCGTAACCTCTCGAAGCTCCCAAGCAGTCTCAATTGGGATCGCACCTGCCCAGACCCCTGACGACACGGCCATCTTGGGGAATCGAGCACCCTCTTCGCTGGTTCTTGTTAGTCAATGCACTCGACAAAATACCGCTTGCAAGATTTACTTGGTCCAGTTGACGACGCCAATCGGGCCCTCGGTCTCGACGTTGTTCTCATTGAGGACTTTGAGGACCTGCAGCCCAGCGAGAACGCCGAGAATGCCATCGTAGCGGCCACCCGTTGGCTGTGTGTCCAAGTGCGACCCCATCATGATTGGAGGCACGTTTTCCTTCTTGCCGGGTCGAATGGCGAAAAGGTTGCCCATCTGGTCGAAGAAGGTCTTGCAGCCCAGTGACTTGGCCGTCCTCATGAACCAGTCTCGCACCTCCTTGTCCGAGTCATCGAGACTCAGCCTAGCCATTCCCGTCTCCGTAGAAAGCCTGCAGGTGTGTGAGTATGTGAGGGGCCATGAGCTGAACAAGTCCTCACTCACTTGCCATATCGATGGGCAGCGCCATATTGGCAGCTTTCGTGCAAAGACTCGGCAAGCTCTGTGGTGTCGACGCGAAGTGCCGAAATGTTGGATTGGCCAAGAGAACCCATTGTGAAGCAGACTCTATGCTGTAGCTAAACTGTCAAATCAGTTATCACTTCTTGAGCTGATGATACGAAGACTGCCTTTATGATTCGCTTGAAACGGCGTCGACGGTGAACATGGGGTGTGCCTTTGATAGCGCAAGCCAACCGACGGGCGTGCTCACGCCGTCGCTGGACTGGCCTCCAGGCGGGGTCACGGCCGCTGATGACGGCCGTCGGCGGAGATCTTGGCTGGCAAGACCCTTGTTGGCACACCCACCGGGGCCACCAAGACAAATCAACGCAACGGGAAGCTTCCGCTGGCCCGACGTTGTGTCTACGTATTCGTGCTTTCCTCCTATCATCTGTTGCTATATGTTACCCCGTGGCATACACCACGGCCACTTTCCTGTTCTGTACCAATAAAAGCCGCCAACACGCGGCAAAGAAGCTGCAGTGATCTCTCCATTGGTTCGGGTGTCGCGGTTTGGCGTCAGGAATTAAGGGCGGGCGCGGGGTCAGAACTCAGGGAGTAAGCATTCCCCATTTCGGCGCCTGGGGGTCTCCAACTCGCCAAGTGGGCCAACGATAACCGCGGATGCGGACCTTTCCCCGTCTTTCGGAGGTCCAACACAGTGGTCCAAGATAAGCGTGAGTAAGAGCCACACCCGGCGTTCCGCCCGTCGTGGTGAGTGTTCCCGGTTGGCACCAGACGCCCGGCACTGCGCGCTATCCGCCGTCGGCGTGCAAGACGTGGGGTAGCGCCGTGATTGGCGAACACGAGTCCAAGCGAGGCATCAGACATCAACCCCAGGTTCTGTCGCCTGTCCCCTGGCTGACGACCAAGTGGAGAAGCGATTGCTTTAAGAAGGACTGCTAAACGCTGCCTACGTTCCCATGGCCGCTCCTTCGCGCAACCCATCGCTCTATAGACGAGATATTGCTTCAGAATCTTTGTCGAAATGGCGCAGCTGGAAAAGGAGCTCGTCGTCGACGAGTCGGGCTCTGGAGGCCCCGTCTCAGCCTCTGGCGAGATTACCGAGATCGATGTCAAAGCCGAGAGACGCGTCTTGTCCAAGTTTGACTGGCTCGTCATGCCGCAAATGTCAATCCTGGTTCTCTTTGCATATCTAGATCGAACAAACATTGGTACGTTGGTGTTCGGCTCCATCAGCTTGTCAATCATTGACCCCGCGCTAACGCTGCATGTGTCGGCTCTCAGGAAATGCACGGGTGTTTGGCTTCGAGAAAAGTACCGGCATGACGGGTACTGACTTCAACAACATCTCCATGTTCTTCTATATCCCTTACGTCATCTTCGAGACGCCGTGGGTCATAGCTGTTCGAAGGTTCGGCCCCGGTCGTGTTCTCGCTGTTGCCATCGTCTGCTGGAGCGCCATCACGATTGGCACAGGCTTCTTGCATACATACAACCAAGTCATCGCCTGCCGCATCTTACTCGGAGCTTGCGAAGCGGGACTTTTCCCGTCTCTCACATTCGTCATCTCCGGCATCTACCCGTCAATCTCACAGGGCAAGCGCATCGCTGTCTTGTACATCTCGATCGCCTTGTCAGGTGCGGTTGGCGGACTCATCGCATATGGTATTCAATCAATGGGGGATAGACACGGGCTAGAAGCCTGGCGATGGCTCTTTATCATTGAGGGAATCATCTCTCTCGTTGTTGGAGCCCTATGCTGGGTCAGCCTTCCGACTACCCCGGAGACAGCGTGGTTCCTCAGCAAAGAGGAGCGTGCGACCATGGCCGTCATCAGGGCTCGCAACCAACGCTTCGAGACCTCTGACAAGCTCTCCTGGAAGCAAGCTGCTACTGCACTCACGGACCCCTTGGTCTGGATTGCATCGCTGTCGCTTTTCTGCTCGTCAATTGCAATGTTCGGCTTCAGCACATTCTTGCCAACCTTGCTCAAGGGCATGAAGTATGTCAAGGCCCCCTGGCTCTTGCCGACCCGCTTGTCTAACTCCGCACGCCAGGTACACATCACTCGAGGCCAACTATCTGAGCATACCCGTGTATGTCTTGGCCTCAATCGCCACCGGTATTACGACGTTTGTATCCGATCGCATCGGGAAGCGTGCTGTTTGTTTGATACACTCGCCAATCCTCGTCATGATTGGGTACGCCATCGTCGTGGGGACTGGGAACAAGGCCGTGGGCTTCTTTGCCATGTTCATGGTCGCCGCTGGCGTGTATTCGTACAACACGGTTGTTCTGACGTGAGTATCAATCTCATCTTTAATGGAGCTACGCTAATTCCTCGACAGCTGGGTCTCAAACAATGTTCATCCCGACTACAAAAGATCTGTAGCCATCGCCGTGGTCGTGTCCATTGGCAATTGCGCCGGTGTTGTCGCATCGCAGATTTATCCGATCAAGGACGAGCCTCGGTACATTCTGGGCAATTCACTGTCCCTGGGGTTCGAGTCTGGGGCACTTGTCGGCGTAGCCAGTATGTACTTCCTGTTGAAGTATCGCATGCGACAAAAGGAGAAGCTGTTGAGCCAAGGGGTCGAAAGCAACGGCAAGGAGGGAGACTACAGCCTGGACTTCAAGTATCTGTTTTGATAGGACATTTCTCAACCCCGTAGCATAATGAAGCGTGGGTGCTATCATCGATCGGCCGCTGCTGACCAGACCCAGTGCCAAGTTCCGGTTTCGCTGCATTTGCCGGTTCTGAAGTGAAGTGCTTTGGGCCACTAGGCATTGAAGTGGTGCTGATAAGCCGATGGTCTCCGAGTGACCCGAAAGCGGCAAGGAATCATTTCTGGAGCACTCCACGGCTTCCAAACTTGCCGCTTGGCTGTGGAGTCAATCCTGCAATAAGCAGGCGATGCGGAGCCAGCAACATGTGGCAGAAGTGGTTTGCGGAGCATCCCCGCACTCCGACTCCGGGGCCTTGTTCGCTGTGCTTTGTACGGCGCCTCCACATTGGGGAACAGCCAGCAGGCACCTTACATGTAGAGCGGTCGGGACAAGTCAACTCTGAGCCACCAATCCGACACCCTCATTTCTGGTACACTGGCACTACGTACCATGATTGGCGTTGGGTATTGCACGGCGCAACACTGCCGGCATATCGAACCAAGCGCTTCTGGCATGAGTTGAGGACAGCGCGGAAACGGGCCGGCGAGCCAACGACAGCTGCAGGGGCCTTACGAATTTCCACATTAACTCTCGTTGATGAGCTGAATAAGTCTATGATTGTAAGGCTGTTTTGTTGGTAACCGCCCAGTGCGCGATGGAAAAGTCGGACTGGCGTCATGGATATGGTCTGCAGTCCGTCTCGTCACACGTATCACGGCAAGGAACTAGGTCCAGGCTCCAGGTGTCTGAATCGCCACAGGCCCCATGATGGAGAATGTCATGCGCTTACCCACGTTCACATAGTCGCATTCCAAGTGACGGATCTCATAGAAGCCACAAACATTAACTCTCTGACAGATGGGAGCCATGGCTGCTCAGCGTGTGATGTCGCCAGGTTTGTCGGGTCACGACACGTCTCCGGGCCCCGGCTGGACTCCCGCGCGCCACTGCGAACCATTCACCTGGCCTGCACCATCATCCCTGTTCTACCCGCCATGGGGCGCGCACCATGGTCCGTGTTCTGGAACTCGGGAACGCGGGCGGGCGGCGCAGCGGGGCGATGAGCCTAGATACGGGCAACATTGGCATATACCTAACCCTCTGGCCCTTTGCAAACGGCAGGGCTCGTGAAAACAACAGAGAATCATCGGCCAGGTTTCCGCGGCTTGGTACGCGATCCTACGGTTGTGGGGCCCTTCAGTCCTCCGGAACCTGGCTCATGGGATATGTCGAGCCAGTAACACTGGGCAGATAACGCCGGGTTGCGGGGCATCCCCGCACTCCGACTCCGGGGGGCTTGGACTCTTGGGGTCTTGGGACTTGGGATGGTTCTGCTTCGCATTAGCCGGCAGGCAACTGGTGACCGGGACCATTTGTTTCTCATCCCGTCGCGTTGTCGTCATTACTAGTTTCATGCTCGACAACTGGTCAGTGCAGTCCAGCACCGGCGATGGACTTCAACAATGCTCTGACGGCGCCTCCCCTCCTGGAACAGAGCACCGAGACCGCGGCGGGGACGCGTCGGTATCGGTCCAAGTCACAGCGGCCTTGCGACCTGTGTCGCGCCCGCAAGGTCCTCTGCAACATCCCGGACCCAGCGAAGCCCTGCCAGCTGTGCCACCGAACGAGGCGGCCATGCACATTTGTCGCCGTGACAAGCAAGAAGCAGAGGACCGGGTCGGCCACGGCCAACACCGCCAACGTCTACGATGGCATCGTTCCCGCGCCTGCGGAGATGCGCCCGGTACCGGAGCCGCCGACGCAGCTGACAGAAAGCGAGTCGCCCGAAGAGACACTGTCCACGGCGGATGTGCATCCGTTTGCGAAGTTCATCTTCGACCCCAGCTGGTCAACAACGGCAGAGGCAAGCACCGACGTCGCCGACATTGGGCCTCCCGCCGGCGATGATCCGGACAGTGTGTTCAACATTCTGCAAGACACGGAGCTTTCGCACCTGTGGCCGATGAACAGTCCTGGATACCCTGGGGCGGGACTGCCGACTGGACACCGCCTCAGCCCACAGAGCGTCAATGGCTTCCCGTCACCCGGCTCGGGGGCCTCGATGGACCAGAGACCCAACTACTCCTCTGCTTTCATCGGGTTCTCGAACGAGTCGGATCCTTTCATTCTCGAGCACTTCCCATACAACAGCGCCGACGAGGTCGATTTCTTCATGGTCACGTATCGCAGGCCTTCCCGGCTGCCCGTGTCTGCCGCCCATGCGCCTGTGCATATCCTTCAGAGCAAGCTGCAGTCGACATCGCACGGACGAGGGATTATTGAAAGCGCCATGGCCATTGACAATGAGCGAGAGAGGCTCGAGAAGCTTGTTGACGTCGAGACAGGCGTCTCTCTCGTAAATCTGTACGTCAAATCGCAGGCACCTTGTCCCGCTGCATGAGGCCTGACCATTACCAGGTATCTGCGTTTCGTCTTCCAGACGCTGCCGATACTCTCTAGATCACTAATCCAGAATGACGTGCCGCGCTTTGTCAGGTCAGCCTCGCCGGGACTGCTTGCAGGCATCTATGCGCTGGCGCTGCCCTTCACGCCATGGGACGAGCGCCTCTGCATGAACAACGCCTACTCGAAGCCTAGCTCAGACGGCTTGTGGCAAGTCGCGTATACTGCTTTACAGAAGGAGTTGCATGCACCACACCTCTCGACCGTGCAGATCTTTCTACTATTGCTGAATCACGCGTCGTTCGACCCGGTGGCTGTCGACAGTCCTTTCGCGTGGTCCTTGGCCGCATCCATGACCGCCGTGGCTCAGTCGCTTGGACTGCACATGGACCCGACCGACTGGAAGCTTCCTGCGAGTGAGATCCGGTTACGGAGGCGACTCTGGTGGGCTGTTGTCGTTGAGCACAGTTGGCGCGCCATCACGCACGGGCAGGCCTCGATGCTGCACGACGATGAGTGGAGTGTGACGCCGCTCGCAGAGGACGACTTTGTGATGGACGTTCCCTCTGATAGCGCACATGTTCAACCAGACCATTTCCTACGACTATGCAGCCTGACACAGATCACCAATGGCATACGTCGCCAATTCTTGTAAGTCGCGCTGCCACTAAGAACGTGCAGCCGACAAAACTGACAAGATTGACGTCCACAGCTCCCTCCGCGCCGTCTCACAACCACAATCGCTCGATACGCTCATCGAGCTGGCCAAGTGGCCTCGCCAGCAGCTTCACGAGTGGCTCGAAGGTTTACCGGAATCCCTTCGTATGGGAGCTCAGCAAGACGACCATGACAACGAATCTCCGCAGAGCCAAGGCTCCCTTCATTTAGCATACTTTACAGCGCATATTCTACTTCTCCGCGCTCTGCTTCGGCCGATTGTCAGCAAGGACGCCGATCCGAAATTCACATCATCGACAGCCCCCATGGTATTGCAAGCGTCGCGGGCGCTAATGCAGACCATGATCGACTTCGTTCGAGGTCTAGACGTTAAACACAGGTCAGGGTTCTGGCCGGCGTACAACCGACACTGCTTTTGCTATCCAGGTCTGTTCTGCTACATGCTGTGCCTGCAGCCAGTGGAACCGCACATGGTCGCCGCCGACCGACGACTGCTGGCAAAGTGGAGGAACGTGCTGCGTACAAGAGTGCAGTCGTGGCAATTGCTGCGATTTGCTATTGTCAAGGTGGATGCTCTATTCTGGAAGAAGCTCGACAATTTGGTTGAGTCACCCAACGCCTGCTAAGCTTGAACATTGCGACAATTGTGAAAGCTTCCTACCAGACACATCAGAGGTGCTTGACGGCCTTTTTGCGATAGCGAACCACCTCCACGCCCTCCTCGTCAAATGTCCTCTCGGACACAATCTTGTAGCCGCCAAAGTACGGGAGGATTCTTGTCCAAAACGTCCAGTACACGCCGCCGAGCAACAGGACGCCGACACCGACGACAGGGAAGACGTAGTACGGATACCCGTCTGCAGTCCAGCTGCCCTCCGGAGGGATGAACGGCACGATTGCGAGGAATACGTTTGAGAGGAAATAGACGATGGATATGGGCAGGAACGTGTGCCACGGCGAGCTCCAGCTTTCGGACTTTTTGAACTGCAGCCAAACGAGGCCGGCGGTGACGAAGGCATTGATCCATGCACCTGGGTACGTGTACCTGCATCTGATCAGCACTTGGCATGCAATGGCACAGGATCATGGGGGACACGTACAGGTTGACGATGAACGTGTACGCTGGGCCGGCGGGCGGCGCAACGAGGACGATGACTGTGACAAGCCAGTGTAGAAATAGCTTCAAGATAGAATTAGCGCCGCATCAGCGTCGTTGAACGGAAAGATCGTACCGAAGCAGCGGGTGCGTTGAAGGGCTTGTTCGATGCCCAGAACTTGCTGAACGGCAGCAGACCCTCTTTGGCAAGCTCTTGGTTCAAGCGCGCATGCGCAAAGCTCACCGCCAGGACGTTGCCGATATTGCTTAACGCCACAAACACTGGCAGGCTGCGCGCTCCGGCGCTGTCGCCAAACACGTTTCGGAAGAAGATGCCCGCAACGAGCACTTCGGACTTGGCCAGCTCCGCCTTGGGGATTGCGGCAAAATACGCCACGTTGGCGAGGACGTATAGAATGGTGACACCGCCGACCGCGAGCGGCGCGGCGATGGCGAGCGTCTTGCGTGGGTGACGGAGCTCACTCACAACGTAATTGGCGTTCTCCCATCCCTTGTAGCTGTAGACCACGTTGAGCAGCGCGTTGGAGTAGGCATACGCACCACCCCCACCGTACCCATCCCCGGACTCGATGCGGAATGCGTTGTCGAAGTTGTGTGGGTTGTCCACCAGTCGACGCCCGGCGAGCGCGGCGAAGCCTGAGAAGACGATGAAGAGGAGGATGACGACCTTGAAAACGCCGAGCACGTTGAAGAGGCGGATCCCCCATTTGGGCAGGGTGCTGTGCAGGACAATGGCGAATGTGACTCCCGCGATGCCGATGCCGCGGGCCTGCCATCCGTCGGGGGCCTCACTACCGGAGGCGTACAGGATGTAGCGGCCGAACGCAAGGGCGTTTCCAGACGAGAACCCCAGCAGGATCATTTGCGACGCTAGAACGCAAGTCGCCAGGTATCGGGGTCGACGGTATACCCTTTCGAGGTAGTTCTTCTCGCCACCGGATCGTGGAATAGCCAGGCCGAACTCGAGGAAGACACTGAGGCCGAAGAAGGTCAGGAGACCACCAACGAGCCACAGGATGAAGCTCACCCCGACAGACCCAGTGGCGGCGAAAATCCCAGATGGTGTTGAGAAGACTGCCCAAAGCCATGGTTAGTAAGTCACTCATGCTCGGGCGTGAATATGGGGCCTTTGCTACTCACTTCCAGTGCCAATCATTTTGTTGAGAATCAGGAACACGGCGCCGGTAATGCCAATTTTCCTGTCATCCGAGTAGGCAAACACCTGGCCCTCGGTACTGGAGACATCGTCGCGGATGTTACCATTATCATGGTCGCTGGGACCAGACAGGTCGTCCTGTGCCTTGCCCTCTGCTTTGGCGCCATGTTTCTCATACTCCCGGTCCGCCATGATGATGGCCACCCGTCAGGCCTTGTGACTAACAGATGCCACAAAACGTCCAAAATGCAAGGTGCGACACATGGCAGAACAGGGCCGGAGACGTTGCATTAAGCTTCTTAATAAGGTGGGCGGCCGCCCAGCTTTGCTGACCTCGGTGACAGGGGCTCTCTTGCGCCATCGGGCATCAAACTGGCGCGAACTTGGCCAGCTTGGCCTTGCCCTCATTGGGGTCAGAGGATCGCGCGCCCAGAGCTGCCCAGTCCCGTGGCATGAGCTCATTGAGGAATGATTTGCGTGATGGTCGATCAGGCACGCCATCGGTGCAACCCTCGCTTCTGCCAAGGAAAGCTTCCAGAACTCGCTAGCGGACGGGTAAGACGGGGTCCAATTGTGGGATTGATGCCCGCGATCTGACGAAGACCAATCGTGAGCATTGAAGGCTTGGCCACGACTGCCAAGGCTGTTGTTCTGCAGCGATACCTTTGGAAGCATGTGACTGGAGCTAAGGACGGGAGACAGGCGAAGCTCGCAGCATGCTGTGTGGTCGGAAAGCTTTCTCGACCACTTCTCTCGTTCTCCAGTCATGTCACCGAACTTACATGTGGCCCCATCCACATTTCCAGACCTTCCAACGCTACGGTCACTAATTACGGAGGTCGCCAGATACCGTTAGGAAAGTAAGAGCGGACGAACGGCGCCATATCCTTCGACTCACTCAGCCAGCACACGCCGTACATGTTGACAGTCTCCTAGCCCCGGATATGAGGCATCATGCTTGAGTATTTTTTGCCGAGAAACATGCAGCACAGGTATACGGATATGCGCCTTGTTCATCTCCGTTTGTATCCATGGTATAAGGATTCCCGGATGCAGTGTTCCTTAGAAGGCCCATGGTGGCAACATCTGTCATACTAGTGGCTCCTCAATGCCAAGCTGTTGCAGTGTTGACAGACATAGCCGAGCCAAGCGCAGTGCAGAATGCCTTCAGCAATGATAAAAAACATTATGACAAACGAAACACGTGCCTCTATGCGCCATCGAATAGTACGAGGGGTGTCGCAGCCGACCGTATAGTAAGTGGACGCCACATTGGCTTGACCCGTGGTGTCAGGATAACAGAGTTTACATCCCACAGCATTGAGCTCGAGCGAGAGCAATAATCAGAGGTATCAATTCGCAGCAAAACTAGTTTGGAATATCTTTCGCAATAAGGCGCAACACAGGCGAGGCTCACTGAACATGGCAACGCCTGATCTTGCTTACTCGAAGCCAAGCCTTGGCCACTCAGGGCCTCCTCCATCGCTGGTCGCACTGCTGGGTGACGAGACCCAGTGTGCGCCAGAACGTTCAGGGCGGTCTGACGGCAACTCAAGCGCTCTTGACCTCGTCGGCCCTCTCGGCCTTCTCGATGATGGGAGGGGGTCGAGGGATCTTCTGGAAGAAGACGTATCGCTTGATGAACCACGGCAGCCATATAGTGGCCTCGTAGTGTATGAACTTCTTCGTTGGAACCGAGAAGACCTCTGGAAGCGACGTCAGCGGGGGTCATGCAACGTCGCGGGGCAGAGGCGATGAAGCCAGGGTGATACTGACGGTCCAGCTCTTCTAGTGTAAGCTGCTTCGTCTCGCGAACGAAGCAGAATATCATTACCCATGCTACCAAGTTTAATCCGGCATAGAAACCGACTGCGTGCGACATCAGCAAGTTTGTCCGCTAGCGAGCAGAAGACCACGGGGCAATTGGAGTGGCAACTCACAAGCACCGGTCGAGGTCATGACTGTCTTCATTCGGGGGAAGGTCAAGCCGAGGATGCCAGCTGCAGCATGCGTCAGAATTGTTGCTCCATGGTTTAGCAGTCTTCGTGTGAATCACTCACCGAAAGTGTTGTTGATGCAGACCGCCCAGGCCATGCCCTGCTCACGCTGGATGGTGGGGAAGACCTCAGCAGAGTATTGGAACGCCACAGGCCCTTCGCCCAACGAGTAGCAAATCGTGAACAGGTAGACAAATCTGGGGCATTGCAATTAGACACCAGCGCCACGGTGGTGGTGACTAGGTTACTCACAGCACTACAGGGCCGATTCGGGCGCCACGAGACCGGAAGTCGTGAGCAGGGTTCTGGTCCTCATCCGTCGGAGCAATGTGATACGCTCCATTCGGCAGCAGCGACAGACCAGCGGCCAAGAGGAAGATGCACATGAGAGGGAAGGTCTTGTGCAAGTCAGCCTAGTTGGTCGCTTACAACAGGTGTGTAAACGTACAATCATGGTCAGGGTTCTCCGGCCCTTGGTGTCAATGAGGAACAGAGTCGGGATGGTCGAGACCACCTGAACGGCGCCGTATCCGAGCGAGGCGTACAGGGCCTCGGTGGCGGTGTAACCCACGCTCTCAAAGATGGACGAGCTGTAAAAGGAAATGACTAGAGCGACCCGTGTCAGCTCTGGCCGTCGTCAATAAGTGCATAGATCTACGGGCCGACTCACTGTTGATGCCGCACATTTGCTGCGCAATCATGACGGTTGAGGCGCCGTAGTTTGCTCGCCTGATTCTGGGCACCGCGAAGCAGTCCCACAGACGGGTGAAATATCCGGAACCGCGGGCCTCCTTCTTTTCTTCCTCGAAAATGACGTACGAGTAATAGAAGTCTCGCGCAGCGATGATGGGGTTGGCTCGCAGACGCAGCATGGAGCGGAAGCCCTTGGCGTGCTGGTTGTGCTTCATGAGCCAACGGGGGGACTCGGGGCAGAAAAAGATGCCGATCATGAGGATGAATGACGGGATAAAGGCCGAGCCGAATTGAAGGCGCCAGGCGATGTCGCCCGTGTCCTTGACGATGACATTGGCGGCGAAACCCAAGAAAATGCCTATACATCAGTCAGACCGGGAGCTGTGCCACGGGCTCGCAGCGGCCGCGATGCACGATGACGAGAGGGTGGCTTACCAGCGACGACCCAGAGCTGCCAGAACATGACCAGGGCACCGCGGGTCCTGTGTGGCGCCATCTCAGCCGAGTAAATCGGCACAGTGGCGTTCTTGGCGCCGATGCCGATACCCATGACGAATCGTGCGGCAAACAGCCCCTGCCACGACTTGGCGAAGGCGGAACCAATTGGCGTGGCTGTTAGGCACGCGGCCGTGATGAAAATCTCACCTCGTCGTCCGAAGTAGTGATTGAGCGGATCGACGATGAAGGCGCCGCTAGAGATCAATCGTAAGCAGCCGGTGAAGAAATGAGGGCAGCACAATCACTGCAATTGCGCACTTACATGAGACCGGCCGTGAGGAAGATGATGGAATTGACCAGGCCGACAATCCACTCATCACGGCCTTGCCCGTCGATGCCAAACTCCTGAGGGAAAGACAGGTTGGCGCCGTTGGCTCCAGTCTGATCCCAACCCTGGGTCGCGGCTCCGACCGCACAGAGGCCAATCGAGTACCAGAGCATCTTGGGGCCGTGCCATTTGTGGTCCCTCTCGTAGATGAGTGCATCCTGCTCCTCATTGCTGAGGACGGAGAGCATCTCGAACCTTTCCGGGTCGCGCGCCACCAGGGAGGCCCGCCCGAAGAGCTCGGCGTGCTCCGGCATGCCATGGGACTCGGCAAACGCCTTGGCGTTGAGTACGGTGTCCTCCTCCGAGGTGCGCTGCGGGTTTGAAACAAATCCGGTGAGCTGGCTGTACTCCGACGCTTTATTGGGTCACAGAATGTGCTGGACTAACCTTCAGGGGGTTCTCGATGATGTTGAGAGCGACCGACGAGCGCCGTCGAGGCACATCGGCCGACAATGGGCCATCGCCTTCATGTTTCTGGACATGTTCGTCGCGACTGGACTCGGGGAGATCACTGGACACTTTTTCCGCCGCCATTGTGGGCGTTCTCCAAGGTGCTTTTGCCTGTTGCTTGGAAGTTGGCCCGGAGAACGGGATCGGAACTCTGAAGAGGATGGTGAGTTGGGAGAGAAGTTGAGGTCAAGAAGCGAGGATCCAAGGGAGATTGACAGCCAAGTAAATATCCATAAAACCACCCCTCTCGTCCGAACCCGGGGCCTTGGCAGCTTGGCCGAAACCATGGGCCTTGAGCCGACAACATGGCCAAACGGCCGTCTCCTTGCCATGGACTTACATGGTACTAAGCTTACCATGACGTCTGCGCAAAGCAAACAGTGCACTACCTGACTGGCTCCGATCCTGGTAAGCCGCCGATCGCGCGCTACTATCCGCTGCTGTCCTTTGTCTCTCCACTCAAACGTCGCGGGGGTGGAGTTGAGACGGATTCCGACTCCACCGGGTCAGCACTAGCCGGGTTGCAAAAGCTGCTGCCTGCGGGCCGTGGGCCTCGTCGTGCCGCGGCGGTGCTGCCGATGTGATGGTGATGCTGCATCCGCCTTCGGCTTCGGCTGATGCTGCTGTGCGCGCGCTTGCTCCGGAGCTGGTGAGCGTCCATCATCAGATGATGCCCATGCCGCCGGCCCCCACCGACTTGCTGCGTGCGGGCGGCGAGGGTGGCGGCAATATTTGACGAGGGAGGGATCATTGCCGCACGGTCGTAGTACTGAACGCCCGCGTGCCCGGGCAACGCGACGGCGACATTCGCGTGCGGGAAGCAAGGGGAGGTCAGATGCGGCGCGACTCCGGAATGTCGCGGCAGGACCTTTCTTCTGCTGAACATGCTCGCATCTCTGTTGATCTGGGCCCAGCGGACCATTGTGCCCGTTGTGGCTCTCCCTCCAGAAAGAAAAGGAAAAAGGTTAAATCTTGGGGCGCAACCCCGGTTTCCCCAATTGAGACCCCTCCGCGTGCGTCTACGAATGCGCATCGCTGCTGCGACGGGACATGCCCCCATTCATTAAGCAGAGGGACAAACGACAACCCTGAGGTAGATGACCCAGCACCTCCATGTGCTTGTCTGTACTGTGCAGTACATGCCCTTACCGCCTCCGGAAAGAAATGCATGGTGGAGTGGTGTGGTCATCCTCAAGGCAACAGTTTAACATGCACTAGCTTGTGGAGTTCGCGCGGAGAGCGAAAGGGCCCGTTGTTATACTTTGATGGAGTCCGGGGATGGTCCACATCCCCTCGTGCTGGGGTTTGATGTGGGCGTCAACTTGTCTGAGGTTGTATCGGAGGAGCGCCGGCGTCACCGAAGCTCCTGGGGATTCCGCAAACGGCGCATTTGCGGCTCACACTGCCGGCCGGCAGCAGACCGTCTGCGACAACACAGCTCGCCCAGCCTGCCGCGATCAATCCGCGAGCACATGGCTACTGTATTGTGCGGTAGCAACACAATCTCCACTTGATACAAAGACCAGGAGTGGTGGAGAAGAGGCTGGATCTGCGCCGAGGGCGTCCACAGTTGCTGCCCTGATCGACACTGGTAGCGTTCAAGGGTGCATGGATGGTGGTGGAAGGCATCAAGAAGACTTCCTCGGTGCCTCTCGGGGATCCCCAACATCAGACCGTTCTGACGCCGCTCGCGGCAAAGGGGGAGCAGTGCCATAGCCAAGTCTGTCATTGGCCTTGCACTTCCGCATCGGGTCGTCCCTGCCCTTGGCGGGAAGCACTGCTCGGGTACAGTGCACGAAAACATCAGGTTGATGTAACCGTGGCGACGAATCCAGCTTCCGCATAGTCTGCAACTTCATGCGGCAAGCCCGCCAAGCTCGAAAGCACGTTCGCTCCCTGATGTCACATGTATCACGCCATGTGACGGCGTGCAACTTGCAAAGCTGACATAGCTCTGGCCTGCACATGCCCAGCTGTCTGTTTGCGATTGCGAACGCATCGCACTGCAATGCTGCAAGCGATGGCGGCACTGCAGTTCTACTGTCGCGAATACGCCCTGGTGACCGGGTTGGCATTCCGTCGGCCGTTTGGCAGCGAGCCGACGGCGTCACTTCCAGGCGCAGTCTCTTCGAGCAGGGCCTGCTCAATTGCCGAACAGCAATCTTGGAACGGCCCCGACTGACCAATGCTACCCGCTGACTGCCCAGGCAAGGGGCGCTTCAAGGGCAGCTGCCCGTGGCACTAGGCTTGAAAGCTATCGTCACCGCCTGTCCTTGCCTATCCAGTGCCGTCACCACAGAGAAGGACACTCAGCCGCCGTGTAAGCCGAGGGACCTTTTGGAGCTGCAATCAAGCGCTTGTCTATTTTGCATGCATGAAATCTGTCTCTGACTATTTATAGGCGGTCTGTTCAATCCATTTGTGCTGCGTTCCCTCGTGCCTGTCTCAGTCGAACCCATTATGACTCAGTTGCTGTGCGTCTAGCCGAAGAAATTCAGTCTAACCACGCAAACGTCCAATCACCACTGCGCCGCCCTCGCACCTTGTCTCTGATGCCCGAGCCAGCTCGACCCCTCGCACAAATGCCATGACCCGTGCGCGACCCTGCCTTGCCTCGTGGTGTCCGAGACCCGTCTTCCCACGTGCGTCCCGTCCATGCGCGAGAGTCCAGAACGCAGATGGTATAGCTTTGCCTCCCTGCACCAGAGTTACTGGAACGTAAAGATGGTCCGGACGGCTGCGTGGTCGGATGGCCATTCGTTGTCGGCCTGGTTAGGCTCAGGGTTGTGCGATCCCCAGACCTGCGAATCCGAGTGGAGGGTGCGAAGGCCCTTCTGGTAGATGAAGTCAATGCGATCGCGAGGCTCCGGGCGGCCATCGTTGGTTTGTTGGACGGGCGACCAGGTGTTGCCAGGCACCTTGACGGGGTCGGGGTAAATCTCACGGAACGAGTCGCGGAGGCCGGCCTTGATGGGCTCGACAGATGTGGGCCAGTTGAAGGCGCCAACATTGCAGTGCTTCGAGCTCGTTTCCTGTGTCCAGTCCAGGTGCGACGGCGCGTTGAAGTCGCCAGCCAGAACGACAGGCACCCTGCGTGCATTGTTGAGGTGGTACCTCATCTTGTCAATGATTTCACGAATCTGGCTCACGCGCCCGGACTCATTCTCGCGCCTCATGACCTTGTCCATGGCCATCTTGTCGAAGCAGAAGTCATAGGGACCGTAGGGCTTGTGGCTGAGGTGAGCGTTCCAGACAATGACTTCTCTCTTGTTGCCGTCCAGCTCCAGGCGCACGGCTCCAGAAACGCCAGTTGCACTGTAAACCTGGACAATCGGGTACCGGGCAATGATTGCGGCGGTCTTGCCCTGCCAGACGTACCAACCGAGAGCATTTGCCAGGCGAATGCCGCTGTTATCCAAAGTCTCCTGCAGGGCGACGACGTCGGCACCGCTGTTGGCGATGTACTGCACTTGCTTGCGATGAAAGTCCTTAACTTTTGAACCGCCATACCAGAGGTTCAGCGACACAACGCTCAGCTGCTCCACTAGGTCTGCCCCGACAATGTGTACGGGGATGTTGACCTGCAGAACAGCCTTGGAACCATTCTTAACATGTGCCTCAATGGTTACCTTGGACAAGCCACCGGCCTTGGGGGTTCCAAAGAGAGTGCCATCAGAAGTCACCTGGACCCAGTCGTCGCCAGACACTTTGACGAAGTGGGTGGTCTGGTTCTGAGGGTTTGCGAGCAGACCATCGATCATCGCCTGAAAGTAGTCACCGACACGGCCGTTGTGAGTGGTAAACTGGGGAACGAGGAACTTGAGCGGGCCGTTGCCGGGGACAACAAAGTCGAGAGGTTCCGCCAGCCATTTGTATCCGTTCTTGGCCATGAAGTACGCCGTGTACTCGCCGGGCTGGAGCTTGTCGGTGGCCATATAGACCTTGCCCTTGGACTTTTCTGCCCATTGCCAGTCCACGGCGTCGTTGACATACTGCTCTTTCTCAGGACCTCCGTAGCTGGCGTAGTAGATACCGATCCAGTTCTGAGCGTCCGGGGTCGGAGTCGAATACTCGAAGATTAACTCCGGCTTGTACTGAACAAAGGAGATAGTACCAGATTTGTCTCTGGTGGAAAGAGCGGCTGCAGAAACAGTTGATCCTGCGAGGGAAATAACGGCAAGAGCCGTGGAAAAGAGAGATGAGAGGTACATAACGGATACGGACGTAGACTTTGTGAACCAGCACGCGGTGTAGCCCAATATGATAATATTAATTAAGGTTGAAGAAGAAAGAGGAAAAGGAAATCGAAGCTTATTGTCTGTCTGCTCATTTTCGACAGAGAAGGCCGACCAGAGGGTTCCTTATATGCCTCCAGATCTATACGCAGCCCGTCTCCAGTCTGTTCTTATTTTCTCTGTATGCAACCTTGATCACGCCTCGTGAATAGATGAGGCAATTCGATCCGTGCGTTGCACGGGGATGGATTCAACTTTGGAGCATGGGCCTGATGGCTTCCGAAGGGGGTTTTTCTGTCACCGTGCCAAGGCTACTGAGACCATCTCGACTTACACCCGGACTGGTCTTTGCATGCGCACGCGCTCCCAACAGCTATAAGAAGTGGCCAGCATGATGCGGTCGGCGGGGCACGCTAATCGATCCTGCAGGGCTTTGGACCTGGCCTGCGCGAGTTTCGCCCAGTCCCTCGAGCCAGCCAGTGCCTCAACCCTTTCCGTGCGCGCTGGCCGTCCCGAACCCCTTGGCCCGTACTCTACGTTGGAGCTCATACTGGCGACTCTGCGTTGGTCTTGTCTCTATGGCTGGTTAAAGTGTGCTGGCTGGCCACAGCAGCCTCGGCGGACAGGAGTGTCACACCACCAAGCTTGCGGCATCGTTGGGAGATGGGCCCCATGGGGGAGGGGCAGCGCGCGCAAACTTTCTCGACGGCGCAGCGACGGCGAGACTTCTCCAGTTTGCTATGCCATCTAACAGTGTTCGAAGCTTTCTCCGAACTGTTTCCATCTCAAGTCCAAGGGCTCTCGTCCAGGACGGCGGCTCCGAAGCACAGCCTCCACGGGAGCGGCTGAGACAGATGAGCCGTGTCCTCTGCGGAAACACGTCGCGTGTTCGCATACTCTGCTACTGGAACTGTCTCGGCGAGTAGGGCAAAACAAGAAAGTCATGACGAAAAAAGAACAAGGATTGAAGGAGACAGGGAGGGTCCGACCCGCAAATGCCGCAAAGATCATCTGAAGTCCCGAGCTGTCGGCCGACGCCGCTGTTGCCCAGTGCCAGGAAGGACGGAGCGCAAGCTCACGAAGTGATCTTCTTGGCGATGGTGCACGAAGCGAGCGTCCCCTGCGCAGCGAGCGCCGGATGCGAGCGGGTGCATGTGCGAGGGTGTCGCGGGCAGCCGTTGTAGCTATGCCGGTGGCATGGTCGCCGCCCCGCGGTAGTTGACTTAGTGCTCCCAAGTTCCCGACGACGTCGTCTTTTGTTTTAGCGCTGTATTTGTGAACGCCGTCCCGCCACTGTTGCCAAACAACCCCCACATCAGCCTGCCATGGCCTGAAGCCAAGTTAACATACCTATCGCTCGTGGCCTCCCGGGCCTGTGACCAACATCTTGGCGTGTAAGTGAGGTGTTTAACCCTGCCCAAGTCTTTGCGGCATTCCGTGCTTGATGACACGTGGGGTTGTCCGCGACCGGCCCTCGTTGCTGCTCACGGGCTGTGCCGATTGTCGCCGTTGCCCTCGTGCCTGTGCCGCCGAAATACACTCGGGTCGCGGCGAGTTCGCAGCGCAAGCTTAGCAAAAGCATTGTGCCCCTGCACGAGACTCTGGGGACTCTGGCAGGAGCTATGTGAGCCTGCTGGCCGTCACGCCGCAGCTCTCATTCGGCCGGCCAGCGCCGCCGCGAGGAACAATGAGCGGTGGGTGCGCGTGTTCAGCCGCCCGACAGGCCAGGCACTCCTTCGGCTGCTTAGCGAAGTGCCGCCCACATAATGGCACTCCCCAAGGGGCCAGCCCTGGTGTGCTTGGCTATTTATGAACATGCTACAGGGCTCGAGTTCTCACGGGACGCTTGAGGGTCAAAGCCTCGATCCGCGGGGGCTCCGTGACATGTTTGCCAGCCCGGAGCCGTACCCTACCCTGTAGCTGGCAATTTTGCTAGCTAGTAGGCAACAGGTTGTGTACTATCGAGCAGGAAAGCAAAACAAATGGCAAAAGGTGATGCGGAGGCTTACAGTCCTGTCGAAAGACACAAACTTAACGTTCAATGCTGTGGTGATGAATCGGGAGCGGATGGAGCAGCTAGTCGGCCCAAAAAGGCAGTTCCGCCCCGATTACGAGCCGAGCTTCCCTCGTCGTGTCGCGACGCTGAGCGGCTTCCCTGTGCCAGTCTGGTTGACGCCAGGAGACATATGCTAGGCCGAAGCGAAGGGCGCGATTCCGACGTATTCGGTGAGAGATCGGAGTCATGTAACGTAGTGTTTGGAAGAGGCGGATGTCCCGCGGTGTTGCTCCGCGACCGCGAAAGCTGTGTTGAGCTCAAGTGATAAATAACGGGCTTATGCCAGGGTTGACGAACAGCCTGATATCGAGACAGCACTCACCCAACACAAGCCAGCTTACAACCTCGTGGCAAGATGGCAGAGCTACGCATCGCATCAGTGCAGTTCGAAAACGCATCGGGCGACAAGACCGCCAACCTCGCCGCAATCCGCCGACTGTCCGCCCAGGCCTCACAGCGCGGCTGCAACGTCGTCGCCTTCCACGAATGCTCCGTCTCGGGCTACACCTTCGCGTCGCGCCTGTCCCGCGATGCGCTCGTCGCCGTCGCCGAGCCCGTCCCTTCGGGCCCCAGCGTGCAGGAGCTGATCGCCATCGCGCGCGACGTCGGCATCGTGGTCTTGGCCGGGCTCTTCGAGCACGACGCGGCGGCGGACAAGATCTACAACACGTACGTCTGCGTCTCGGGCGAGGGCCTGCTGGCGCGCTTCCGCAAGCTGCACCCGTTCATCAGCGCGCACCTCTCAGCGGGCGACGAGCTCGTCGTGTTCGACCTCTTGGGGTGGAGGGCCGGCATTCTCATATGCTACGACAACAACGTGGTCGAGAATGTGCGGGCCACGGCGCTTGCGGGCGCGGAGGTGCTGTTCGCGCCTCACGTCACCATGTGCACGCCATCCACGCGCCCCGGCGCCGGCTTCGTGGACCCCGCGCTGTGGAAAGCCAGAGACACGGATCCAACGACGCTGCGGGCCGAGTTTGAGGGCCTCAAGGGCCGCACCTGGCTGATGAAGTGGCTGCCGGCGCGGGCATACGACAATGCCGTATATGTCGTATTCAGCAACCCGATTGGCATGGACGACGATCAGCTGAAGAACGGACGCTCAATGGTTCTCGACCCGTTTGGGGACGTCTTGGACGAGTGTCAGCAGCTGGGCGAGGACATGGCTGTGGCAACGTGCACGCGCGACAAGCTGCGTCTTGCCGGCGGCTTCAGATATCGCAAGGCCAGACGGCCCGAACTGTACGGGCATGTCATCGCCGCAGCGAACGACTCGCAGCTCAAGGTGGCCTGGATGTAGGCGGTGGATGGGGCGGAAAATAGACTTGCTGTTTGGTCGATTAAACATGCGTCCCGAAGGCTCGTGTCGGCATGAAGTCTGCGGGCGCAGTTCACAGTGGCCGTGAATCAAGTGGCACCAACCCCGCAGTCGCTGGCACAGAGCATGAAGAGAGAAGAGAAGACCGTGAATTGCAATGAACCTTTTGAGCTGTTCACATAATCGAGAAATGCCTTGCTCTCGTGAAAGTCCAGGCATCGCCTGCGCCAAAGCCCATTGAGTGCAATCAGGCACACGCGCCCAGGGATTGATGCTCTAATTGGGCCAGACTGGACGGTGTCACCGTTTCAGGCGAGCGTTCTGCTGTTTCTCACCATGCGCGCAACTTTTCACGGTCCCTAGCTCGGTTGACCCCAATCCCACCAGCTCGCGCAAGCCCTTCAATTGAGATTGGCCGCCACAGAGCACCGTGGCGCTTGCTTGCCCTTCGACTTTGGCAGAGCAAGGTTCGTCGGACCAGGCAGAGCGACTGATCTGCAGCGACTCTTTACGAGAGTGGTTGTTTCTGCCTGACGGTCTGCCAGCATGGCTTTCGACACAGCGGCGGATTGGCCACACATCGGCACTGAGATGCATCGCCAAGCGAATAATTGACCACAACCTGCTTCGTCCGAAGTATAAATATCGAGACCGCGACCACGTCGCCCGGGATAGAAAGCATTGCTCCCAAGCAAGTAAACACTCTCACGACTGCTTTGATCCTCACCATGTCTGCTACTGTCGAAACACCCTTGACCAACAAGGTCAGTCGTCGGCGCCGCGATAAGCACAGGTGGCTTGATTGCTAACTGCTCTTCAGGTCGTGAGCCGCGACGAGTGGCTTGCTGCTCGCCTGGCGCTGCTTGAGAAGGAGAAAGAGCTGACCCGCGCCAACGACGCCCTCGCAGCTGAGCGCCGTTCGCTCCCCATGGTCCAAGTTACCAAGCCATATTCCTTCAAGTCGTCGTCTCAGGCCGACCTCACGCTGGCAGACCTGTTCAACGGCAAGGACCAGCTCATCGTCTACCACTTCATGTTCAGCCCGGACAGCGACTCTGGCTGCCGCGGCTGCACGCACATGGGCGAGTCCCTCCCCGACGTCCGCCACCTGCGCTTCAAAAACACCAACCTCGTGTGCGTGTCGCGCGCGGCGCCCGCCAAGCTGGAGCGCTACAAGGCCCTCGCCGGGTGGACGTTTCCGTGGTACTCGAGCGAGGGCTCCGACTTTAACTACGACTTTTGGGCAACGACGGACGAGGCTCGCGGTGGCGCCCAGCTGCTCAACTTTCGCACCAAGAAGGAGACCGAGGACCGCGGCGGGGGGTGGTATGACGGAGACGTCCCCGGATTCAGCGTGTTCTACAAGGACGGTGACAAGATTTACCACACGTATTCGACGTTTGCGCGCGGCGGCGACAAGCTGATGCCGACGCTCGGGCTACTCGACCTCACGCCCCTGGGCCGACAGATTGGGCCCTGGGGCCCGGCGGAGTTCAAGTTGAAGAGCGAGTATGAGGAGGAGGCTTGACTGACAGTGAGCCGCAGGTATGAGGAGGGCCGTGCTTGCAAGGGAAGTGCTCGATGCTCTGTGTGCCCTGGCCTTGCCACGGTTCTCACGTAAACCCGTACCGGTCCGGAAGCTCTTGCGAACTATTCCATATTCTTATCGATGGACTTGAATGCAACGTCGCCTTGCCTACATGTATCGGCGCCTGTTCGCACCTTCGCTCATCAAATAGTCGACCACTTCCTGTACAAGTATAGAAACACACGCACGTACAGCGTGAGCGCAGTAAGCCAAGGTTGTTACGCGCATTCCAGCCCGGCGTCAGCAATTACGCTCTGAGATTGGGCGAATGGGTCCTTGAACTGGTTCTGCCGTGTTCCCGTGGAATACATTGCATGCACCTTATGAGTGTCGCTTAGGTTGGCCACTGCCCGAATGGTGGAAGAGACCACAGGCGGTGTTGGTTCGAAGTCTACCTTTTACCCGCACGCAGGACCCCGCAGCGGCTGGGCGTGATATCGATTCTCGCTCCGGCATCAGGTCCGGTACAGTACAGTAGACCACCGTACAGTCTACGTTTTGAGATGGGCCAGGGATGGACGGGACGGGGTGGTCGGGCGTCGCCGCGCATAAACGCCTTTCGCGTTTGCATCGCGTCGCGAGGTTCCTGCGCCGCAATCCGCACGAGCAGAGACTCGCGCCAACCTTGTCCATGCTGGAGAAGGTAATCACTTCAAGAGCCCGCACAGAGCCCGCCGCATCTGCATTCGCGTTGGTCACGACGAAGCCCCGCCGGGACGAAGGCCACAGCAGCCAACGCGCGACCGGGACCAACACACGTATTATTTGTTTGTAAACCATATGTGACTGGGAGGCTGCTTCAAACGCGCCATTGCCTGCCGAATTAGGCAAGTCAAGTAACGCCCTGAGTCTGGAGGGACGTGCGTAAGTGGAGGAATCGCCGAACTCCTGCAGTCTGGCCAATACATACAGCCCGGCATCGCCGGCTAGGTAGCATAGGACGCCGGACTGGCTCATCACCCAGTATCCGAAGGACATCGCGGAAACAGCGGCAAGCAGCTTTAAAGGTGGCTATGGGTCACCCAGTTAGGAAGGCGTTCGCTTTTGATCGAGTCACTGCCAAATGGACCAAGGTCGTACGAGGTTTTGACCGTAATGAGCATGAGTAGGCAAGTGTTCCCAGGCTCTGGTGGAGGGACGAACCATAACTTCGCAGAGCATTAAGCCCAGTTCCCGAGCAAGCGGATGCCCGCAGTGCCTCGCTATATAGTAGAGCCAAGCGGCGTGGCCCGTCATGTGCCAGCGTCCGAGCTTGACATAGGAGGCTCCGAAACACTTCCTGCCTTTTGCACTCTTGAGCTGTCGTCGTCACGATGAGGGCTGATTTACTGGTCCCTTCTCTCCTCGTGCTACTTTTGCAGTCCCCCGTCTTAGGAAAGTATAGGTCAGAGGCTGAGCAGCTCCGACAGTTCCTACAGGCGAACCACGCGTCAGGACCTCACCACCAACCACCTCAACCACGGTCCCTGCCGAGCTATGACGACTCTTGGACGGTACGGGGTCGGGAAGATCCCGGCCACCGATTTCTGAACAAGAAGACGCAGCGTAAGGCATCGCCTTCCACTCAGCTCGGTGATTAAGATGCACACTAACGGGACGAGCTGGTTGTAGCTTTCGCCGTTGATGGAACAAAGATCCCCGAGGTCTCCTTTGACGTTGGTGAATCATATGCTGGCCTCCTGCCCATCAGCAACAAAACCGATGAACAAGACAATTTGTATTTCTGGTTTTTCCCTTCCGTCAGTGAAGAGGCCAAGAACAAGAAGGAAATCGTAATTTGGCTCAATGGCGGTGTAAGTCTCGAAGTTTATTGCCCTCTCTAGGGCTCGGATATTACCCACGGCAGCTAATGTGTCCAGCCCGGCTGCTCATCCCTCATAGGTCTTCTGCAGGAAAATGGGCCTTTCCTTTGGCAGGCGGGAATGACTGCACCGGTGAAGAATCCCTGGAGTTGGCATCTGCTCTCTAACGTCGTCTGGATCGAGCAGCCCGTATCGACCGGCTTCGCCAAAGGCACCCCGACGGTGAGGAACGAAGACGACGTCGCTAGGCAGTTTATGGGCTTTTGGAAGAATTTCATGGACACTTTTGGAATGCAGGGCTATAAGGTATACGTCGTGGCCGAGTCGTACGGCGGCAGGTACGGTCCGTACATCTCCAGCCACTTCATTAACGCCAACGACAGCACGTATTATAATCTTGGCGGGCTGATGATCTACGACGGCCTTATGTTCGACGTCATGGTGCAGCAGTACGCCATTGCAGAGAGCTTCATCGAAGAAAACCGAGTGGTGATGCCCATGAGCGACCAGGTCATGACGTATCTCCGCAATCACTCTGAAGGCTGCGGCTTCCAGGACTATATGAGCAAATATCTAACCTTCCCTCCTTCTGGCCCGGCACCATTATATCCTTCCTGGTTTGAGAAATCGTCCAATGGCCTCTGGGAGATCAAAGAGGGTTGTGGCTCATTATGGGATGAGGGATTCTACAGCATGTTAGAACCCAACCCTTGCTTCAACTTCTACAACATCCCAGATCATTGCCCACTGCCCGCCGACCCTATCGGGGGCTCGGCTCCCTACTTTGACCGCACCGACGTCAAGACGGCCATAAACGCACCCCTCGATGTCTCCTGGTTCGCTTGCGCTTCCCATGACGTTTTCCCACTTGGCGATGCCTCGAGCGCGCCTGGACTCTACGAGCTGCCCAACGTCATTGACAAGACCAAGAACGTTATCATCGCGCAAGGCGGAATGGACTACATCCTTCCCCCGATAGGAGCTCTCCTGGGCATCCAGAACATGACATGGGGAGGCAAGCAGGGGTTCCAGACGCGGCCGACGGATCCATTCTACGTGCCGAAATATTACGAGGGTGCCTACGGCGGGGCGAACTCGTACGGCCAGGACTTCCCTTCAGGGATGGGAGTGATGGGCACCACGCACCACGAGCGAGGCCTCATCTTTGTCGTCACGCAGCTGGCAGGCCATCAGGGTCCGGGGTATGCCCCGGCCCCGGCGCTGCGGCAGCTCGAGAAGCTCCTGGGGAGGGTGCACAGCTTGAGTGATACGCAATCCTTTACGCTTCCCGCGCTCCGCAACATCCCCCAGTACGACAAGCCGCTGGGCAAGGGGACGTGGCTGTTTCCGTGTTTTGGTAAGGGTTGCTGAGCTTCCTGCAGAATGACGTGAGGGGACGCGGGTGATCATGTCCAGCAACATGCCCCATGTCTCTGTGGGAAGTTGCGGCTGGCCAGCGCCTCGAGTCAGGTATTCTGCAAGAGGTCTGTCAAGGGAAGGGAAAGTGAATTTGCATGAAGTAATCACGTCAATTCGTTTCTGCGTTATTGTATGTTCCAAGATCATTTGTGCACAAGGCCCCCCAAGGTCCAATTTTCGTATGTCCAAGCATGTCCTCTTACGCCTCTCCAAATGTCGCTAGCGACGCGAGTTGGGTCTTTGGCCGCGGCGGTCACATCATCAGTCAAGAACAGGCAGAAGACCCTCCTCCTGGGCCTCCTTGACGGCCTTCTCGTATCTCGCAACGGCCTCCTCGTAGGCGCGATCAACTTCCTCCTGCTCCTCCCGCTTGGTAGCGTCGCCGCCGCCAAACCTGCGCACGGCTTCGTAGTACACGTCAGCCAGGGCCTGGCAGGCCCCCTTGGCCGACACACCCTGGCACTGGTAGTACAGACTGGAGAGAAGTCGAAGCGAGTCAGTCAAGGCGGGACGCATTCGAGGCCCTCCCGCACGCGGGTGGAGGACCTTGCTCAGTCTTCGGAACGAAGTAGGCTGGGACTTACTCGGTCTTGAAGTTGAGGTCAATCTTGGCCTTCGCGGCCTTGGTGAAGCGAGCCTGGGCGCGGTAGTTCTGGTAGCCAAAGTCATGGCGGTGGCATCCAGGCAGGAAGGGGAAGCCGAAAGGGTTGTCCGGGGAGCTGGTGCAGCCATCCGAGGACCAGTCCAACGTGGCCGGGTCCTTCTTGTTGCGACGGGCCGTGAACTGGGGGAGCGTCAGGCTGAAGAGGAGCTGGTCGGTGACGGCATTGGAGCTCTGTCGCTCGGCGATGCTCGTCGTCGCATCGGCGACAGGCGCGGCGATGGCGACAGAGGCCAGAGCAAGGACAGCCGCGTGGAACTTCATGATGGCGAAACGAGGCGATGAAAAGAGGTGCCGAGTTTCAAGGGAGGCGGGAAGGGAGATTTCTAGGCGTGCTCCAGGACCAGCGACGCCAGCTGAGACAATGGGATCACAACTGGCATCTTATACTGGGACGGCCTGCTTGGCAAGGGCTGTCCATGTCCATGACCACAAGGTCAGCTCGGCAGCCAAGTCAACCCGCTAGTCCTGCAGAACATGACGCCCGCCCGCGGACGAGGTTTCCGGAAGTAGAAGAAGACAGGCACGCCGTTGAGCGCGGTGTCGTCGTGCTGCGTCTAGCTTGGCGCACCGCTTTGGCAGCCGTTCGTGGGAAGCGTGCGGTGATTGGAGCCCCCCGGCCTGGCCAAGCAGACCACCTGCCCCTCCCTCGCCTTTCCATTTGCCGAGTCTAACGCACGGGGCGGAATGCCGCGCGGAGAGACTGCGCAGGTGGGCTCGGTTCGGGCTGCGGGCTGCGGAGAGGGCGAGTCGGCAGCGGGCCGTGCCAAGACGGGCCTACATCTCGGGATTGGGCAGGTGCGTAACGATGCTCGAGAGTAAGCCCGCTGCTGAAGGATTCACCGCATTTCACCGTTTGCCCCGCGGCGCGTGGGAAGTGGGAATGGAGCGGCAACCCTTCCCCGCACGCACCAGACGACGCTCCCCTGGGTTGGGGGCGCCGGATGCCAATCAGCCCAGCGCATGGGCATGGCGCTGCGTCGACGTTGCTTGTCTTCCGACAAGGTCGGCGTTGCGCCTACTGTAAGCTCATTATCGCACAAAGCTCGGTAGCAATCATGTGGGCTGTCGGGTACAGGGGAGCCCGTAGGTTTGTTTGTTCACCCAGCTGGTCGGCGCCGTTTCAACACGAGCGAACGCCTCTTGTTTGGGTACCTGCCGTCTCGCTCCTGCCAGGCGGCAGCACCGCGCAGTCAGCGACCGGCTGCGCGCGGTTTCCTGTCGCGTCATGGATGGCCACGTCCCGGGAAGCGAGAGGCCTTCCGTCAGACAAACGCACCAGACACCTGATCTCCAAGCGGCAGGATCATGCCGGACGAAGCAAGTGGACGCTCTTCGTCGCAGTCAGTCCCAGTTCCATCCGCCTCGAGCTCACCACGAGCGGTGACAATGGTTGGTTTCTGTTCCTCGAGCGTGACGCCCGTCAGTGGCAACATCAACGTAGCTCCGTGCCCCAGAACGCCAGGCAGGGCGGCGATCGGAAGTTTGCAACTTCAAGCTGAACTTGTCGGGCGAGCCCCGCCGACTAGAGTTGCACGAGGAATAAGCCGAACACGTCGGTTGCCTCCCCTCACAATCCCATTGCTCCGTTGTGTAAAAGCTGAACGCGAAGCCTCATGCCATTCTCTCTGGCAAAGTTTGCTTCGATCCATGTTCCGGCTGCATCGTTCCCATGTAAACATTGAAGGAAGAGTTCTAGAAGCCATGTGTAAGGTCGGATGCGCGCGGATGGAAACAATTGCCTTCTCCGTCATGTTTGCGTCAAGTTCCGGCCCCTTCAATTGAAACTTGATGAGTCCTGCTCGCCAACGTTGGATTTGGAAGCCTTGTCGCGAGGGACCAGAGTGCGCGATGGCTGTGAATAAAGACGGACCACGGCACCCAATGTCGACGAAACCATCCGACTACTCATCAAGATATCGCTCATCTGTTAACTGCCTGGCTAGCCACCTGACCCTCAGCCTTGTACATTGGCCATCGGCGCTGTTGGCTGTCCGTTTCCTCCATCTTGTTGATCATCTGGCTTGTCCGTTTCGTCTAACATTTCGACCAACTTCTCCACGCCAGAGTCCAACCTTCAAATACGCGTGTGCTTCCGCCTTGGAGAGCTAGCTGGCGGCAATGTCGTTGGTATGCCAGTTAAAAGGTTTCGACAACGAGTCAGACTTGGTGAGTGTTCTCTCCACCTCCATCTCCACTCTGTCCATAGCGGCACTACAGACAGCAGTTATCACAGGCTCCCGCTGACACTGATCTATCTTACAGACTGGCCCAGGTGTAAGTGAGCCAATGACACCGTTTAAAATGGCACCATGCGCCGTCTGACAGCTTATTCCTTACAGGTCGTCCTCGCCTTCTGCATCAATGCTGCTGTCACTGTTTGTCTTGCGGGCTATGTCTACCTTTTTGCGGAAGGTACATATCTCGAAAGATGGGGCGGCACTACCGTCGATTATCTCTCTCGGCGACTTACGCACCGGGCAATTGCAATGACTCGCACCCTGATTTCAAGGATCCTCACGCGCCTTGCTTTCTTTCGATCTATTGGAACCATTGGCCGACCGTCTTGGGACTATCGGATGCGACTCCGAAAACCTACCCTTCAGGCTATCTGCCATTACCTTGGAGACACACAGCTATTAACTGGCACCTCCATTCTTCTTGCTCTTGTCTTGAGGAGTCGGCATGTCTCGCAATATCAGTACTATGTCGGGTCCCATCTCGCAGTCTTATCGCTAGTATCGCACCAGGCCACTTGTCTCATGATCGCGGACAAGCTCGAAAAGATGTCTCTCTCAATGCGCATATGGCGGTTCTTCTGGACCTTGGCACTTTCTGCGATCGTTGCCTTTTCTATTTCAACTCGTTCGGAAGTGGATCCCAGTCCTTGGGTGAGTCAGTAGCCCATTCGATCAGAAACCTTGTCCGTCATGGCTATACTCCAACCTCGGCGGTAGCTGCTTCGATTTCACTGTCGGTGCTGCTCTGGACGATGTGTTGCAACCTAATCCTGTTCTTCCCTGGTGTCGCGAGCTGTCAAATCGCCCAAATGCCAACGGAATGGACACGGCGTCTTTTAGGGGCTATAGCCAGGCTGCGTTATACACAGCCAACTTCGCCTCTTCACCGACTAAGGAACTGCCTTTTATCCTTGATGATTGCTTCCATTCTCGTCGTTAGGGAGATCTTGTTTTCACACGCCATTAGCTTAATGCGCGTTTGGGCAATGTTTGCCATCTCGATTTGGATATTTCTGTGGCCGCACAGAAGCACCAACCTGCATTCGAGATCGAGTACTCAGACGACTACCGAGACAATGTCGAAGGCGACGACATGTGGGAATTTGGTCAAATTCTGCCTCTTCTACTCCTGGTGTTGCCACTGACGTCGTTCTTGGACGAATCGTTGAGTTCGTTGACCCTGGTTGTCGGGCTGTTTGTCCCGGGCGTGACGCCGCGTGCTAATGACGCATAGAACCGAATCCACACTGCCGCAGCGCTGAACATTCTGGCGCGGAGAGTCATCCTCTGCAAGATGTCATTGTTGACGAGGACCGCCCTCGACGTGGAGGCACTCGTCAGTCAGCGCATGATGAAGAATCTCTGGGGCAAGAGTACGTCGTCCTAGCTGGGACTGAGAGCCGTCGCTTGGATTCTCAAGAGCCTCGCGAAGTCGTTCAGGTGCATCCCGATGGTGAAAATGCGCTTGAAGCATCCGGTGATGGTGATGACGTGGAGGCTGCGATCCTTCGGAGTGAATGGTTCAGGTGGTGTCTCATTAACCCTAAACCCTTTAACAGAAGCAGGCATAACCTTACAGAGGGAATTATGAGAGACTACGAGGTCCACGTCAAGACTTACTACCACCCCCTTCAGCTCTATTGACTCCGGTTACTAAAATAGATAACTAATAGGCGTTACTAACGGCATGCCGGTGACTTCGGGTCCAGTATGGGGCATCACGCCTTGCAAGCACCGTTGCAATAGTTGCTCTCGCCGTACTGCTGGACTGTGATGTATCCTTCATGGCCATCCTTGCCCACTGGATGTCTCCCGCAGTTTGTGCATTTTTTTGCGAGTTCTTTGAAGAGCCTCTTCGCATCTGCACCTGTCATGTATGGCACCTTGATGTCCTCGAAGTAGAGACAAGTGCCGAAGCTTCCCTCCCTCTCAGCAGCATCGCATACAATATGCTGGTCTTTCTTGAAATGTGCATCGTCTTTGACATCATTGATGTACTTGGCAATATTGGTTACCCCGCCCTTTTTAACCTTAATACGACAGCCCCCCGTCATATATGCGTAACAGAGATTGAGGTCTTCAAAATTAGGCACCTTGAGAGATTCTGCAATACCGCATGCGAGCGTAGCGACAAGGACTGCGTGAAACCGCATCTATGAGCACATTAGCCTGAGACATCCTATGTGACTGCTCGATCATGATGAGATACCTCTCCAAGTGTTAGGCGCAATGAGCTTTTTGCTTGGTTTAGCGTCGACTATGACGTTATATGTTTCCGCGTGTGATCGTATTGCCCTAGTATCGGTCTGTAGGGCAACTTATATATAAATATATTACGCACTCAGTTAGCGGAAACAACGAGCGCGGGCACTATAATGAGTCTCTATAGTGGATGTATTCTTTTAATAGAGAAATGGGTATCAGACTTCACTGCGTAATCACTATATTACTGCCTCAACTTGAAACAGTGTTTGTTTCGCTATTAACCGCGCGACTTGGCCCGAGCGCTATAATGAGACGTGCCTTACGCTAAATGATCCATCAATAACTCCTCTCATGGCGCCGTGTTGTAGCTTATGCTCAAGTGTCGTAGCAGCTAATAGGTTTTGTAGAGCCTCCTCATCGAGCGGAGAGGATGTTACTATATTGTCTATATTATTGCGTTTCATTTCCAACACTAATTAACGCAGCTGCCTTGGGTTCGTCACCCACTGGGCGTCTTATCCCGCGCCCATGCGACGACTTGCGTCCGGCTGAGAATAGGGTTCTCGAGCTACTGTAATGCTTCGTCAAGAGTTCATATAAGCGCTTACAGAGCGATGAAAGTTTAGCGCGACGACGCGCGCCCGGAAAGAGGAGGACTTCTTATATAACTCCTCCTTATAGCTAATATATACGCGGCGCCGTTAAGGCGACGGTAGTAGGTGAGGACTAAAGCCTTAGCATCGATAACTATTATTTTCCTTTCTACAGTCGAAAGTAGCTCCTTCCCTCATTATAGTCGGAGGCTTGCCTAGTAACCTTTATTCATACCATTCGAGAGCAAGGATAACTTTTCATAGGGGCTTTACAGAGTCTGATGTTTTTATTAAGATAAACCATTTCATAGTTTTATTGCCCTTCTAACTTCACCTTTCGCGGATATAGTTACCAGATCGCGTACCCTACCGAATAGAGCGCCCGTACAGAGAGCTTTTACTTATTTTAGTGTTGCCGCCCGTAGGAATATTCGATATAGGATCCTATTTATTTATATCGGCATGAAGGTATGATTTATAACGGTAGCACTCTCGATCGACGTAAGTACGGGGGCATTCCATGAAAAGTATTCCCTGAACAGCAATACGCATTAGACTCATACTGCGTTATGGTGCCTGGAGGCAAAACAGTGGGTGCTGCGCCGCGGACCGTGTGACTTGGCTCGAGCCCAGCAATGAGGCATGCCTTGCATTAAGTGAAGTAAGTAAAGTGACTTGAGTTTGACCGTTGCTGTCAGAAAATTGTTAGGCGAGATCAAGGTATTCTAGGGCTATGGGTTCGAGGACTCTGATGGTACCGCGTTGTGGCTTATGCTCAGGTGTGTCATGACAGCCCCGGGGGTTTTATCGCAAGCCACGCATCATCAAGAGCCTGCGCGTCGTCTCAATATCGTGCCCGCTTTCATGTGTCAGTACGTTGCGTCGAAACGCTAGATGGGGAGCTTGCACCGCGTCGCGCCCTGGCCACTCCGTCAGCTCTCCGCCTGGCGGTGGAGCGTTTATGTGGTGGAGTTCAACTTCCGCCCCAGACACGATCCATGAGCCATTGTCGAGGATGTGAATATCTTTATCGACATTATTGCGTTTCATTTCCAACGCCAACACACGCACTTGCCTCGGGCTCGTCACCCACGGGGTATTTTATGCTGCGCTGCTGCATGTCAGTGCCTGTTTCAAGCGTCACTTCGACGCGCGTGGGCTTGATACGTCAGATGCTTCGCGCAGCCAACGTCACCGCGAAACCGACAGCCTGGCGCGAGCCCCGTATGACCGCCTCACGCATCCTGCTATGCCAGCGCGCCGCCCCTTGCGCCCCGCGCGTCGTCATGCGGCCCCAAGCAGCACCCAATACCAAATGCCTGGCAGACGTTGGCATCAAGTCGGCGTGAGTGATGAGCATGCACGATGGGTTTTGTTGTGCGAGTAATACAGTTGAATCGAGGTCCATGTCCATGTCACTCACTTGTCGGCGCTCCAGACACAGGCACTTCGCACTAGCAATTTATAATAGCAGAGGTTAGCGAGGGTGCGCATCAGGTGCGAACATTGACATGTACATGAAAGCACGCATCGCGTAATATATTCGCTATCATAAAGGCGTAAACTAAGGCTCCGGGGCGACATGGGCCAGCACGTGTTTGGTGGATTGCATGCGCAGGCGCATCGTCGCGCCCGCTGAGCCATGGTGCTCCGAATCGAATGGAGCCCTGCGTCGGCGGACCTGGCAAGTCCCCCGACGGCACCGCCGCCCTCGGCGCGAGCATGTGAGGCGCGACAAGGGCTGGCGGCAAGGGTATCTTAATCTGAGTGTGCGTGGGCTTGGAGCAGAGGGTCGCAGAATTGTTGGTGAAGGGGAAGGGTTTTTGTCCGAGCGCGCGGGATGCGAGGAGCACCGGGTATCCAAACGGCGCTTCGGGGTCGACGAGCCGAAGGGCTCAGGTCAGCCAGCCGATGACGAGGCCGCAGACGAAGAGGGCCCAGGCGGCGGGCTGGGCCCAGCCGCCGTTGCTGACCATGGCCATTACGGGGGGGACCATGACCATGACGGACGAGGGCTGGCGGAGGGGCGCAAATTGGGTGGCGGCGGCGGCGCCGGAATCCTGGTCGGGAGACGTGGTGTCGGGGGCGGACGAGTCGGAGACGGCGCGGACCTTGTCGCCGGTGGGGTAGCGGATGTTGAAGACGGGGGCGCCGGTGTACTTGACGGTGAGGCCGAGCTGGTGGGAGCACTTGGGCTGGTTGGCGTTGGGCCAGTCGAGGGTGCACTCCTCGTCGCGGCCCCAGGCGCAGACGGAGTCGACGATGTTGTAGAGGAGGTAGTTGTCGGCGACCCAGCTGCCCGTCTGGTTGAGGCAGGAGGAGAGGAAATTCATGCTGTTGGAGGCGCTGAGAGGCAGCTTGCCGCCGTCGGTGCGGATGAGCTTGCTGCACTTGGAGGGATCGACCGTCTCGTACTGCATGGGGACGCCGCCGCCGCTGACGGGCTTGTCGGTGGCCGAGTGGCCCGTGTAGAGGTAGTTCCAGGCATCGTAGCTGATGTCGTGGGCGCCGCCCGAGGTGTCGATGCGCAGCAGGTACAGCTGGCGGTCCTCGTAGGTCAGCGAGATGCAGAGGTTGGTGCAGTCGACGGCGCCGGGCCAGTAGGCGACGCGGTTGGTGTTGATCTTGCAGCCGAGGACGCCGACCGACGACGAGTAGCTGTCGTGGGGGGTGGCCCAGACGGCGCCGCCGTCGCTGGCGCCGCGTTCCTGCAGCGGTTCGCGGGGGGGCGGCGCTGCGGCGGCGGGCTGCGCGAGGAGGGCGACGAGGACGAGCTGGAGGAGGGAGAGGAGGAGGAGGAGGCGAGGCGAGGCCAAGGAGCGTCGGGTTGCGGACACGGCCATGGCGGGTAGCTGGCGGTGGTGCTGGCGGGAATGAGCGACTGACTGGGTGGACGGCGGGCGGGCGAGACACGCGTGCGCAGATGGCGATGGCCTGTCGCGCAAAGGAGTGGACGATTTTGTTGCAGGTGCTGTCGCAGTTCAAATCTCAAGAGAGCGATTGCGGGCGGCGACGACGACGGCGCGAAGAGAGCGGCGCGCGACGTGCATCGTCATGCACGCGGAAGGGAGCGTCTGGCGTCGATGATGCGCGGATGAGGAGATGAGGGCGACCGAGAGACGGAGAGGAAAAAACCTTCACTCCCAGCAGGAGGCGCCCAATCGGCGAGGCGCGTCCATATATGCCGCCGGCGGTGGGTGGTGGTGTCGCGAGAGTTGGGGCGAACGGCGGCGAGGAGAGGGAAAGGGGGTCCTGGGGAGACAAAGAGGTGAGATCCATGCAGACCCTGGCTCGTGGAAGACACATGGCGGCGATGCCCCTTGTGGCCTAGCGCAGCCTGTCCTGAATGGGCTGGGCTGTCAGGCACCAGGCACGGGCGACAGGCACAGGGCGGTGGAGGAGCCCGTGGACGACCCGACGGACGGGACGGCACCGCTGGAGGGTCGGCTTGGACCCTTACAGGGGCGCTTTGGCCGCTGGCGGGCCCGAGGTACAGTGGCGTACCACTGACGGGGCGAGCGCACCTCAGCTGCACCCGCCCTCAGTTCCTTAACAGCGTCCCCGCCACCGAGGCGCTCTCTCCTGGGTGCCCGCTCGTCGGTTGCCAGACCCGGCTAACCTCCAGCACACCACCACCCACCAACCGTCGACCCAAAACTCTTCAGCGCCCAGCTGTCGGCGCTGTCGTTTGACGTTTTGCCTCCACCACCATCCATCGCCCATCGACATCGCCCATCGCCATCGAGGCTCCGCCGTCGCCCGTGTCCGAAACACTCATGGTACCAGCGTCACTTGCAAAATCATGATCGCTGGAAACGAGCGCAAATCCCCATGGCGACCGGCGGGCGTCGCTTATTCACCACCAGTGCACGGCGGCGCCGCCCAACCAACCTTTGACCGTCCCCGCCAACATGGGAGGTGCCCCCTTTGGAATTGCCGGTTTCCCGTCGCTACGGAAGCGAACGCTCGACCAAACTCGAAATGCTCGACGCAACAATTTCCGCGAGGACGGCACTGTTGAGAGGATCGACCAGCCAGGGCGAGGTTTGCGACCCAGTGAGTCCCATAAAATGTAGTCTGGCTCCTTTGGCCCGTGCCGTAGGGTGCAGCCGTCCGAGTCGAGACCTGCGAAGCACCTTGTCCGTCGGCCATGGAAAGAGGAGGCGCCCGCCGCAGCCCAAGTGCCCGGCAAGAGGGCGAGGCGCCGGGGGCGCGAGATGGGTGGCTGTGCAAGTAGCCCATGGACTACCTGGCTTCGCCAGCTCGAGCTTCATGGCTCTTGTCAGGCAACCAGCGTCTGGGGCGTCCTTCAACGTTGGCTGCCAGACGGCATGTGGCTTTACGCGCGAAGCCAGTGGCCGTCTCGGCAGTCGGCCGTTGTCATGGCGCAGATTGTGACAATCCGTCGACCATATCGCCCACTTTCTCTCTCCGGCCACCGCCTATTGCATGTATCAGGTTCATCATTGGCATTCGCTGATCCTCCCGAGACCTCCGCTACGGCTGTCGTGATCTTGCATCAGGCGCTGCGAACGGTGGTAGCCAGCCCGGCCATCCGGTCGTCTCTCGGCACACCGCCATCAGGGATGACGTTGGGGTGGCAGTGGGGGTCCCGGATTAGATGCGTCCACCATGCCTACTCGCCCGCAGGGCCGACATGTGCGTTACTTGCCTGACGGGACAGAGTGGCGCGAAACAAGATTGAAGCTGCGCGCCCACCGGGAAGCCATGCCGAGACAAGGGCTGGAGCTCATCGGCGCTCGACTGGAATGATGGACCCTCATCCACGTGGTGGCGTCCCTCCCGACTCCCAAGCGGACGTTCTCCGCGCCTTGTCGAGCCTGTCGCGGCCTGAGCTTGGCATCGCAGCGTCTCAATCATCGCTACATCCAAGCTCATACATGTCCTCACGTTACCTGTATCTGCCGCGAATGCATGTGCCGTGCAGGCGGTGCGCCACCCTCACCATCAATGCTGAACTCAGAGTGGTCGACTACATTGCCGCGCCATGAGCGCAATCGCTCGAGAATTGCCGCCTTGGTTGAACCTCCAGGCGGCTCAGTTGCGCAGGGGGACGCTCGAGCGTGTCCGGACAGCGGCTCCTCTCTGGTCACATCCCAGAGATGACAGCCCGCTGCCACCAGTGGGAGTCATTTGCGTTGCTGCGGCCGCCCGAGAATCTTGATTTGGATCGGCCTTTTACGGTACGGGAGCGTCCTCCTTGACTTCACGACAGTGGCCTGATGGTTCAACTCGGGGCACATGCCAGCGTTGGGGGTAATTTGAGCATCCCCAACCGCCAAATCGTGTCTTGAATTGACATAGCCGCACACTTTTACCGTCCGGCTTTGCCCTTGCCAAACAACCCTGCGGTTTTGGCAATCCACATGGAAGCGAAATACATTTTACGTTCGGTCTTTACCGACTCTCGGTCAGTCGCCGCGGATGCGGTCGTACCCCTCGACGCGTAGCCGGATCTGCTCCTCGCGCTCCGAAGCCGTGACAAAGCGCGTCTCCGGGGGCAAGACATCGCGTATCCCGGCAATGGGCACCACGGAGGACTGTACCTTGATGCCGTGCTCGGTGCCGTTTCTAGGCAGCCCTTGCCAGCGACCCATGATGAGGCCCTGGGGGTGGGACGTTATGTTGAGCCAGTTGTACGTCCCCGGGTCCTTTGCAGAGATGACAAAAGTATACGTTCCATCGTTGTTCGCGGCAGCCTGCTTGTTGTTGAAGCTCACGATGCTGTTCCATGGCGAGTGCGTGACCATTCCGAGCGAGTAGATTGGGAGCACCCAGTAGGTCGAGAGGCCCTTGTCGAACGAAATGACCAGAGCTTGGTCATCTTTCAGGTTAAAGTGTGCGAATGAGCTTGCCTGTGTCGTCAGGGTGCCGAGCGTCTGCGATTGACTCGGGTCTTCAATCTTATTCACCGGATGCAGCAGCGTCTTGAACCCCAAGGCCCCGACGTCGTAGAAGAAGATTGATTCAGCCAGGTTTGCCCTGGCCTTCCGGACAATGTCATCCTTGGTGACAGGCGCCGCGTCGTGGTCTCCTACCACTTCAACAGTGAGGTCGTCGGGCGTTTCCACGGCCCAATCGCCGATGTTGTTGCGAACGAAAAGCTGAACAGCGCTCCCGTCGCTTTGGATATAGTTCTTCTCGGAAGACTTGGCGGACTTGATTCGGATCGTATACGTCCCATCGTCTCGGACGACGAGGTCCTCGCCCAGCAACGACGCAACTGTCCCTTGGGAGTTTGGGTTGCTGATGAGCGAAAATGTCACGTCGCTCGGCCCCGGGGCCGCTCGGCGGCCGTGAACGAGGTACTCGTAGCGGTCGCTGATTGGGATGGTGCGGTAGACGCAATCCGGATTGTCGTACGAGTATCGCCCGCCTGGTACCGACAGCCCGAGCGATCGAATGACTCGCGGCGGCTGGTTGGCGGAGTAGACTTTGGGATACGCCGGGTCATTATTGACGGCCTTTTGGATGGCGCTGAAGACGAGTTCGTCAACCGCCACGTCGATGTCCTTGCTGACCGACTCGTCGATGGACTTTCCGCGAAGCTTGAGCGTCCCAACAATTGTGTTGCGCGCCGTCCAGCGCAGGGCCTTGAAGCTGTTGTCCCGATTGATCTCAACCGCGAGCGCGTCTAGACGTACTTGATCTTCGGTGTCGAGCGGGTTTCGCGCCGAAACAATGGTGCTCAGGCCCGCCGCCGTTGCCAGGAATGAGAAGCGCATGTTAGCTGCGTCGGCCCGACCCGCTGTCTTGGTGTGTCGCAGCGAAGGATGGTGGGTGTCTGCGACAGCCAATCCATCTTTCGCCAAAGGCAGTGCTCGCCATGTTTGTTTTAAATCGACGATAGACATGCTATTGCGTGCTGCTTCGTCCGTACGAGGGTGCCAGTTTCGCCGGTTTAAGCGATCTTCGCGCCATGCCCGACGACGATGTCGTGCTCACATTTGCCCTGTCGCTCCTCGCTTAGAGCCATTCTCCGCCGTCTGCTGCTGTCGGGACGAATCAAGGCGTGGTCCGCATGGCCGATCGCATGACATTTGAGCTGTTCCGGCGGACACACTTAAACTCCGGCGATTGGAGGCGTCCGGAGAAGGAGTGGTATCATCCCCGAACCCTCAACGACGGTTTTTAGCAGCTGCTCTTCGAGAGACCGCCTAGACGACAGTGGTCTTGCCTACTATACTGCCGAACAGAACAGATGGATGCCCGGCACCCTGCACTTGCTCAAGCTCGCTGTAATTGCATAGAGATGTAGTGAGCGCTTGATGAGATGGCACAATCTTCGAATCCACCAGCGCAACAGTTCCGGCCAAACGAATTGCCGTGAACGTGATGACGTCGGGGTTTGTCAAGCCCTGGGAGAACCCAGTGCGTGCCTGTCGACGACCTGGGGTCGTGCAGCGGGCCGTCCAACAGGGATCATGGATGACGCAAGATGGGGTCGGCTGCGGACACGGACTGATGCGACGCGGTCGAGATGAACTAGCGATGTTCGCCATGGGGCGTAAGATGCGTATTCATGTGCAGGTGGCATAGAATTGACAGCGATCTAATCGCTATAGAGAGGTTCTGCGCACAAAGTGTGAGGCCTCCCAAATACTCCATGCCGCTTCGGCATGATCGTGGAATGTGTACATTTGCGAACCCTTCAAAGTTCACAGTGTGCGGTAGGGGCGCGACTTTAAAAGCGACAGCCTGGAAACCCCAGCCTCCTTGTCTGAATCATGGTTCTGTTTTATGCCCAACCCCAAGGAACACTCGGTCCCAGGAAACAAAATGAACCCAGGTGTCATCTGAGAACCGACGCCAAGATTCGGCGACCACCAGCCAGTCCTGTCTCCGGGTCGTCGGGTTCTCTGTGCGCACAATGACATCCTTCCAGGGACCTTCCGCCCAACTATGAGTTTGCCTCGCCTGGCCGGTTGTCCAGGTGCCGCGCCAAGCTCTACGCAGGCACCATTCAATCCATATAAGCAAACGTTGTCATCCATGCGACATTTACTGGCTAACTCATGCATCCACGCCGTGAGATCCCGATTGAGCAATAGTCTGGTGCGTTGGACTGTGTTGGGCCAACGCAACGTCCAACATTCGCCGATACGATGGTGTGCACACTGATTCACGCGCCAACCATCTCCCAGCTTGGCCCAAGGTTGAACGTATCGGAAGAAAGACACGTCTCACTTACGTACGATAAATTGTGAGCCCAACATCGTCGCGCATGCAACCTTCAAGCGTTGCGTTGAGTGCTCCGTACATTCCTGTACCACACCGAAGGAGGAGGTGGGGTCCGCGCGGCGGCCCCCATGAGTTCCATGGCCTTCTTCTATCTCCGGCCCCCACGGCCCATCATGTGTCGACGACGACGTCCGGGCTCCGCAGCGCATGGCATAGTGTAAAACTATTCTTAACCTCCAGGTTGAAACCCTACAACTGTTCCTACAACCGACCTGGATTTACTGTATAACCACACGACAAACTTAGACCTCCCTTGTGTGCCCTGTATCCCTCCCTGATCCTCTCTTGGCCAAGGGACACCTTCGCCAGCCTGCATATCGTCGTTGCTACTGCAACTAACTGAACAGTACCTCGCCATACATAAGCGCTAGATCCTGCCGCCACACCACCTGCAGGTTTATTGAAGCGGACTGGCGGGATGAAGGGGGCCAGAACCTCCTGATGGAAATGATCGGAGGAACGGCCAATAGGCCAACCGCTATCAGCAGGCGAGTCTTGCTCTGGACGATGGGTGGCTCGTGGTTGACCATCTTGCGCCGAAAGGCAACGCTATGCCTCACACCAGGTGACTAGCGGAATGTATGCGCATTCCGGAATCCCTTGAAGATGCCCGGTCTCACTTGATCCGCTGTCAAGCCCGTCAGGCCCAATAACGCCACATAAGTATGGTGTGATGAAGCCTGGCAGTGTGCCTGCCGTCTCGACGGCACTACACGTTAGCTGTTCTTCTCTTTCAGTTGATACCCATTCCCATAATGACCAGCATCCTTAGTCTCTTCCCGGAGTACGCGTTGACGGGGAAGCTGGACGAGTTGCGAGCTAGGGAATATGGATACCTTGATGAGCAAGGTCACATCTACGCGGACTACACTGGAGCCGGCCTTCCGGCGCGCCGGCAGTATCAGGCTCACAAGTTGCGTCTTGAGGGTGCAACATTCGGAAACCCGCACTCGACGAATCCCACGAGTCACTCCGCTACGGTGCTAGTTGAACAGACGCGCGGGCGGGTGCTCTCCTACTTGAACGCATCGCCCGATGAGTACCAGGTAATCTTCACAGCAAACGCTACCGGCGCAGCGAAATTGGTCGGGGAAGCGTATCCATTTCGGAGGCATTCAAGACTGGTCTTGACGTCCGATAATCACAACTCGGTAGTCGGCTTGCGCGAGTTTGCTGCTCGAGCTGGAACTCGCATTAGTTACGTGCCGATTCAGAAGCCGGAATTAAGAATCGCAACTTCGGCCGTCGCCAAAGCCTTGCCACGCAAAAAGCGCCTGCGTCTTAGGAGATCGACCTCCGATCGTCGGGGGCTCTTTGCATACCCTGCGCAGAGTAACTTCAGTGGAGTGCGACATCCCCTGAGCTGGGTGGGCCTGGCGCAGGAAAGGGGCTATGATGTATTGCTGGATGCCGCTGCCTATCTTCCCACATGCGCGCTGGACTTATCTTCTGTTCGCCCCGACTTCGTCATCGTTAGCTGGTACAAACTTTTCGGCTTTCCTACAGGTGTCGGCTGCCTTGTCGCTAGACACAATGCGATGGCTCGACTGAACAGACCTTACTTCGGAGGGGGGACCGTCGAAGCCGTCACTGTTGGATTACCGTGGCATAAGATGTCGTCCGGCGCCAGCGGATACGAAGATGGCACTCTGAATTATTTGTCTATCCCAGATGTGCATGTCGGACTCGATTGGCTGTCCAGCATCGGCATGGAGCTCATCGGCACGAGAGTACGATGCCTGACTGGGTGGTTTCTAGCCCGCCTACTCTCACTCCAACATACGAACGGCACGCCCATGGCCAGGACCTATGGCCCAACAGAATGGGAGTCCCGAGGAGGTACCGTCACGTTCAATTTTCTCGACAGAACTGGAAAGGTCGTCGATGAACGACTTGTTGCAATGGAGTCCTCGGCAGCCGGCATTTCCTTGAGGACTGGCTGCTTTTGCAACCCTGGGGCTGGAGAGGCTGCTTTCGATTTGGGCAGAGAAAGGATATCGAGTATCATCCGTGCAAAGCCGCAGACCTTTGAAGACATTTGGAGCCTATCGGGACTACCGTCCGGAGGAGCCATACGTGTGTCATTTGGCGTCGCGTCGACGGCCAGAGATGTGGACTACATCATTGCGTTCGCGACCAAGACCTACCTGGATCGCGAGACAAATACCGATGGCCTACCCGCGCGGCGTGCCTGTTGACTAGTCCGGATGTCTTGATGCGCAGCAAGTCAAGTTGGACTCCAATGAGGCAACACGCTCCCGGAAGGAACGGGCTTCTCAGACGATTCCATGATAGGCAATGAGCTTCATACAGACCGCAACCTATCCTTCGACCTAAATGTGTCTGGCCCGGGATATGAGATGGTACGAGTTCTAATTTGGCTCTTGTTCCAGTATGGCTTTGTTTGTTTGACTGTTCTTTGACCACGATCGGCCGAGATAAAGGGACAACACGTCTCCAGGACACCACGTCTCCGGCCCAAATTGATCAATCACTTGCATTGGCATCAACTTCTTTCTGGCTATTCAAGTCCTGAAGCACGATATACCTTTCTCACGTTGTTCCTCCACTTGTGTTGATAGCCCACTGGGCAAGGAATTGCCGTGGCATTTTTATGTATCCTGACAGCGGCATCTGCCGTCATTCTATGAACAAAGATTGACACCATTCCTTTCTACATGGTCTTTACATGTGTGCCTGACACACTTGACCCACACATTACCGCTCCGTCGTTGTTGGAACGACAATTAATCCATCCCCCGAGGGTTGAGCCACAACATATCCGTCTTCACCCAAGACAACTCGACTCGCGTGTTGCCTTAGATGCCGCCAAAACCGGGAATCTTCGGAAGGAAGTCGCCCAAGCCCTTGATTGGCAGAGCGGAGTCCTCGTCTCCGTGCTGACGAGAGTGGCCGTCGTCATGCTGGGGAGTGAGGGGGGTGTCGGTCTTGTCGTCATGCTTCGGGGGCGTGGACTTGTCCTTGTCATCGTCGTGCTTCGGAGGCAGCTGGGTCTTGTCCTCGTGCTTGGGAGGGACGGGGTACTTGTCCTTGTCGTCTTCATGCTTCGGAGGCGGCGCAGTCTTGTCGTCGTCGTTCTTGGGTGGCGGCGCAGTCTTGTCATCGTCGTGCTTCGGAGGAGGGTACTTGTCCTTGTCGTCATCGTGCTTAGGGGGCGCAGGGTACTTGTCCTTGTTGTCTTCGTGCGTCGGGGGTGGCGGAGTCTTGTCTTCCTCATGCTTGGGAGGAACGGGGTACTTCTCCTTGTCGTCCTCGTGCTTCGGGGGCGGCGGGGTCTTGTCCTTGTCGTCCTCGTGCTTCGGAGGGACGGGATACTTGTCCTTGTCGTCCTCGTGTTTGGGAGGTGGCGGGTACTTGTCCTTGTCGTCCTCATGCTTAGGAGGCGGCGGAGTCTTCTCTACCTCATGCTTCGGGGGAGGCGGGTAGTTGTCTCCGCCCTTGTCAGGAGGTGGCGGGTACGCATGCTTGACGTCTTTGTCACCGGGTTTCTCTCCCGTGGGGAGGGCCAGGGCAGTGGCGGCGAAGAGCGCAAGAACAGAGAGGGGCTTCATGATTGCAAGTCAAAACTGAGTCGTGAGGTCGTAGTGCGAAGTTCGTTGATCGTCCCTGAAGATGCTTGAGCTGCTGATGATGTCGAAAGCTTCATCTCTTGGTCTGCGAGGTCATTATTTATATGTGAACGCTGGGAATAAATGCAGTTCTGGCGATGTGAGCGCGGCTGCCTTTAGTGAGACACGCTGCTCCTGTCGTTTTTGGACAGCAAAGAGAGTGTTGACCGATGTTTCAGTCGACGGGTGTACCGCAGACATTCGTTGGGCTCCAGAACTGTCACGTCAACGGATCGGCGAGCCAGCAAAACAAAAACAAAAACGACACGCCATCAACGATCGGTAGTAAATCAGGAGCGTCAGTGTATTAGACGGCCTGATAGCGAAAGTACAGTGTATCGCTTCTATCATCGCTCGCCGTATTCGATGGGAGGTACATTAAGAGCCTAATCTGTTTCCGCGACAGGGCAGGTAGAAGCCTTTACCTGACTTCGCGTACCGGTGGAAGCTCTTTACCACGGCGGTATCTCGCCGTAACAGTCGGCTCTGTTAATGGCTAGCAGATGGCGGAGGACTCGTCGTTTGGTAGTACCCCAGTCGTTGTCGGCACTGAGGGTGCGGCAGTCACTAGTCGCAATCAAGCCGTGGAAGTCTCAGTTCTTGTTTATGCGCGGCTCACAAGAAGCAAGATGACATGATTACTCAGTACACATTCGCTGACAATGGCCGATCAGTAGGCGACCGATGCAGGCCGCCCTACGTCGCGTATTACTCGCTGTGGAGAGTGATCTAATGACAAAGGGACTACGTATGTATTTCGGCGTCGGCTCCCGCTCAACTTTGGTGTCCACGATTATCCATCTCAGAAGGAGAAAAGGTTGCAGCGCTCTCTAGCGGATGAAAGACATTGGCGCCTTCTCTACCTTTGGCTGCAGCTCTCCTGTTTTGCACCGGGATTGGTTCGCGACATGCGCTCAGCGTGTGTTCCGGTCGAGGCATGGAACTTGGTGAATACGATTGAGAAAGTATGTGTGCGACACCTTTGATGACACGCAAGGCCACCCGGCACAAGAACAAGGCCTCTGTATGAAGTACGGAAAACATGAAACACAGGGAAAGACCCCTCATCAATAGCCGCGATGCTGCGCCGAGCACGACGTGTGTCGGCAGTACGTAGGCACCTGCCGTCCAACCACAGTCCACCCACGAAGTTCAGGTTGCCAACGGTGAGATGATAGCGGTGGCGCGGCCGCAATGCCCCAGCGGCTCTGCCGTCTTTTGTCTCCAAGCAACATCTTGACGTGCTTGCCCGCAACCCAGACTTGCCAGATAGCTTGTCGAATGCACGGGATGAAATACAGCGCCCCTTGCTGATCCTGCAAGGTCCCCAACCACTTGCGAGATTGTCTTGGGCAAAGACGGCCCAAGCTGTGCGGCTGAGTGGTGTCTGTCTCAGCTTTTCGCGGTGCGGGCGGCTCCTGCATGTACCGCGAATGGCGCTGTCGCGGCTTCTCAAAGCTTGCGAGGTACTTCGCGCAAGTGTCCTCAACGCGAGTTGCCGCTGCACTGTTCCTGAACCGCTGGACACGATTTTAGCTGCACGTACGAGCCCCTTGCTGATGTTCCAATGCATCGTTCTCCCAGGGGAGCCGCGATCCGGCGCGACGCTGCGGCCAGCTCTGGCGTTTGCTTCTTGCACGGCCTCCAGCATCCCAGCCTAGCGTCTTTCTCCAATTGACGCCACAACGGTGCCCAACACGGCAAGAACGGCCTTACGCTGTGATTGCACATGATGGGCGATCGGGAGCGGACCTACAACGTCGTCGCACAGGCCTCGTGGACGGCCACTCCGCTGATCGATGCCTGCCATCTGGGATTTCGACGTCCCGACTCCTGACACGATCTGCAATAACAGCCTGAGCTTGAAGAGATGGGCCACAAATCGGCCTGCCATGAATTGCGCAGACCGGTGCATGTCAATTCAGTAATTACGGCTCCCATAGCCTTGCACCTGTGTCGCGGAGCGAGCCACCTCATGTCAACGCCCGTGCGGTCCAACCCCTCTGACCAGGCATCAGAGATTCAGCGCCACTCGAGACAGTGGAAGTAGTACTACGTACCCAACCCTCGACTGGGACCAGGCTGTGGCTGGGAAAGTCCTTGTTCGCAATCCAACAGGCACAAGAAGCAACTGTGAGCTCGTACATTGCTTTTTGCCCCTGCCCTGCCGCAGTCTGCCACACAAACGGTGGCGCCCCATGTATGGTGATCACAATGCAGGTACGGATACAATAACCTCACCAGCCCACCTCGGACTCCAAAGGCCACGCGTGCGAACACCGCCGAAGAGCATGCTTCATGCTTCGTTCCGCACGCAACCATGCAAGCCCGAAACCCGAAAGGCATCCTGATTGCGGTGCTGGGCATTGCGCCTCTGGGCCTATTTGCGCAAGATCCTTACGCAATTACCGGTGTTTCCGTGAGCGATCCTGAGAATGGAGTCCCCCTGAGGCGGAACATCAACGAGCTTCAGGCCGCAGGAGGAGCACAATGGTATGGCTGGCCAAAGGACCGGTCGGCACGACGCATGCTTGGCTTGATCCTCCCTGAGACCTGACACGACATCCTAACAAAACCGTCCAGGGACCTTTACATCCGCTCGCTGCTCGAGATGCAGCAAGACAATTACACCGATCCGCTCTCGTACTTTCAGATAAAAGGTACTGGCCTCTCATGTCTCACTCTTGGGACTGGTCTAATTAGAAACCAAGGCATCCATGGTAGGCCCTTCGTGGAGTGGAACGCAACTGGCGGTCAGCAAACGACCGGATGGGCTGGATACTGTCCCCATGGCGTGTGTTACCTACTATCCGCTATTCATCGAGGTCTATTCAGCTAATGCCACTCGCAGGAAGAGCTCTTCATATCATGGCATCGGCCATATGTCATTCTGTTTGAGGTTTGTCCTCACCAGAGACTCCTCGGGGGGCACATCGACATTGGCTAACACTCACTGCAGCAAGTGTTGGTCAGCCATGCCAGGCGGCTTGCTCAAAGCTACCCCCAGGGTCTGCGGGAGGTGTATGTCCAGGCAGCCAACGAACTGAGGTCACCGTTTTGGGACTGGGCGGCCAGTTCTGTCGTGCCACCGGCGTCTGTTCCCGCCAAGGTGACGATCAATGTCCCCAATGGTGATGATGTGCAGGAGGAAGAGGTGGATAATCCGCTGTACTCCTACAAGATCCCGCAGCAAGTACTCGACGGCCAATACGGAACGTTTGATCCCGATAACAGACCACGGACCATACGGTGTCCACCGCCGCAGACATATCCGGACTCCGCCAACGACCTCCTCGGCCAGCGGCCGTACAGACAGTGGGTGGTACGCAGCGCGATGCCCCAACTCCCATTCTCAGCTCACAAGTGTAGTATGATGCATTCACCCGCGCGACCAACTTTACCGACTTCGCGACAACGAGCTCGACGATAGTCAGCCTCGAGCTCATCCACAATGGCATACATTGGGACGCTGCCTGTGGACAGCAATTCCTGAGTCCGGATCTATCAGCTTTTGATCCTCTCTTGTGAGCTCTTCAATTCCCAGCTTAGTCGAGTACTCGTTGACCTTTTTCTCGCAGTATGCTGCACCACAGCAATGTCGACAGGCTGTGGTCTTATTGGCAGGCCCTCAAGCCCGACCAAGACATCTTCCAGGACACTTATTCGGGCCAGTCTCGCTTCGCCTCTCCTGCTGGCAAGGTCATCTCATCAAAGTCTGCCTTGGAGCCTTTCTTTGGTGCAGAGAGGGTTCAGCACACGACCGAGTCTGTGAGAAGCATCCGTGGCTTCGGGTACTCGTACGAGGGTCTTGAGTACTGGAGCAAGTCGGCAGAGCAAATGCGACAAGACACCACCAGATTGATCAATCGCCTTTACTCGACGCAGCCGGCACCCGTCGACCGGCGACAGGAGAGCGAGGCAAAGTCGCGGTATTTTGCGCAGATCAGCGTGGACAGGGAGGACATCCCGAAGCCTTGTCAGATTAAGCTTTTTCACGACGACAAGGAAATCGCAGGCGTCGTCGTCATGGGCCAGCCCGCGGTCGGCAAGATGTCCGCGGGCCTGCCGCTGGACCGCTTCATGCAGACCTCAAAGATGAGCACGATGGACCACGATGAAGTGACAAGGTCCATCGCTTCGTCGCTCAACGTCAAGATAGTCAAGGCAAGCTCCCTGAACACCTTGCCCGCGAAATGGCAGCTAACAAGCTTCTCATCTGAAGCCGGACGGTAGCACCGTGGAGAACGTAAAGAGCCTCGTGGTGGAATTGGAGGATGTTACCGTCCGCCCGCCCGCGACTGAAGACAAGTTTCCCAAATACGGCTCGTCCAAGTTCCATAACGTCGCAAACAGATAGATACCTTCGGGCCGCAGTAGACACCCGACGGGACAGGCACAGAGAATATGACGTCACCGTCTTCATGTATGTAAGATGCGCGAAGCGGCGGTGAGGTATTGAACCCACGAGTAAACGACGCTGGATACCTGCCGGCGCGTCGGAAGTCTGCGACGCCCAGCCATCCACCTGCGGTAGAACCCGGCCGTCCGGGACTCCGGGCCAACTCTTTGGCGCCAGCTCAACTCGCCTCCAACTCGCCACGGCCGATGCCGATCAGGAACCGCCGCCGCACGTTGTCCAACTCGGCCCCTCGCTCGCGATGCTCTAGTGATCGCCGCCTTGCATCGCGCCCCACTACCTGCCATTGGGGAACCTAGCCCCAGCTTGCGAAGTGGATAACCACCTCTCGTAATGAGGCCAAAACAAGCAGTTCAAAGAGAGCGCGAGCCGTGCGCACTGCCCAGCCCACAAGGTCTCCGCGCCGCCAGCGTTCGCTCACAGACGAGCGTCCAGCAAATCACGTAACGTTGCTCCGGCACAGGCTCGTATGTGCGCCGCCATTCCTCGGGTGTGTAGTGCCAGAGCTAGGAGGGTGCTCGCTTGGCTCCTTCGCAGTTGTAACTTGCTGCTGCAACGCTGTGGCGGGTTGCTAGCCTCTACGGTCGCCTTGCGTCGGCAATTATTATGTACTCAGAAATCCGCCCGCAGGTTCAAACAAGCGGACGAGGACGTAGTAGCGGGCCAAGCAAATACAGCTCACTACGTAAGACTCAACAACTTTGCCTGCACGTGGGCAAATCGCGACTGTCGATCCCGTCGGCTCAGGCACGTGGGCGGAGAATGTGCTCACACGAGGACACAGGCCCAGCGCGGCACGCTAGGTGCAGGATCGACTGTCTTGACGTCGCAATGCATCGTCAACCCCTGTATGAAGATGCTCGGAATATATAGAGATCGCAATTCCTCCGGCAACCTCTAGGCCCCTCGGCCCCTGCGGACAGGAATCCTCATTGAGCAATATAGTCACCGCAATGAGACTGTCTAGCTTCTTGCCCGGTCAGTCGGGACTGCGGGGCATCATCTGCGGCCTGCTTCTCGCCCCGACGGCGTTTGCCGCGCCCGTGGACTCGTCAAGCCCGTCCTTCATCCTCGACCAGAGCAAGACGGCCCTCACCTTCAATTACTCCACGCCAGCCCCCGATGCTAAGAACTGGGTTGGTCTGTTTGCCTACTCCAATGGCCCTGAATACGATAAGAAGCGCGGAAACCCCATTACGTGGGAGTACACCACCGCCGGTCAGGGGTCCGTGCAGCTCTCGGTGCCGAACCTGAAGCCTGGGACTTACACCGCGTACTTTCTCGCCAAGGATGGTTATGTCAAGATTACCGAGCAGATTGACCTGCGATTTGAGGGTTTTGGGCCCGTCAAGTTTATCGTCCAGGAGTTCACTACGCATAATGCTCGCGTGGGCGACAAGTTTGAAGCGAGCATCCGCGGCCTGGTGGGAGTTTCGCCCGATGCCAACAACACCTTTCGATTGGCTTCATCGGACAAGGGAGACTGGACTTCCGTATCGGCCGACGGCATCATCTCTGGTACACCCGGACGCCAAGGTACCGCTGTCGTAACCGTTGAAGCGACGGGGAGCGACGGATCCAAGGCGCAGCTCACCGTCAGAGTACCGGTTCGATCAAAAACCTCTCAGCTGGTCGAGAAACTGACCGTGCTCTCCTTTAACCTTTGGCACGGCGGCACCCAAGTCAACGACTACCACAACAAGCAAATTCGCTTCCTGACCGCGAGTGGCGCAGACGTCGTGGGCGTCCAGGAGAGCCAGAGAGGCAATGTTCATCGCCTTGCCTACGCGCTTGGCTGGTACTTTTGGGAAACACGAGGCATTGGTATCATCAGTCGCTATCCCATCACGCAGCAGTACCCAGACACCTCGGCGGCTGGCTCGGTCCGCATTTCCCTGGATGGGGACAAGAGCGAGGTTGTGATGTGGAACACGCATCTCGGATATGATCCTTACGGCCCTTATGACTTTTGCTTCTCCAACATGACTCGGGATCAAGTCCTGAAGCGCGAAGAGGAATCCGGGCGGACACCCCAGATGAAAGAGATTGTGGCCGGCATGAAGGAGGAGCTCGGCAACACCGATAAGGTTCCTCTGCTGCTGACCGGAGACTTCAACGCCCCTTCCCATCTTGACTGGATAGATGCTACGCGTGAGGCTCACTGCAACGTCGGAAGCTTCCCGTGGCCTTCTTCCGTGCTGCCTACTGAGGCGGGCCTCCTTGACTCCTACAGGAAGGACCATCGCTATCCGCAGAAGGACCCGGGAATCACCTGGTCCCCCATCTACAAGGATAACGGAGGTCGTCCGGAACCGATGGACAGAATAGACTTCATCTACTACAAGGGGGGTCTGCACGTGGAGAGCTCGGAGGTGGTCCTCGTCGGGAAGCCGCAAGAGGAGCCAAACCATAAGGACAACGAGTGGACATCGGACCATGCCGCTGTGAAGACTGTCTTCAAGATCACCAAGAAGTAGCCAAGCTATATAGACTGTTGAGAAGACACTCGCGAAATTGAAGCAAATGTGGCGGCTTAGGCCCACGAAGTTACATGTCGAGTTGCTTGAACTTTCCCATGCGTGCTACCCAAGCGAGTATTCCCCTACTTCGACAGTCGTGTTGTCCCTGAGGGCATCTTTGATGGCAGCGCAAACCTTGAGCGCAGCCAGGCCTGCTTCTGGGGTGCAACTGGGAGGCTCCTCGTCTCTCAGAACGCGACAAAAGTGCGCCAATTGCTCCGCAAACGGAACCGTTGCAGTCGTGGGGATTGTTTCGCCCGTCAGGGGCGAGTGCCAGGACTTTGATACGCCTTCATAACGCCAAAGCGTCATGTCCGGGACGCTCAAGGTGCCTTCGGTGCCGAAGATGCGATAAAAGTCTTTTCCTGTCTGGGGGATGAGCGGGTTCTCTCCGGTGCCAGACTCAAAGTTGAAGGGAGAGGGCGTCGCATCGGATATGAGAAAGGTGCCGACGGCGCCGGACCTGAAGCGAATGGTCATGGCGGCGCCCTCTTCCGCCCGGTGGCCGCGCTGTCGTGCAATACTCTCCGCATGCACTCGCGCAATTGGGCCGAATAAGTGATGCAGCAAGTCGACCTCGTGAATCATGTTGATAAGGATAACGCCGTCCGCGTCGCCGCGCCGCCAATCGCCCGGCGGGTCAAAGTAGCCCGGGGGCTTGTACAGAGTCCAGAGGCCGTTGATTGCGAGGACCCGGCCCAGCGAGCCGGACCCTAGCACCGCCTTTGCGGCGACGATGTAAGGGCTAAAGCGCCGGTGGTGGCCGACAAGGGCTTTTGCTTGCGACCGTGCCAGTTCTGCGACCAGCGCCTCACCGCTGGCAATGTCCGCGGTCAATGGCTTCTCTATCAGTACGTGGACGCCGACTGCAGACAGCTGCGTCGCCACCGCGCCGTGGGTGTGGTTCGGCGTGCAGACGATTGCGGCGTGGGGGACGTCTCCCGCTGCGATCAAGTCCGTGGTGGACGAGTAGTGCTGGACGTTGAGCTCCTCTGCGAGACGCCTCCCAGCAGGGTCCGGGTCGACGATTGCGACCAGCTCGGTTTTGCGATTCGCAACGACATGTTCTGCATGTCGCGGGCCGATGAGACCGGCGCCGATGATTGCGATGCGAATCTTTGGGGTGGTCTCGGACGCTTCCATCGTGGCCGGTGGCGCGGTGCCTACTTCCAATCGAGGATCGTGGCTCCCTGCGTGTCGGTGAATGCAAGGTCCCGGCCTACGGACAACGTGTCAATACATGGGATTCTTCCACTCGCAGCGACAGATGATCAATAAGAAGACAGCTGCCCCGCCAGCTTTCGCTCGGATGTGGTCGGGAAACTCTCCCAGGCGGTTAAGCATTCACCCGCGACGCGCTGTTGGGCCTGGATAAATACTTTGAGCAATCCGCTCATTCATCATTCTCATTTGCATTTCGCATCAAATCCAGGCCATCGCCTGTGCTGTCGTAATACGCTGTATGTACATACTCCTATGCCCGTTGGCGTGTATGTTCGCAGATGCGCATGGCCACCTCAGGCCGCGACGCCATTGTTTTTCATCCATCGCCAGCTCTGCGCCAGTTTTTTCCCCGCTCACCAGTGCCGTCAAGCTCGGCCGCATTGAGTGCGACTCCCTAGTAGCTGACGCTGAACGTCGCCCAGTGGCTCAGAGACCCCTCGAGCGTCAACTTCTTGTCTGCAACCGACACGTACTTGGACGACGCCTTGGACTTGATGGTGTGACCCTTGCTCGGCTCGAAGCCGAGGGTGAACACGATGGCATCCTGCTTGTCCTTGCACATCTTTCCACCGGCACAGATGAACCGGTTATCGACGGCGCTCTCAAGGGTAAAGTCGTCGCCACCGATCTGCACGGCATGCACGATCCACCGCTGCAGGTCGCGCGCGTGGCCCTTGGAGACCTTGGTGACGGTCGCACCGCCGTCAGGGCGGCAGCGGCCCGGGTTGGTCAACGCGTATCCGTCCATCTCGAACACCAGGTAGCGCCCTTCCGTGATCTTGCCGCGCACGGACTTGAAGCCAGGCTCAACGACGCTGGCGATATCCTTGATCACGCCGTCGCCAGTGTAGGGCACGGGCGGGCGCGTCTTGGGGTTCCTGGACTGGCAGTAGGACGATCCGTCGTAGTCGCCGTTGGCATTGCGATGAGGCTCGGGGGCAAAGGGCAGGTTCGGGATGGAGTAGTCGGGGTTGGCAAAGTCGAAGGCGCCAACGAGGTCGGCCATGTGCTCCCGCCGCCAGTGCACCATCTCGTCCGTAGTGACGTTCCGGCCCTTGGCTGCCTGCCACTTTTCGATGAACATAATCTGGGAGTTGTGGTCGATGTGCTCCGTATACACGCCGCCGTTCCTAGTCCAGGGCGAAATGATGTAGAACGGGAGACGGAAGCCCGGGCCGATGAAGGTGTGTCCAACCTGTCCCCAAGGGTCGTCAATCCATTCGCCGGGCGTCCCGTCCGGAGACCGATACGGGTCGAGGTGATCCCACCAACCACCCGTCTCGTCGTAGGAGATCATCAGCACAGTCTTGTTATACTTGGGAGAGTCGAGAACAGCACGGGCGATTTTGTCCTGCAGCCAGGCGCCGTCATGAGGCGAGTACGGCGTATGCTCTGACAGCTGCATCGGGCCGACGATATAAGACACCTCCGGAAGGGTGCCACTGGCGGCTTGCTCATAAAACGTGTTTAGTGGCAGCCCTTGCATGCCTCTCGTGTATAGGGACGAGCCTTTCGGGGCGTCTTGGAACTGCTTAAACCACGCGAACGGGTTGTCGTCGAAGTTATCGGCGTCCTGGAAGACCTGCCACGACACGCCGGCATCCTCATAGTACTCAGCAGCGGTCTTCCACTTGAGAGGATAGCAGTTAATGCCTCCCCGCTCACAGCCAGGGGTCTCATTGTTGTCGATATAGGGGTTGCCTCCTTCGTCTGGCTTCTGCGGCGAGCCTGGAGCATTGATGGAACCGGAAATCCAGGACACACGGTTCGGGTTGGTGGAGGCGACAACAGACTCCTGCAGGTCTGTGAGAAACATGTCCGTGACAACACGCGCGCTTGCCTGCCGGTCACCTACCTGATACATGTCTCCGATGACCCAGTTCTCAGCCAAGGCCCACTGCGTAGGGATGTCCTGCTTCTTGTAGAAGCCGATGCTCCAGGGCGTGTTGTTCATGGCCCAGTGGTCATTCGAGCCAAAGTTCCAGGCGGCGTGGTTCTCGTACCAGCCGTTGCTGCCGGCAGACATACATTGCGTCGCCTCAGGCCAGCTCCCTCCGAGATAGTTGAGGTACCAAGGGTTGACGTAGTCGGTTTCGGTGGTCAACGCCGGACTGGTCTTTTGCTTCCAGACAGGGACATTTCCGTTCATTTGCAGGTTGGCATCTTTGAAGCCTCGGACACCAGCCATGGAGCCAAAGTAGTGATCAAAGGCGCGGTTTTCTAGCGGGAGCGGGAGCTGTCAGTCCTCTACGGCACATGGGCAGCTCGAGTCACGGCGGTATGCATACCCTGCATGAAGAGAACGACATGGTCAATGTCCTTCAGGGAGCCGGCGCTTGCGACGCTGGCGAGGAGGCAAGCAGCTGCCGCTATCGGCGTGGGGGATCGAACGGGGGCCATATCGATCTCAGTCTGCCTTATCGATCTCAATGAGACTTGACGACCCTAGCCCGTGCGACCTGACAAGCGTTCCTCGCCCCCTCATCCCAGGGGCGGGATGTCGTCGTGTCTTATACCATCGGAAACGCGGTGGCTCCCGAGGTCTCTTCCGCGGCAAAGATTGGCAGTCCGGTTGCCGACAGATAACGAGTCGCGTCGAGGCCGAGCAGATTGGACATCCCATGGGCACCCACGTGCGGCAGGCGACAGACTGACAAGCTGCCAATAGAGGCCATACCCGCGCACACGGGGCGCATCGCCAGGCGCGGTCCGGATCGGCGCCCCGTTCCCCTGTGAGAGCAAGTCGAGCGCACGCTCGCAAGCCAACCCGTCTGCTTGCAAGCCGGCTGGAGCGCTACGATGTGGGTTTGCGCCCAGAAGCGCGGTGCGTTGGTGCGAGAGCGGCGAGGGGATGATGGCCTTGGTCCCGTCAATGCGACCGAAGAGGCAGTTCGGTAAAGCGGCCAAGCCAAGCCTTGGGGGGTCATGCTTCGTACGGTACTCGATGGCCAGAGCATCTCGAGCGCGCTCATGGCAAGCCTTAGCGCCGACCGATGCGACCCTTGTGATGTCGTTCGGGGCCGTGACGGCGACGTGCCCGCCCGCCAATTGCATGGCCAAGGAACGCCTCGTGAACGGATGGCTTGCCCTGGATCTGGGAGTGGCTGCGGCCCCACAGATTGACGGGTGGTGGCACCCGGAGGGGATGGATCAAGGATGGCCCTGGCCTGGCGGTGGTGCATGTGCCTTCGAGTAATTTAGCGCCACGAGGACTGTTTCCCGACGTCTGCACGGTTTTTCCTCCCCTGTTGACGGGCGGCAGCCAGATGCAAGCCGCCCCTGGACAACGTTTGTTGTGTCACTTCCAGGCTCCGTCGACGTTGTGTGGACCGTCCGTCGAGGAGGAAGTGGTCGCCGCTCATGCCGCGCCTCAGTCGAGCATCAACCACCTATTCGTCAACCGCCCTGACCGCCAGGGCGGGATCCCCCGATGTCGCTCAACTTTCCAAGAAGGCCCTCGTGAGGATTCCAGCGAACACGTCTCGCAGTTACACGACATGTCGTTCCGTCCGCGCAGAAAGCGGGGTCCCAGCCTCCCACCAGTCGTTGAGACATCGGCCCGGGTCTACTGTCACCTCAACTGGATGTCCACCGCGTCCGTCGACGAGACACCAGGCCACCGCGGAAGCAGCTTCCTGGTGAGGTGAGTGCGGCCTGCGCACGTACCGTTGGGCGAGCCTTTCGTTCGGCCAGGATGCCGAGGGCCAACGGGATGGTTCATGTCATGCTCAGCGGTGCTGAGGCCGGAGGGCCTTGGCATGCTGTGCTGCGCCGGCTGCTGCTGGAGCCCGGAGAAAACACATTCATTGCTTTTTGCTGCAGGGTCTCGAGTCTGTCGAGTGTTGACAGTTTGCGCTGCTCATGTTGGGTCCGTGGCTGCTCCGCGACTTCGTCACCCCGCCGCTCTGTCCCGGCCCCCCACGGGCGCGCAATGCGCAATTGCGCATGATGAACGAACCAACGGGTATCGCGGCAGCTGCAGCATGCCGGCCTTCGCTCCGACTGCACCTTGTCCAACGATGCCGTAGGCGCGGTTCTGCGAGGGCAGCTCTTGGTAAGTCAAACGGGCACGTGCACCCGCATCTCCAACCTATGGCCAGTGCGGTATTGGCAAGCCCTCATCGTTGCGCTGGTCCTTGGCCATGCACGGAGGCGCCGTCGGCCAAGTCTTCTCCACGATGTTCCGTACTTGGCAGACGGGGTCCAGGGGGGTTGATTCCGGGATGGACCGCTTGCCAAGTTGGCATGACATGGCCCGGCCCCGTTGGAGGCATCGAAGGCCAATAATGGGCCGAAGGCGTCACGTGCTGCAGCAGCCCCTGAGTCCCCGACCTGATCGGTGCTGAATCGGCACGCGCCAACCGCCGAAAGAAAAACAAAACAGCGGCAGCGTGTTTTGCCTACCCTGCAGCTCGTGGCGACTGTAATTCACCCCCCGTGGCGGCAGGTTGGAGGCCCCCAGTGTTGCAGCAGCATGCCCTTGCTTGAAAGCATATGCTGTGCAAGGCTGGAGGGGAATGCTTCCGTCGTCTGGTTCTCCTGGCTGCATGAACGCGCATCTGCACATCGAGCATGAGTTGGGCGTTTGCTGAAAACTACAGCAGGCGACGGGCATGCATGGCGGGGCATTTTCACAGTGCAAGCGCCCGGGGACGCTTCCTCGACAGACTGGAACAACCGTGAGTGGGATGGCATGGCCGTACATGCTGCATTCACCATACATCAAGTGAGTGCTGCATTGCACCGGACGGATGTTGCAGATCTACCGCCCGCTGCCGTGATCAAGGATTCAAGATCGCGGGAGGCGAACACAATGGAACGACAGAGAAGCATTCCTTCGCGTTGTCCCTCCTGACGGCGATGTTGCCAAAGGGCGCAGGCTGCCCCACAACGTAGGATGTCGGGGGGGAAAATAGCCTCAAGTCCGCTCGAAAAGAAAAACCGTGCCGCGGACGCGCGTGCAAGACATTGAAAGAAACACTCTTCTTTCACCCCCTAAATCACTGCAGAAGGAAGACGAAGCAACCGCCATGACCGTTCCCGCACGAACCCGCCTCTCCTTCCAGTACGACGGCAAGCTCCTGCGCCTCGAGACGGCGGTGCACTCGGTCCGGCCCTTTGCGGACCTCGAGGCGGCCAACCAGGCCCTCTTCAAGCAGGCCAGCGCCGACGAGGACCATGTTGTCGTGACGAGGGAGACCGTCTTCCACCCGCAGGGCGGCGGCCAGCCGTCGGATGAGGGCACGCTGGCCATGGCTGCTGGCCATGACGTCGCGGCCCGCGTGCCCATTTTCCGCGTCCGGGCCGTGCGCATGGACGCCGTCCACGACGGCCAGGTGCTGCACCTGGGACGCTACATCGGTGGTGGTGACGCGCCTCTGGCCGCCGCCATGGCCCCCGGCGACGTCGTCGAGCAGGCCGTCGACGCCGACAAGCGGCTGCTGTACTCGCGCCTGCACACGGCCGGCCACGTGCTTGGCTCGGCGGTGCGTAGCCTGCTCGAGGCCGAGGTGCCCGGCTTCGACGAGCTCAAGGCGTCGCACTTCCCCGACAGCGCCGCGTGCGAGTTCCGCGGCAGCATCGAGGGCCGCTGGAAGGCGCCCATCCAGGCGCGCGTCGACGAGTACCTGAGCCGCGCCATGCCCGTCGAGATCGACTTCTGGACCGACGACGACTTCCGCCGCGAGGGCCTGGAGCGCCTCATCCCGGACCGCGGCCTCCTGCCGCCGGGCGAGGACCGCTTCCGAGTGGTGCGCATCGTCGGCGCCGAGGTCTACCCATGCGGCGGCACGCACGTCGACACGACGGACCAGTGCGGGCCCACGACGGTGAGGAAGATATCGCGCGCCAAGGGCATCAGCAGGGTCAGCTACGCCGTCGCCGCCAACAGCGATGTTGGCGGCGGCCAGCCGACGTCGTGAGGCCCGGCGAGTGTCGTCCGTCGCGCGCGGCAATGCTTGCCCTGCTATCGTTGCCCCTGCCGCCTCCACAGATCAGATTTACCTCCTCTTGTTCGTATTGGATCGGTTGGCTGGCGGCGGCGGCGGCAGCAGCTCGGCAGCTGCACGATCGTCCCGCCCCTCTCGCGTCTGATCGTCGGCCACGATTCGATTCGCCGTCTCGCGTCGCTCGTATTACAGTATCGCAAAGGGCGCACAATTGACATTCACGGTCGACCACCACACATCACCTGACTGCCCGTTCAGCTCGCGTCTTGCGCGGCGCGTGCCGCGACGCGAAAGATGAATCGCGCTGTGCAGGACCGTAACACCACGGCTCATTCAATCTTCAAACCTCTGCAATTGGAACGGCAGCGCGATACCCGACCTGCCCATCATGACAGACACCACGCCGACGTCGTCCGCGCCAGACATGCGCATTGCGCTCATCGGCGCGGGCACAATCGGGCTGTCTCTCGCAGCCCTGCACCTCACGCACCTCCCTGATGCGTCTCAGCTCACCATCATGGATGTCCGCCCTGACCTCGAATCGTACGTCGCAACTGTCCTGCCGACGTATCTGCCTCCCGGCTTGCGGAAGCTTGCCGCCGAGGTCAAGCTCACGTCGTCCGTCGCGGACGCCGTGGCAGGCTGCACCATTGTCCAAGAGAGCGGTCCAGAGAAGCTGGCCTTCAAGACGCAGTTGTGGGCGGAAGTCGAGAGGGTCGCCCCGCCGGATGCGCTGCTCTGGACGAGCACCTCTGGGATCCCCGCGTCGCAGCAGAACGCCGGCATGACGGACAAGACGAGGCTGCTCGTGGTGCACCCGTTCAACCCGCCACACATCCTCCCTCTGCTGGAGATTGTGCCTTCGCCCCAGACCTCGCAGGCGGTTGTGGCGAAGACGATGGACTTTTGGCGCCGGATCGGGCGCGAGCCCATTTTGCTCAGCCGGGAGATTACGGGCTTCGTCGCGGGTCGTCTGGCGTGGGCGCTCCTGCGCGAGGCGATTCACTTGGTCGACGAGGACGTCGTGACGGTGGAGCAGCTGGACCGCATCATACAGACCAGCATGGGCCCGCGCTGGGCGTACGCCGGCCCGTTCAAGAGCTTCCAGGCGGGCGGCGGGCCCGGTGGCCTGAGGGCCCTGCTGGGCAACGTTGGCGGGACGGTGCAGGCCTGTTGGGACGACGGCGGACGCGTGAACATGGGCGGCCCATGGGAGAGCAAGGTGTTTGCACAGGCCGACGAGGCGTACGGACAGCCTGACCTGGAGGAGCGCGACCGCGCCAATCGAATGGTGCTGAGGGCCGTGCGCGAAGCCAGGAGCAGCTGAGCCAGGGATGAATCTGCCCGTGGCGCGTGGTGGCATGCCTCTGGTGACGTCGATTGACCCCAAGGCCACGAAGTTTTAACTCGAGTATGCAACCGAATGTTGTGCCGCGCAAACAAGTCGGCCTCTTGCGTGTCCGCGTGCTTTAGCTAGATATATATATATGCCCTGCGCAATCCAAGTCCACGATGCTGATGTGGTGGTGCAGCTTCTTGGCTTGCCGACCGTGTCCAGTGCCTTGGCATGAATGCCTCTCAATTCGTTTGCAAATACCCGTCGCGCTCGCGCAACCGATTGCAGAGTGGGCAATGTGAGTCCTCGTCGGCGCTGTCCGAGTCGTCCGAGGTGGGTGCCGCTGCGCGACTGCATGTGTGCGTTGTATGTCTCTTCGCGCAAGCGTGTGCGACGCCCCACGAGATGCGCCTCTGGCGATGCGGCGATGAATGCCGGTTCTGCCCAAGGCCAGGCTAAGTCTACTTTATTCGCCGCGGAGCGCCTGCTCTGGCATCCCACGACGAGGCCGCGCACGGCTGCCGGGGCGGCTGATGGGGGCTCTGGAGTGACTGCACTGCCGTCGCCGACGCATCTCACAGCAAATGACGCGAGAGCGGGCCGGCGAGTGAGACGGATTACGGGAGGCGCTCCGACCGCGCCGCGTTGCGTCACCTTGACCGATCTCAGATCGCAGAGAGCCGAGAGCGCGGAGCATCTGCGCCGATCCCAGATCTCAAGCCACCTTTCCGTGCCGCACAGGAATCGCTCCTGTCTGGGCGCTCGATCCTGCCGGTGGTGATGCTAGCAAAGTCGTCATCAATCAGAACGCTCCATGTCCTTCGAGGCTTGGGCAGCCCTGCTTGCCTGCCCTGTGGCCGGCCAGACCCGCGCGTCTTGCCCCCCCCCGGCGGCTTTCCATCAGTGACTCAGGGGGGACGTCGTCTGATTGACACAGCGATTGATAATCGCTGACAATTAGGTGCCCTGCGACGCAAATTTTAGCACTAACCGAGCGGGATGACGGGCACACGCTGGCAGCGCGTATCTACGAGCATCGGGCGGCGCAAGCGGCACCTGCCCTAGTCGCCCCACGGCAGACAATGGCACATCTTGCAGGGGACCTACGAAGCAGGGAGTCTTGGGAGTTTAGGGGCCGACCGACCCAGCACCAGCAGCACCGGCGGCGGGCAGCCCTACGTCGGGCGAGCTCTCGGACGCCCGCTCAGACGGCCGGCCTGCTGGCGGATCTAGCGGCTCGGCAGTCAAGTGGCTACCAAGTTGTTGAATAAATAAGTTTTCGACGGCCGGCGACTTCAACGTCGAAGCTCCCTTGGCCGTCGGGAACTCAAGGTCGAGCCAGCCGATTCTGTTGTCGCTCTCCCACCAGCACGACGGGCGGACGGGCGGACGGACGGACGGCCCATTCCTCAATTGAACATCTCTCCAACATGGATTCTCGCGGCGAAAAGCCCCCGAGCGGCGACCGTGACGCCGCAGCCGATCCCATCACCCGAGAGCCGTCTGCCGCCGGGTCGATATGGGTCGCCGAGTCCATGTCGCTCCCGCGCGAGGCGGCATTCGTCGCCCTCGTGTGCATGGCGCAGTTCTGTACCCGTAAGACGACGTCGCTCCCGCCGCTGTGCGCTGCTCGTGTTGCGACCGATTGACTGACTGGCATCGGCGCGCAGAGGCGTCATACCTGGGCACGCTCGTCCTCCTCCGCACAATCGGCCAGACTTTCAACGTCACCAGCCCGCCTCAGCTCGCCTGGCTCGTTGCCGGCTACTCCCTGACCGTCGGCACCTTCATCCTCTTCTCCGGCCGCCTGGGCGACGTCTTCGGGTATAAGCGCCTCCTCATCACCGGCCTGGCCTGGTTCTCGCTGTGGTCGCTCGTCGCCGGCCTCAGCGTCTACTCCAACTACCGCCTCGCCGTCTTCTCCCGCGTGCTCCAGGGCATCGGCCCTGCCATCTGCCTGCCCAACGCGCTCGCCATCTTTGGCACCGCCTACGCCCCGGGTCACCGCAAGGCCATGGTGTTCGCCTTTTTCGGCGCGGTGGCGCCCATTGGCGCAGTGTTTGGCGGCACCTTTGCCTCGCTGCTGACCCTGGCCTGGTGGCCCTGGGCGCTCTGGGTCATGGCCATCTGGCTCGCCTTCCTCGCCGTCGTGGGCAACTTCGTGATCCCGACCCTTCCGAGGAAGAATGCGCCGCCGCGCGACTGGAAGTCGTGGGTGCAGGTTCTGGACCTGCCTGGCGCCTTCGTCGGCATTGTGGCGCTGGTGCTCTTCAACTTTGCGTGGACGCAGGCCCCGATTGATGGTTGGGGGACGCCAACGGTCATCGTGCCTCTCGTGCTTGGGCTTTTGCTTTTCGGCTTGTTCGTCTTCATCGAGCTCAGGCTCAGCTCGATGCCGCTCCTGCCGTTCGACGCGGTCAACGCAGACGTCGCCTTTGTGCTGGCTGCCGTCGTCTGCGGCTGGGCCACCTTCGGTATCTGGACACTGTATCTTGTCCAAATCTTGCAAGACATCCGCCATCTCTCCCCACTATTGACCACGGCGTGGTTTTGTCCCGTGGCCATTGCCGGCGCTGCCGCCGCCGTGTTTACGGGTAAGCTCCTAGGTCCGTGGCAGGTCAGGCCTCCCCTGGTCATGACCTTTGCACTCGTTGCCTTCACCACGGGGGCCATCTTGACAGCCTTTGCGCCAACCACGCAGCTATACTGGGGCCAGACTTTTGTATCCATGATCGTCATGCCGTTCGGCATGGACATGAGCTTCCCCGCCGCGACCCTCATTCTCTCCGACGCCGTGGCCAGGCACCACCAAGGCATCGGCGCCAGCCTTGTGAACACCGTCGTCAATTACGGAATCGCTCTGGGGGTTGGCTTCGCAGGGACCGTCGAGGTTCATGTGCACGGCAACGGCGAGACCAAGGAGGAGAGGCTACGAGGTTTTCGCGGCGCGTTGTACATGGCTATCGGCTTGGCTGGGCTCGGTCTCATTGTATGCCTTGCCTTTTTGACCCGCGAACTGACTAGGTCACGGCGGTCGCGATGACATCCTGGTAGGCTCGTATGCGATGATGCAGATGCCGTGCGACACAGCGGCAAGGCCGACATGCACGACGGATTTGAGCTCGACTGATTACTCCGGGGTCGGCGAAGCCACATCTCCGCTTCGGCCTCTTGCCATGCCGAGCGGTGTGCAACAATTACAATTCGGATCCTCAGGTTCGCATCGACCCAACCGACAAGCACATCTTTTTTGCACCGAACTATAGAGCGGCATCGTAGGATAGAAGAAGGGCGTCTCGAATTGAATAGACATACGGCGGTCTACACGTAGACACCGGACAATTAGATACCAGGCAAAACAGCCATCAATCTCCTCTGGGAATATATAGGGGTGGAATAAGAGTGCAGTGTTGGGCAAAGAATGACTACCGCCCGATTCTATAGCAAACGCGATCACCAAGCCCATATGCGGTCGTTTTAGAGTCGAGCCCGTGGGTTTGTGTTGGCTGTGGGTTTCGACATGCGACATGCATCATGACCGCAGTGTGACACTGCTCCCATGTGGCACATGCTCGGCATGGTTCGATCGCCCTGACCAGCTCGTAGATGGTATACCCCCGAGGCTATAATACGCTGCAAGACTATGTGGGTGACTCAATTCAGGCCGCCCATCACCTGCCATTCTCGTACCACATGGAGAGTAGCCTCGGTAAAGAACTGTCACAGGATGCAACTCGCGCCAGGAACAGGCAGCCGGCCAGTTTTGCAAATAGGTGTTGTCAGACTGGTGGTTAGAGACTGTGTCACGGCTGATGTGTACATGCACCGACATCAATGATCGCGTTCCTTGTTCCAGTCCTGCAGCCAGCATCCTCCGGACCAATGCCTCAAAATGGCAGTCTAAAGGATCGCCATAAGCTCCGTGGTCCTATTTCGTGGAATAAACATAGGCCTCCTGGTGCAAGGGGGACTTCAAAGTCGCCGTCGCCAAGCCACATACCCGTGCCGGCGGCAGCATGCATAGCGGGTGGCGTCACGGAAGGCGGGCAGCTCGGCGTTATGCGGCGGCTGGCCCTTTTTGGATGGCGACGGCGCTGTCGACTTCAGCGTCGAGAAAGTCCCCAGCAACCTATCCATCCCGGTTAATATTCGTCTACTAGTAAGACGGGGGAAAATTGACACGCAGACAAGTTTTGCTTATGGCTTCTATCCCCGAAACAGACGATTCTCCGCATCCATCCCCTCGAGTTGCCACACCAACTCGCCCGTGACAGAAGCAAGAGCCCCGAGAAAGCAGGGCTGAATCAGATGGTCTGGGACCTGTGTTTTGGCGTCTGATTGTGTATCTTGTCTCCACGTGCAATAAATCGGGGCTCAATTAACACTGCTAGTGACTTGTGCCAGCTTGCTGTTAGCCAGATTTGCATTGTCTATGCGACCAGTTGGAAGCTATCGCGGAGAAGCGGTGACCGCAACGCCCAGCTGTTCGAAAAGACATAGAGATTGCCATCCGCTTTGGATAAACCCATTGACCATGGCAAAGAGGCTCGGCAGTCACAGGTGCTGTAACACCGACGGTGGCGAGTGCCCAGTATTGATTCGGCAGGTGGCTGACCGGTTGGATCCTGCTGAGCACCGCTCCGATCCCCGTCGCCACAGGAAACAAGCCAAGGGACTTGCTCACGGAGCATGCAAAGCAGAGTAGCATCGCAGGTACCGTAGCCCAATCGGATCTGCGGGCGTCCTGGAGTCTTGCGGGGGAATGCGGGGTGACTGCCCGGTCTGGGGTGGGAAAGGGCTAAGACCGTGGGGGTTGCCCCGAAGTTGGCGGCTCAACCAGCGCCAGGCAATGTCGTGGCGCTTCGGCCTGGTAGGAGGTGGCCGTCCAGGAGAAAGGACGCAATACCATCCTTTGACTGTGCCCGGAAACGAGGAAACGGCCGAATAGGACCAAAATGCGTGCGCCGCCGGCGGTTTCCCCGCCGCTTTGCTGGCTTCGGCCTCACTTGCGACGTTGATGAGACCATACCGGCGAGCAGCCCCCTTCGCCCCACCTCCGCACTTGGCTCTTGCAGAAACATCCTTCTTGGCGACCGTATTACTACTATACGCTCTGAGGCTGCCTCGGCTTTTGGTCTCTCACGAGCTTCGTGATTCTACTGCTGAAAGGTCAGGAAACGAAATGTATAAAAGGGGCCGTTGGCTGCTTGGGGAAGGCAGTCCTCTCCATCAAGCCTACATCCTCAGAAACACTTGCACGATATCCCCACGTCTCCAAGTACTCAGTGACTCAAGGTTCAAGAGTCAACTTGACATACCAAGATGAAGTTCCTCTCGCAAGCTGCCGTTCTCCTGCTGGCGACTGGCGTCTACAGTCGGGCTGTTGAGCAGCGCGACCTCGCTACCGTCACCGGCGTCTTGACCCAGGTTCAGACTGGCATCGATACCCTCGACGCGGCCGTCAAGGCGTTCAATGGCGACCCTGCTCCTGTCAAGGACAAGTCTGACGCGCTGGTCGCCACGATCAACACGGGAACGACCACTGTTCAGGGGTCAACTCCGCTGACGGTCCAAGACACGATTGCCCTCTTCAACCCTGTCAACGAACTCAAGGCCCATGCCCAGACCCTCTCGGATGACTTGCTCGCGCGGCGTGCAGATGTCGCTGCCGCGAAGCAGTGCGATGTTACGCGCAACCAGATTGGCCAGATCAACACGGCGAGTCAAGGACTCATCACGGCCATCGTCGACAAGGTTCCCCCGGAGGGCAAGGCAATTGCCCAGCAGCAGGCTCAGGGAATCATCGATGTGTTGACCGAGGCTCAGGCCAACTTTGCATCGGATAAGTGTCAGAACGCTGCATGAAGAACTGGCCAGAGACATTACAGTTCGCATCTAGCAGGGGCGCGGTGTAGTTGGGTGGCCTCCTGGCCGGGTGTCAGTTGCCTACAAAGTCGGAGATAAGAGAGTCGTTCTGCAGACACATCTACCTGTGATATGAATCGTGCTTTCGACGCTTGTCACTTGAGGGGTGGGTGAGGCTTGTCCAAGAATTGCAGTACAAGTGCCGAAATATCACTCAATTGGAACAAATCCGCCCCATCAAGGCCTACAATCGGCGCAGTAGGGTAGTTCGCCGCTGCCAGGAGTGTCTCATGTGACATGCCAGAGCTCGCGAAGTTAAAGGCACTGCTGTAATCCATAAAGTGACTCGAGATGAGCGATACCGAGTGACGGCAAAGCCCACAGGACGGTGACACATGAGAAAGTCTTGCAATGTCATGCTGTGCGCTACCTAGAGCAAGTTAGAGACCCGCTGTGTGCCTGCCCTTGGTAATGAAGCATAGAGATGTAGGCAACTGACGTGCCATTTGCTGCGACCTCGGCTAAGTACCAAACCGACTGCGCCAAAACGCTTGAGTGATTGCCCCAAAGGGTAGACGAGCTCATACCTTGTCGTTACGCTGTGACGGACTTTTTACTCGGGCAAAACTGCTTTCACTTTTATAGCGGACAAACATAAAAAAAGAATTAGGCGACCAAGCACCGTGAAATAACATTCCGTGGCATCTAGACGCAAGGAGCACATAAAGACGTTGCTGCGAAGCAGCGCAGCGCCGTCTATACACTCAATGAGGAGACCTATAAAGCGCAGGAAGCTCCTGGTAAAGCCTGGATTAACCTACGCCTACGGCGCCCGTCATGAAATTCGGGATCGACTGACTGCGTTACAAGACCTTGCGGCTCAATTATGACTGACACGGTGGTCCTGTTGGCGGCTGCGCGTTTCGGCGACGGACAGATGCTGGTCCTTCTGGGACCACTGGAGGGCACACGCAAAGCTTTACCAACGTTGGCATTATGGACATGATTGGACGTGCATCTAAGTACCTCACAGAAAGGGAACGTGGTCATAGACACGCCGGACAATGTCGCCTCTGTGCGGGACCCCATAGTTGCGTCACACATCTTTGCACTCACCTGCAACGCATCGTCAATGACTTGCAAGTTGAAAATCTTGCGTCACAGGGTGGAACTGAATGCAATACATCATTGCTTTCACAGTCAAAATAGGGACAAGAAAAGGATGTTCCTTCGTGTGCGCAGATCGTACCGGCAAGATCGGAGCGAAGCAGAACCTTGAAAGGCACGGCTCCGATGGCCGACACCTTGGCGGACATGGTGTGACCAAATCCACAAGGGGCAAAATGGTGCCGAACATCAAAGCTCGTGAAAGCGGAGCACATCGGCAGTGCAAAATCGTCAATCCCGCCCCAGAGTTTGGCTCCCCGGCCGATTGATGAGAACGCCTGCCGGGATGTTGCGAGCGGGAAGCAATATAGAGCGGGACTCCGAGGCCGGACGGCACGAACACAGCAACAGGTGGCCCTGCGCACGGCCATCAGCACCGCGTCTGGCGCATGCTTGCACGGTAAACTCTCGTTAGCGCCGGCACGGACAAAGAGCCGCTAGCGTGTGGGCACGACATCGTCATGCACTGGCTTTGGCGTGCCTGAAGATGAAACGGTGCTAGGATGAGCGCTGGGCCTGCCCCTTTGCAATAGAAGCTGCAGACATCTCAAAGACGGTTGCACTGGCTGACGGCCTTCTGCTGGCGTCGACGGCCTGGCCTGCTGCGCCTCCCCACCGACATGCAGAAGAAGCTGACCGATACGAGGTTTTGGCTGCGCAGCGCACTACCCAGTTTCACATATTGCTGGCCGTTCATGCGAGTCTTTGGTCAAGACGGGGCCTTGCCGCAAGGCTGAGGCCATGTGTGCGCTGCGAAGAAGCAAAAGAAGCTGAATGCTACGTCAGAAAGCAGGATGTGAGGGTATCAGACGTCGGGTTCAGGCAAGCTTGCTGCGCGGGCAAGGTCTGGGCGGGGGCTCCCGTGAACCCAAGCAGCCAGTCGGCTGCCGTGTTGTCGCCTCTCCCGGTATGCAGCGGGCTTTTCGTCGCACACTTCTGCAGCTCGTGGCGCCGGCTGGGAGTTGGCCGTCGCGTCGGACGATGAAGTGCAGAAGGAAGAGTCGAGTGCCGTCTTGAGTGGCGCCACCGGCGTTGCATCTGAAGAGGAGCTCATACGAATTGAGCAGCAGGCCTGCAATATCGAGTTTGTAGGTGGACGCACCTTGGACCTCAAGGAGCCGACTTGGACCCTGGATGCCTGGTACCCATACAGTGCTGCGCCGGGCGCTCCCCCGCCATCGCTGGATCGTCCCGGAGGTTGTTTCTGCGCCTCGAATCCCTCGATGGCCGTTGCAATTGGCGGCGGGGGCCGTATTGTCTCGGTCTGCGACAGTAATTGACCGCCTTGGCGCCATCTTCAACGCCTGGGCATGAGTTTAACTCGCCCCCATTGTCGCGTTCCTGCAGTAGTGCGACTCTGCACTCGGTGCAACGGGCGGCTGCGATGGGCTCCCAAGCGCGGCGGCGCATCCAATTACCCAGCATCCAGCCGTTGGAAAGACGCCACTATGCGGTGCGGATATCTCCAACCCCTGTCCGGCAGCGCCCAGGCACACCAGCTTTGAAGGTCGCCCCACGCACGGCGACTCCCAGACAGTCACCCTTTCCCAGTTGGGACTGCGCTTTTCCAGTCACCTGAACCCGCGGCAGCCGCTCGGAGCCCCTGAGTTCCCCAACTGGCGAACGCCCCGACCCAAATCGCACGACGCCGGGGATGTTGTTCCGTCCCAGGACTAGTCGACAACACTATCGACCGGTAGAACAGCTGGCGATAATTTCTCTCGTCAATGCTCTGACGGCAAGGCTGGCCCCTCCGACTAAGCACCGCGGCACACCGTTGGCGCTAAGCAGACGCAATGGCAGTCTGTCACGCGTAGTGCCACCGGAGTCTATCGAGCACCATGTCTCAGGCGGATGGGTACCCAAGTCTGGCCCAACGTGGTCGGCAAGAGAATGAGCGCGCGTGTGCGCGACTCTACCTGACGGTGCCGGTGCCTTGCGCCCCGCGATTCGCCCGTTCTGCCGTCGCCTCGGCGGTTGGGAGATCAAACTGACAAATGCTCACTGGACACCGACGCCTCCGCAGCTGCGGCTCATTAGAGCAAGGCTTACAGAGTACAAAGCCGACGGAAAGAGGCCCGGAAACACTTTAAGACCGAGCACAATTTCGGTGGACGTCAAACGCGAGAGTTGTCGCGCGCCCACCCGCCCTTTACTGGCCGTCCAGGGTCCCATGCGTTGGTGATCCCGGACGAGTTCTCGCCGCTCGCATCATGGCTCTCGGGCCCCGGGCCCCGACTTGGCAGCGGACCAACAGGGGTCCCGACTCACGCGCTGCTCCCCGTTGTAACCTCTGGCCGTCTCGCTTGGACGGAGGAGTCCGGCACCAACCACAGGTCAACGAGACCAGTGGCTATTTTGGGTTCTTCGGCTCACCGTAACGAATCACTCCGTACCGCTACTGGCCGTTTCAACGTGACCCGCAGGCTGAAGACAGCATGGTCTTCCAGTACTCCGTATGTGTAGCACCTGCTCAAGATGAGCAGGGGCAACCGGGCGGCGGTAGGTCGCTGGCTCAGCGACCGCGCCTGGTCGTCTGGCGGCATCGTGTGCCAAAGCCAGGCACACTTGTTTGCTCAGCCTGATCTGGTCGCGTCCATCTCGGCCTACTGGTGTATATATGCTCGGTTGCCACCCTTTCTGGCACTGCTTCTCTTGGTGTGCATACCATCAGCCGTTGGCCTTCTTTCGTTTCTCTGTGACACCCAATTTTCTTTTCTTCATCGCCCGAAAGCCTCCAAGTCATTCGTTCAATCTTTAGACACATCTTTTGTTTCAGATTTCTTATTGTTCACGGTTACACTCGCTCAACAGAACGAAGTGAGGCTTCCCTCACGCCTTCACTATGAAGATCTCCGTCGCACTCCTGGCGGCTGCGGCTGGCATCGACCAGGCGTCTGCCACTCTGCTCGTACGTCCACCGAATGAACAAAAGTGGTGCGCCACGGACTGACATGCTTTACCACAGCTCGGCAAGGGTCTCAGCGCTGGCATCGGCTTCAACCTGGGCATTGGTTTCACCGGCGCAAACCCCTTCACTTGCCCTGGAAACATCGACAACAAGTGCACACCCGAATGGGAATCGGGCTGTGACTTCCTTGACCTTGTGGTTGGCAAGGTGGTCGAGTATAAGAAGAACGTTTTTAGCGGCTTCACCTGCGAGAATAGCTTCTTCAAGCGAGGCGAGCTTAGGGGCCGCACATTCCTGCCGGGCAAGGTCATCACCGGCAACTGTGGACATGAGAGGAATGACTGCCCGTCGATCAGTCCCGGCCCTGACGCTGGCATTGACAAGTACTCCATCGACTCCTTCGAGGTGACTACTTCGCTAGACGCGCGCATGGAGTTCCACTACCAGATGCCGGATGGCGGCATCTGCAAGACCACCCACGACTGCTCCTCCCAGGGTACCACTGTGCGCAACACGCAGTGTGGCGGTGCCAAGAAAGTCTGGTTTGTTTTCCCGAAGCAGGATAAGCACAAGGGCAAGAAGTTCTGCAAGATCGGCATCCACAAGATTCGTTGGCACTGCAAGGACAACAAGCCCAAGCCTACGCCGTCGACCAGCAGGGTCATCACCTACACGAAGCCTCAGGAGACGAACACGAAGACAGTTCCTGGCAAGGACACCACAACCACAGTTCCTGGTCAGCAGACTACGGTAACCCAAACCCAGCCTGGCCAGACTACTACCGCGACCGAGACCCAGCCTGGTGAGACGACTCCTGCCCAGAGCACTCCCACCGAGACCAAGCCTGGCGAGACGACTCCTGCCCAAAGCACTCCCACTGAGACCAAGCCTGGAGAGTCGACTACACAAACCGAGACCAAGCCCGGCGAGACGACCCCTGGCCAGAGCACTCCCACCGAGACCAAGCCTGGCGAGACGACTCCTGCCCAAAGCACTCCCACAGAGACCAAGCCCGGCGAGACGACTCCTGCCCAAAGCACTCCCACTGAGACCAAGCCTGGAGAGTCGACTACACAAACCGAGACCAAGCCCGGCGAGACGACTCCTGCACAGAGCACTCCCACCGAGACTAAGCCCCGGGAGACCACTCCGGCCCAGACCACTCCCAGTGAGGAGACCACAACTTACATGACCACCTCGACCGTCTTCACCACGTCCGTCACCACTATCACAAGCTGTGCTCCCGAGATTCCCAACTGCCCCGCGAAGTCCACGGGTGGAACTGCCATTGTCACTGTTACCATCCCTGTCAGCACCACCATCTGCCCTGTCACGGAGGTCATTACGAAGACCAAGCCCGCCCCTACAGGCAGCATTCCGGCAACAACTGTTTCGCCTCCGGGAGAAACCTCGGTTGGTGAAAAGCCCAAGCCTAGCACCAGCCAGGGAAGTGCGAGCTCGCCGGCTCCGCAGCCGACCGGGCCCCTGCCTTGCCCTAAGGTTGTCCCCCAGTGTCTGAACACCAAGTTGATCGAGAAGGGACTCCGGGAGAAGTGCAAGGATAACGCCGACGTCGGTTGCTACTGCCCTGACAAGGAGTTTATCAATCAAGTGTTGGGCTGCATCTATTCTTACGGCGAGAACGACAACCAGATCTTCGAGGCTATTCAGTTCCTCCAGGGAATGTGTGCCCCTTGGGTTGGCAAGAACCCCGCGGTCATTACTGGTGCGGAGCCAATCACCTCTATCATCACCGTGACAGGCACCCCTCGTGTAACATCGGTCGACTACACTACCGTCGTCATCGCTACGACTGTCGTCGAACCCTGCGTCACTAGCGGTAGCACCATCCCCGGTAGCAGCACCACCAGGACCATCTCAACCGAGGTTACTGTTCCCGATATCAGCATCACCATGGGGTCCACCGCCGCTCCCGAGGTGCCCGCACCGACCAACGGTCCAGCACCTACCGAGGGAGGCCCTGCTGAGAACCCGGGTGCCACGACCCTCGCCCCGTCGCCGATCACCGGCACTGGCGGCGTCCCGGTGCCCTCCTCCACCGGCGATGTCCCCGTTACTGCCGGCGCAGCACGTCTTGGGGCTAGCCTGGGTCTTGGACTGGCTTTCATCGCCGCTATGGTTGCTATGTAGGAGGAAGGTTTGAGAACCCGGCAAGCCTGCCATTAATTCATGTTCATCCAAGAAAAGTACACGTGCATTGGGGTGTAATGGAATTGCCTGAGGGCCTGTTAGTATAATAGTCTTTATGAGACGTGCTTGATGTGGAGGGTTTCACTCCTTCTTTTGCGTCGACTGTCTTGTTGTGCGCCAGTGAATGAATGTAGAGTTAATGTTCCAAGCAGGTGGCCAAGAACGCTCATGTAAAGCAGCAGGGCAATTTCCGCCAGTCGATAAATAATATCGAAACGCGGGTATTGACTACGGCTTGCCCGTACTAAATGGCTTCCAACGCTTAGCATGAAGCTTCCAGGATGGACGGCCACGCCGCGCGCCACATATGCTCGACGGGAAACAGAAGTAGCTGGTGCCGCTGCCCGTACGAGCAGATGCTCCGGCAGGAGAATACACGATAGTGTTGCACCAATATCGCTGTTGCAATTACATCGACATAAAGACATTGAGCAGTCTTGGCTAATCGGGTGTGCCCAGACCTGTAACAGGATCCCAGCCTTGGCCACATTGGAATCCGTCATTGCCACAGCCATTGTCATACAGGCCTCCTTTATCCTGTTTTCCAACTCTGATGTCGTTAAAGATTTCAGGATGCTTATATAGCATCGGGTTAACGAAGCCAATCGTGCTCTTATTGGCGGCAAGTCGCTCTTCATTGACGAGATTGAACATGGCAGCTATAATAGGCGCAGCCTGGCTCGTTCCTCCTCCAAGCCACGCTATCCCATTAGTAATGACAGCCGAGTTATCCCCGTTAGCTGAAAGATCTGGGAAGCCACGGCCCTGGGCATTATAAATGCCGCCGTTCTTTGGGATCTGTCCGCGGCTAGTATTGTAGGAAGGATAGCCAGGGTTAAAATAGAAGAGGTGATCCGCAACTGCTCGCTTTTGGTAAGAAGGGGTTTTGAAGATATTACTGAAACCCCCGCCAGACGAGAAGGATGTCGTAGCTGTTTCCTGGTCGCCGGGTCTCTTATGTGGTGGGAGTACCGTAGATCCTACTGATGTGACGTACGGACAGCTACTGACTGCGTCGGGCACGAAGATATTTTTCAGTTTGCCAAGACAAGCGTTAGTGTTGCCAGCGACTCCGTTATCACCACTCGCAACTACAACAGTAATACCAGCGAGAGCGAGCTTCATCCACTCGTCACATTGCCTCTCGAGATACCTTTTGCCCGTCAGTATATTATAGTCACGCACGCCACAGAGGGGGTAGTGGCAATGATTCGTGGCTCATACCTGGCTGGGTACATGAATTCTGGAAATCCGTAAGAAATAGAGATGACATTTGTTGCCGCAAGAGTCCCACAGTCGCGCATGGGGTATACGCCGTCTATTTTCGGGGTATCACCCGTATATCCGTGAGATGTCCGGTCACAATAGCTCCCGTCTAATGCATCCAGAAATAGGTTGAAAATCCCTGGCTTGGGATCCGGATAAGGTACTGAATATAGTACGGTTCCTTGAGGGTAGATAATGGGCACGACCATTTCGAAGTCGAGCATGCTTTCTGAACCAGCCTGATATTGCTATTAGTATTAGGGCCCGTTTATATTAAACGGGTATGTCTGGCTTTCTGACGTACCATATCTGGGTCCTCGGAAGTCCCGTTAGAGCCGTCGATATTATGCACGAGAGGCGCGGTGCCAGGAGGCACGTATGGCGCGTATAACTTTGTAAACATATCCAGATCGGACTGTACATAAGCATCGCCGTTTAGCTCGTAGATGCCTAACTTATTGCTTGGATGGGCTAGTCGAGCCTGGGGAATGTTATACATTGCTTTAATACACGCCGGGGTTATCTGGTTATAGCAATCCGCCAGGGACCCTAAGAAATCAGCTTTAGGTAGTTCCCAGCACAGCCTCCGTTCATGCGGATTACTAACCTGGGCGAGATTGTATTTCAGCTGGCGGAGGACGGAGAGGTCTAGACTTAGTCCCGGTAAGTCCGAGCTTGCGTTTCTTTAAGTCTACACCCCCTTGGTGAAAGCGACTGAATGCTGTGCCTGGGAGAACGAAGTCGATATGGACAGCAAGATCTTCCGGAAGATAGTACTCGTCCGTGCCAAAATGTTCGGTGCGGGTCACTAGGTTGTCGTATACGTGATACTTGGCGTTTAGAAGCTGTTCCAGACGGCCAATCGATGCTTCAAAGTTCACCCAGCTCTTCGTCTGAGAAACAGTAATTTTACCCTCGGGAATCCCAGAGGCTACTAACCACTGCCGGACTCTGAGAATGGACTCATCTGTGGGAGAGAAGAGGTCCCTAATTTGATCTTTGGTATAGTGGTGTCCGTATGTAGGACTATCCGGATCGGATCTGCGTAGCTTATAAGCTATTCCACGGATTTTTTTGTTGAGGTCTACCTATAATTACACTGCCATCCCCAAATCCACCCCCTTCTCCAGATTGCGCTGAGCTAACGCTATACGGATAGGGATCTCGAAAGTAGAATTGGGAGCCTGCTTCTTCGTCCACAGATGGCTGTGATGATCGTCCACACGCGTCTGGTGCAGAACATGAACCCCAGCGCCCCAGCAGCGAGGCCGCAGAAGAACACGAAGCTACGCATCTTAACTGTACGAGCTTCCGCAAGCGGTGTAGAATTTTGATCTGCTGCGAATTAAACAAGGGCTGTAATAAGAGGTCTTTAAACACTCACAAGCGTGGGTTAACTAAGATCCAGTATGCCCAGAGATAAGCCCTTGGGTTGCTACCGCCAACTTAATATACAACCACCTCTCAGGCACCATCACGATTACCCGCGATGCGATGCCGATGATCCAGAGAGCTTGCCAATGCTTGAAGGGTGTTGGTCACTTCTACAGTGTTTGTCGTTCGCACAGTACCGTACCCCGCAAGATCAATCGGAAGCCGATATCTGATGCAGGGACTTACTCAGCGTTGAGACCGCTTAGACATTCTCCTTGAATATTAAGCCGACTTTAGCCATCTTCTCATGACGTGGTTGTGCATCATTGCGTCCAGGGGCCTTCAGAACCAACGGGCGCGAGCATTATAACGCTAGAAAATTTAAACTGTCATACGAATGTAGAAAGCCGTCGGTAAATACGACCATTGAATGTTACAGTAAGTATATGCGGCGCGTATATATGCTATTGCCAGTTCTTCGCTTGCTGTGCTGTCTCAGTATATAGTCCTCTAATTCACAAGAGCAGCAAACGTGCCCTGACTTGTTTGCTCTAACTTGACGGCTATAACCGGCTTCAGTTGCAGGTGTTAGCTGTAGGTTTGCTAGTCAACCACCATTCAATACAATGTGAGGATCTTTATTGGCCCTCTTTTGGAGAGTGTGATACAGTACGAGTCCATTGCTCCAACGCATGGGATAGATGGAGATGGACACCGGTCCCTTATCCGGCTATTAGGTAATTTCTTTCGCCGTGTGACTGGGATTGGTTAAGTATTCAGGAAAGAGTCACCAACGCAGCACTGGGTTCGGTTGCCTGCATCAACCTGATGTCGTGAACAACACGTTTAGGCAGCCATGAAGTACAATCTGGAACCTTCGCCGAAATCTGCCGCCATTCCAGCTAGTAAGGACGAGGTGACTTTCATCTTTGCCATACCTGGAAACTTTCGGGGATATTTCCCACTCGCGCGTATATATTGATGCGCACGTGAGGCCTTTCGCTTATCTCATGCATATCGTGTTGCCAAGGCTCCTTACCGTACTGAGCTATCATTTGACCGACAGCCCAACCCCCCTGTTACTGCCAAGATCAAAACAATGTAGACAAGCCGGATAGGGGGCTCGCTCTCGCAGGTGTGAACTATAAACACGTGCTTCGCTTGTAGTATTGACATCTGGTTTCAGAGATTGCATCGCCAGCTAAAGTGATGCTCATAGTACTCAGCGGAGAGTCCAGGGCAGCGGGAAACGCGCTACAAGTTGGATTAGTACTGCAGATCAATAAGGGCAAACACGGAAGGAGGCCGCCTGCTGGGAACTTGCATGTTTCCGTCGTTTTCAATCTTCGCTTGCCTCCCAACTTCTGTTTGTTACATTATCCTACCCGGAAAATTTGACAGCTGTCCTTTCTGTAAATACGTCGAACGACTAGAAATGTGTGCAGCATTGCTCAAGCACCGAGTCTCCTTTCTGAACTACTGCTGACATGCTTGGAACCCTGACTTTCGCATATCTAACTATGCGCACCGCAACGTATTTCATCAACGATGTTAGAGATGGATGGGAACAGACTCAGCTACTTAGAATCCACATAGTGAATGCAGCTGACTCACTACGACAAAAAGTTGAGTTGTTAAGGCATCACGACCCGAGTTTGGCAAAGCAGTTTGAGGTCACTTAGCACAATTCTCCACCGAAATTGACGACGCACTCACGGCTTCTCAATTAGCATTAGCTGAATGGCAAGCGGAGCCTCTAATAAAGAATACTTTCAAGAGGAAATCCAATTTTGACATTGGAATGGGTATCCTTATCTAAGGAATAGAACATGCGAGCCACTTGGATGCCACGCTGGATGGCGTGCATCGCATGATAGAGGCCAGGTATACAATAATTCATGCGCTCACATGAAAAACGGCTGATTTGAGAGCTTAACGTATCGTTAACAAGATTGAGCAGCCAGCTGAGATGATGCAAATTCAAGTGGTGATGCTGCGAAGCATGGTCGAGGCCTTCGAGACTGTGCCGACATCCCTTCGAGAAACAGAACCAGCCATCTCGTCCCTCGGAATCGAGCTAATGCATCTACTCAACATATACCTTAGTGCTGCTTTGCGCAGATACCAAGCTGGTCCGATTGAGCGAAGCGTTTAGTGAAAGCAGCAAGCATTTGCGACCTACATCTGGAACTATGCAGCTACGAGTGCGTGCGGTCGATTGCGGCCACCAGCGGTTATTTAGATTCACCACGCAACCCTTATGCCTGGAACATCCCAGCCTAAGCATTATTAGCAGCAGGTACATCTTGCGTACTATCCACATGCGTAAGTAGTAGGGTGGCATTCCATACCAGCTAACACATTCGTAATCCATATACTAGCTAGCTGTATCTGGACAGGAAAAGACATGCCTCAGTGAAAAAACTTCGTTATGGCGGCCCTTATCGGGCCGGTCTTTTTATAAATATAGAATGAATGCGCGGTCATGGTTGCTTCAAGCCTCCGAAACAGCGAATTGCCCCTGGAACTCGACGCAATATTCCACTCAGCCGAAAGCAGTAGCTTAACCGCTCCAGTGTTCCCTTCTATCATCGCATAGTCTAGCGGCGCCATCCCCTGCTTATCCTTTGAGTAACGGTCAACTTTGCTGCATTCAAGAAGCAACCGAACCACATCCGTGTTGCCCCTCTCTGCAGCGTACGACAGCGGTGTGCGACGGTAGGAATCTGGCTCGTCGGGTTTGATGTCAATTCTCTGAAGGAGAGACTTCACAATATCTCCGTCTCCCCGCATAGCAGCCACATGGAGGGGTGTGTAACGGTTGTAGTCGTCCTCGAAGTTGCAGTCGACACTGTGATGCTCCAGGAGTACACGGACCATATTGATGTGTCCCGAGAAGATTGCCAACTTCAACGGAGTCTGAAACGTTCCACCACTCCCGGCATTTGGATTGCCGAAACCCCACTTGAGTAATTGCCGAACAACCTCAACATGTCCCAGATCCGTTGCGCGCTGCAAGGGCCTGTCTTCGAAGCCGAACTGTATCGCCTCGGGCGGCGGACAGGGCTGCCTGCATAAACAAAGCTCTGCGGTATTTGCAAGCCCTCTCTCTGCTGCCAGAAACACCATTTGCATGACAAGACCTGCCGCGATGCCTCGGGAGTAAAGCTCGGGATTCAGAATCTCATAACAACGAGATGATGCGCGGGTGAGGGCGCCCAATTCTTGAAGTTGCAAATGGGTGCACAGTTGGAGAAGAAGCTCTGACGGTAGACTGGATAGCGCCATTACTTAATTAGATGCCGATGAGCTCTGTGCACTCTGGCCGGGGCATCGTCAAACAGGGAGTGGTCCTTACCGGCGCGCCTGCCCTTGGAATGCTAAGACTCTACGAGTCAGGTGATTATGGCAACGAAATTTGCTCGAACAGGAGTGGGGGTGGAGTTGCTCCACTACGCCTCGATATTCACTATAATGGTATATACCTTAGCGGTGATCTCCTTCGGCACATGCACTAAGCGGTCATACAGTCTTTGAAATGCAATTAACCGAATACGTCCCACAACGTCTGGGTTTTGAGGACTTGAGAACTTGAGAAGGTGTCCAACCGCGCCCGGGCTAGTGTTCGGCTCTGCCCTCCTTTGTCTCTTGTGACTGATATCTCAAGGGCAACAGTGACGGCGGCGGCGACAGCGAGAACCGGGGCCCTGTGTCCACCAGTGTCGCTGCCGGGGTAACGAGGACGCATCCACGAAGAACCTGACCCCAATCGTTCCTCTAGGCCCCGTAACGTCCACCGGAAGTTCTGAATCCCTTTTTGTCTTTGGGTCGACTACGCTCACACCTAATAACCCTGCAGTCACTGTCGGGGACTCGTTCGTTTCCTCGTCAGCCTCGGGACCCAGCTTCGTTATCAACGGCGTTACGACACAGGTACTCCCTGACGGGAATAGTAGCACGTTGACACAGGTCGATGTTTCTGGAGGGACTGCAACCTGATTCTTCTCTGGCACGCCACTAATAGTTATGGTACGTTCCGGCGCTGTCCTGTATTCTAGCGCATACCGCTGGTCTGTCATTATTGCACTGGATCTCGTTCCGTTGGCGTTTTGTACGCAGTTGATAGGGGCCAATCCAAATTGTTCATTCCACCGGCAGCAAACATCATATTCTCCCGTCTGGAGTGAATTAGCTGGAGCTTTCAAGTTGGCTCTCTAGAGAGTGTTGGTTGAACTAGCGGAACATAGAACGAGCGACCTGGAGGCCTGCCCTAGCTTGACGGTCCTTAACAACTTCCACTTCTTGGCTTTTTGGGACCGAAAGATCCCCTTTTCGTACACCACGATCATGCGTCCAAGTTTTCCGGAGGCTGTTTAACAACCGTTGTTTGCTTTTGTGGTCTATGGAATTATGTGATCTCCAGTGAGATCTATAGTTCCCGATTTATAGAGGGGAAAGAGGGTTGCGGAATCCCAGGAAGCTAAGATCGGTCACTGATAAGGCGTCAGATGTTTGCTTCAGCTGCCCTCGGGCCATTAGTAGTTCATTTAGCATATGCAAGCCCTGCATCCATCCCTGTAGATAGTCGCTCGACAAGTGTAGCCCATGGGGTGGCGTGACTGCAGCTGGTGAGGGTGGCCAGTGTTCAGGGCTGCGTCTTTCATAGTGTAAACGTTGCTTGGATCCGCCATCGGACTGCTGTTACTAGACATCATGGATTCTGTATAGGCAGACGCAGGCCACGGGTTTTGGTCATTGCAGAGGCCGCCGGTGTTGCTCAATGCCTCGTCGTCTAAGTCCAAGGATAGGTAATCGAACAGTCCGTTCTGGCTGGCATCAGGCGGGTCGAATGAAACGGAATCTGAAAGATTGCCTCCATTGTCCGGGCATTGCGTACTCAGTCGTGAACTTGGATGCTGTCGTTGGGATCGTACGTGCTGTTCTTCTTCCAATTCACGTGACAGCATCACCATACTTGCCTCATCCTCTGGGACATTGAAGTTGCGAACCATGTCCTCACCCTTAGGCCCCGTGCAGCCCAGCCTCTGCAGTATATCATGAACTACAGGCTGTCCCAGATCATTGTGCTCAGGTTCTCCAAATTCCCACGGTTCCGACCTCTGGATCATGGTATAGAGCCTACGAACGGCTGAAACGAGGGCAAGCTGCGTATTCTCGAGCACCTCTGCATATCTAGTGAAGCGACATTTCCTTAGCAAAACAAAAAGTTGCCGCAGAGAGTCAGAGAGTAGTGGGAGTCTTGAATACCCTTTTGGCACGTCTTTGTATTCTACCTTCCGAGTCCCAGACGTGCAAATAGCACCATCGTCCTTACATCGCTTGCAAGGGCAATTGCCATCACACTGCCTGCCTGTCAGCATACCGCTTATTTGAACTACCATCAGAAGCACAGCCGTACCTTGAGCTTTTTTAACCTACACCTAACACACGCCTTCCAAACACGTCGGTGTTTGAGTCGGCCAGCCTTATTGCGGGCGCGCGCCATTTGCTCGCCACGGTAATCTGTCGGATCCGTCCACGCTAAGTGCGTTCGCGCATGATTCCTCCCGGAGAATAATGATGGATTATTGCCGGTTCTATCTTTTCGCGCTGGCACGTCGGTGTCGGTTGAGAATGGTGAAGGGAAATCTGACGGAGACATCGCTGCAGCGTTCGAAGCGAAGTAGCTTGGGCCTTGCGTCCCGAAGAGGCCGGCTAGACGCCGCTCTCGGAAGAAGATATATATTGCCGGCTGTTTGTGTGTCGGAAACGGTGATTCATACAATTGTACCAAAGTGCGCCTGGCATGTAGTACACAAGTCGTAAGGGAGGCTCAGCGACACGAATCACCGTCGTCGGGGGGAGTGGCAGAGACAATTGACGCAAAATGTCGCCAGCCGGGGGATTTTTTGGAAGTAACGTGCTCATGGATTAACGTCATTATATAAATTGCCTACTGCGGGGTGAGTGAGGCAGCCTGCACTTCGTCAACATGCTTGGGAAGCTCACATCTTAGTGGAAATGTTGGGTTATCGGACCCTAAACCCTCCATGCAAGACACGCACTGTGGCAGCACACACCTCGGCCGCCGTATGGATCCAGATCGAACCACTACTGCAAGAACGTTCTCCGTACATGACAGGGTTGCAATGCTCTGACGCGAAGAGCGTTCGGAGTCAGCCCTGCGAGTCACATTTGTCTCAGGACTTTGCACGCTGACTGATCCATTGACCCACATGGACCAGTCATGCGATATCCCCCCGCAGGGCAGGAGAACTGGCTGAACAGGAATGCAGCCTCTCAATTGGATCGAGTAATGCGTTAAGGTTCCCCGCGTTTCTGACGATACGTTCAGGTGGCCGTTGTGCCCGTGGCTGGGCCTTGCTTAGGCATCTCATGTAAGAAGGACTGGGACGATGAGCAGCAGAATGCATGCCGAAAAAGGCAAGAGTAAGGCCCGAGGTTTCGGGGTGGGGCCGCTTTCAGGGACCATCGAGAATACCGAGAAAACTGGGGAATCCCTGCAAGCAACCATGAGGCGACCAAGCCAAGTGGCTTACAGATGGATGACATCGAAAGCTAAACTCAAGACTGCATGAATCCGCGCAGAGGCGTATTGCGGCAGTATATTGTAGTTCAAGAATTATCCTCAGTGACGTTAACACAGGTCACAGGAATATGGAAACCAACTGACAGTGGATTTCACTCACTTCTAGCCCGGGATAAGGCAGAGACCACAGCAACAAACGCAGTTCGGAAGGAGCCATGGTTGACAGCAGCCGGCTACCACTCTCTTTATAAGCGATTTCACCATTTCAATTCATAATTCACTCGGTGCGCTCAAGACTCTCAGCCTGTTTCCTGTGATGCATGAGATACTACCTGCAGAACTTATGGCGACGCATTGACAGTAGACGGATGGTGGGATCGTATTGTAGAGGCCTTGTCCGACCTCAAACGATTGTATGCTTTCCTTACCAGTGGTAAGCGGTGAGCAACGAGTTCTTGAGAGACCGGGCATTGCACATCTCAGCCCGCCACATGCAGCCGCCAACACCAATCGCTTACAGCGTACCTCGTAATCTGTTAGTACGCCCTTAAGTCGCCGGATGGGAGCAGACCTGTACGTTGAAGTTTAATCATGGGAGTCGTTATTGTTATTGTACATAAAACAGCGATCTCAAGCATCGGGGTGGGGCCGAAAAACTATAATCACCACATTGGAGATGCCCCGCACTTTGCGTGCGGAGCGCCGCAGACTCCGCAAGGAGCCACGAGATGTTGTAAAGTGTCATGCTTGATAACCCAGGGCTGACATCCATGCACGCACTGCGCGCACCTCCGCCTTATCCGAACAGCCCCGTGGGCCCCGGTCACCCCACTCAACAGTTTACCACCTGCCAGTCGCAGACTGTCTTTAAAAAGCGTGAATCTTATAAAGGGAAGGGAATAAAGTAGGCAGTTGACTCTATCGTGGCCTATTCGACCTCAAAACACTTTCCTACCACATAATTTCGACATCAAATCGTCACCATGTCCGCACCGGCAGCCAATGGGCCTTATACACTTCCGCTCATCTTCAATGGCAAAGACTACTATACGGAGAAAACATTCGATGTGATTTCTCCGAGTACTGCAAAAATCCTATACAGGTCCAGCGCCGTGTCCGTCGCCGACTCCAATAAAGCTGTGGAGCTGGCCGCTGAGGCCTTGAAGTCATGGCGCAACACAACACCAGCGCAGCGGCGCGACATTATGTTGAAGGCTGCAGACAACATGGCCAGGCGCAGTGATGAGCTTGTCAATTTGATGTCCACAGATACGGGAACTACAGACGAATGGAGCAAAATTAATGTCGACGCTGGAGTCGATATGATCAAAGCTTGTGCTGGCCTGATTCCTACTCTGGAAGGCACGTTTCCGACACTGAACGACCCAGACATGAGTGGCATAATGATCAAGGAGCCTTATGGCGTGGTGTTTGCCATTGCCCCATGGTACGTTCCACGCCGTCCTGGGCATGATAGTAACGCTGACCCAGCCTTCTAGGAACTCCCCCTATGTCCTTGGGACGCGATCGATTGCGTTCCCTCTTGCCGCAGGCAACACCGTCGTCTTCAAGGGCTCCGAGCTGTCACCTCGCACAATGTGGGGTATCGCATCTTGCTTCCAGGAAGCAGGGCTGCCTGATGGTGTCCTGAACTTTATCGTACACGCGCCAGGCGATGGCGCGGAGATCACCAGCGCCATTATTTCGCACCCCGAGGTCAAGAAGATCAACTTTACGGGTAGTACTAACGTGGGACGAGTCATTGGTAGACTTGCGGGAGACTACACTAAGCCCGTGATCCTTGAACTTGGCGGCAAAGCACCGGCTATCGTCTGGGAAGATGCTGATATCGAGCTGGCTGCCTTCCACTGCGCCCTGGGTGCTTTCATGAATTCCGGTCAGATTTGCATGAGCACTGAGAAGATTATCGTGCACAAGTCTATCAAGAGCAAGTTTGCAAAGGCGCTTGTTGTCGCTGTTGCCAAAAGATACCCCGGGAGCGATGATGCACCGGTTCTCATCAACTCCGCGGCCGTCAAGAAGAACAAGGCGCTTGTGGAAAATGCGCAGGGGAAGGGTGGAAATCTACTGACCGGTAACCCAAGTGCCGAAGAGTCAACGGCCACGCGACTTCGACCAATCGTCGTCGACAATGTCACGACTGACATGGACATCTACAACCAAGAGTCCTTTGGCCCTACGGTCTCTCTCCTTGAGGTCGACACAGAAGAGGAGGCCCTCCGTCTCGCGAACGATACTGAGTATGGTCTCAGCTCCTCGGTGTATACCGAGAATCTCAGAACTGGGTTGCGCTTTGCTCGACAGATTGAGGCCGGTGCAGTCCATATAAACGCGCAAACTGTTCATGATGAGCCCTGTCTCCCGCATGGAGGTGTTAAAGGAAGCGGATACGGTCGATTCAATGGTGTAAGGGGCTTGGATGAGTGGGTGAGGACAAAGAACATTACATTCAGGAAGTAAAGCTATTGGAGAAAAGCTGGGCTAGACACTGGGATTAGACTAGAGATTAGGCAAGGCGAAACGCCCCATCAGCCATTGTCTAGATATTCGATATCGACGACTTTGCAGTTTTGCTTGATGATGGCTCGGTTACACAGATATGAACTCCGTCGCAGCCAGATGTCAGCCCTAAGAAGGTGAATACAGAGGAGTCTCAGACCAGAGAAAGTTAAGAGAGAAGATTACATGCATGTCCTTAAACGATCCCGACATGGTAATCTGTCTAAAGCTGAGCTCCTTTTCGGTTCATCACAGAGTCACTCGAATACTTAAGTCACTTATGCTTCGGGTCTTAGTCTAATATCTAGATTATGATAGAGCTCACTTATTTCACTGGATTCGGTTGATAATTTTCATGACGCGTAGTAAATGTCCGAGCCTAGGAATATATGATTTTCTGCAACTCACTATCGACTCGTATCGACTACATAACGGCCGATAACTTTGCCCTCCTCCATGATCTTATAGACTTCCTGCAACTTGCTGAGACCGACTGTCTGATATGGCGCATGTATAAGCCCCTTGCGGAAGAACTCGATTGCCTCTGCTGTATCCAGGCGGTTGCCGACGTAGCTGCCCTTGATAGTGATCATGCGTAGGACTGTATCAAAAACGGGAGCGCTGAACATTGTGTTCGGCGGCATGCCAATGCAGACAACTACTCCTCGAGCTCTGATATACTCCGTAGCTTGCTGGAATGGCTTGGGGCTGACAGCTAGAATCAGGGTGGCGTGCGGTCCAAGACCATCTGCCGTGGCGGCTTTGACGTCTGCGACGAGATTCTTGCTTGTCAGGAAATCCACGTAGGTACTAGCGCCAAGCTTGAGGCAAAGATCCTTCTTTTCGTCCCCGCCGTCAATCGCAATGACTTCGATGCCCATGGCGCGGGCATACTGGATGGCGAGGCTGCCAAGTCCACCACCCGCGCCAACGACTACGAGATACTGGCCAGGTCGTACACCAGATTCTTTGATCCCCTTGTAAACGGTAATGCCAGCGCAGAGAATGGGAGCCACTGCGTCCAGCTTGCAATCCTTTGGGATGCGGGCGACATGAGCAGCCTTCGCAATGGCGTATTGCTGAAACGTTCCGTCGACTGTGTAGCCAGACAACTGTGCCTTTTCGCACAGCGGCTCGTCCGACTGATTGCAGTACGTGCAGTCCAAGCACGTGCTGTTCATTAATTTGATGCCAGCGTAGTCGCCAATGTCGAGCTCAGTTACCAGCGAACCCCTCGCGACGACAATGCCAGCGCCTTCGTGGCCACCTACTAGTGGGAGCTTTGCCTCCAAGGCCCAGTCGCCGTGCAGAACGTGAAGATCACTATGGCAAACGCCTGAATACTTCACGTTCACGAGAACTTCATCCGGCCCTGGCTCTCGCACAGGTATCTTCTTGTAGGTGACGGCTGTTGGGTTTTAGCGTGTGATTCAACCTTGCAAGCACGATGGCATACATACGGCCATTAATGGCTTCTAGTACCTGCGCCCATTGCTCCTTGGGTATCTTTGTAGTCGTCATTTTGCCGTTGGCTTGCTAGTAAATTGAGACGTGGTTGTCAAGGTCGTCTGTGGGGTAGTTCTCGAACTTCCGGACGTGCACTTAATGCACCGTAGCAGGACACCGTCGCGCAGTTATACATACAGCCATAGCGCCCCGACCGGAAACAAAATTCGAGCAGTCATGATGGGTGTGCATCATTAGCCCCAGCAGAGGGAAAATTCATTAAGAAACCAGTTTCGACTCCCCTGAGCATGATTGTTCCGAGGATCCGAAATGAGGTACAGCTGGAGGTATCGGGTGGGAAGGGTACCGGACCGGACCCTGAGGCGTAGTGCAAGCATTCGGATAGATCGGACTGGTGGGGGTGGCTGAAATATGGGGTAAACCTGCGATCCAATCGGATTGGGACATTTTTGAGCTGGACATGGCTCCTAAACACGGATAGTACGGGTAGTGTTCCATCCGCCGGGACACTCCCGAATGGCTTCTCGTAGTGGGTCAAGACTGTGCCGAGAGCTTACTCAACGGGGCCGCTGGGGCCAAATCGGCTGCAAGTTACTTTAAAAGACGGTTTGGCGAGCCTGCGTACATTGCCGATACTAGCAGAGTCCCCTGCTCACAGGACGTCGATCAATTGATCATTGACTATACTCAACTTTGTGCTTTCTTCCCAATTCAGTCCTCCATTTCGGAACAGACTTCCCCGAAGACAAAACCGACCATGAGCACCAACATGGTTGGAGACAGCGCTCAAAGCCTCATCGTCCTCGATGTTGGGCTTGGCAGGTCGGTGGCGGGAAAATCCAGTAAGGAGGTTTTTTCCGGTGGCGCTATCCTCGCGGTAAGCCCTGACGGTACACATGTCAAGACGATCCTCGAGGATGCGAATCTTGTATCACTGCCGGATGGTGTCGTCTATAACAAGCACGATGGACGTCTATACTACACGAACATGGGAGTTCCTCCGCTCAACGACGGGAGTGTGTGCTCCGTCGGCCTCGATGGCTCAGCACCTCGCACCGTTTTAGCCAAAAGCCAGGTTCACACACCGAAGCAGCTGGCTCTCGACGCGGAGAGCGGCAAACTGTATATATCCGATCGAGAAGGAATGCGGGTCGTCCGATGTAACCTCGACGGGTCTCATCTCGAGACATTAGTTCAAAACGGCAACATGAGCAATCCTGACGAGAGACAAGACGCAACTAAGTGGTGCGTAGGAATGGCTTTATCGAAGAAACACGGCCTTTTCTACTGGACACAGAAGGGACCCCCGAAGAGTGGGAAGGGTGCGATCTACTGCGCCCCAATGACAGGCACTGGGCTGCGAGTCCCTACATGCGTCCTAGACAATTTACCGGAGCCTATCGACGTGGAAGTTGACGATGATTCGAATACGCTCTTTTGGACCGACCGAGGCGAGATTCCTTACGGCAACACATTCAATAAATTGAACCTGAGTGGCTCGGGAACTGCCCCAGCGACCGCGAAGGTAGATGACATTACTGGTTTGAGGTATGAGATCTTGGCGCAGCACTTTGACGAAGCCATCGGCTTGGCTGGAGACCGGAAGAATGGGCGATGGTTTGTCTCAGATATGGGAGGCAATATCTGGATGTTCGATAAGGAAGGCGGACAGAAGACGAAGATCTTGGAGGATCAGAACCGAGCCTTCACTGGCATTGCGTTGGTGTAGATGGGATCTGGGAGGTAGTGATAGACCAGCCGTCATGTACGAGCGATAAACGTATTGAAAGTTCTCCAGTATGGCGGGCGCTAGTGCTTTGATCATGTAGCGACCGGGCTTCACGGAAACAGGTGACAGAACGACTGTCAGACGGGTCTACTCGACGGCTGCGTTCTGAAAGTTGCTTCAGTCTGCCAGGGGAGTACTGGTAACTCGGCCTCCATCAGTAGGAGAATATGGAATTATGTACAGTTCTTGATCGAGGAAAAAGGCTCCGTATTTTATGAACAATATGCCGGTACGCCCTCAGTCGACCTTATTTAACCGCATAAAGAAAAGCTCTAATGCATTGCACTAGTCCGGTGAACCCAAGCGTTAATTATAATTGCGAGACAGTATACCAGCCGGGAGATATATTACACCAGAACAATGCACATGTTTCTCACTTATTGGTAGTTCATCGTGAGATTTTGCTTCGGTAGCTACCTTGTTGGCTTGTATCTATACGCTAACCTTGCCTTATTCCCATGTAACTGAAGTGTCCTGGCAGTATGGTACAGGCCCACTCGTCCAACGCGGACTCACAGAGTTGTTTTCATACTCAACGATCGGCGATAGAATGCTATGTTTCTTTCCGAATGCCGTTGTGAACGTTGACATGTAGCCGTCTCGGCCCAGAAGGTCAGAATTTTCCTTCCAAGCATTGACGACGACCCCCAACAACTCTTCCACGTGCAACTCAGGGGTCATTCGTGCAAACTTCAAGTTCTCCTGAACTCTTCTGACAATGTCGGGAGGATAAAGACCGACATCGGGACTAAGTTGAGCGGTATCGATTGCTGTGAGGGTTACATGTGCGTGATAAGAGCCCCCAACCTTGGCTCGATCGCGGAGAGCCATCATCACGTCCACGACACCAATGGCTCCGGATAGCATGTCTGCAATTGGCAGCGACGGCAATACTGGAGTTCCATCCTCGAAACCGTTGGCCTTACCACAGACGTATGAGCAACCAGAGGCGGCATCGGCAATCTGTTGATAGCCAGGTCGTTCTGCGTAGTAGCCGTCAGGCCCATAGCAGTTCAGGTCAAGATACACCACCCCCTTGCCTCGCTTGTTAGCCATCTCGAGAACTTCGTTGAGACCAAATCCCCGACGCTCCAGAGAGCGGTATCGATAGGCCTGGATAATGACGTCGACGTCTTCAATAAGAGTACGCAGCTTCTTCTTATCGTCTTCGACGTTAAGATCCAATGAGAAAGTCCGTTTCCCAGCCGTCAAGGTAAGGTCGAAAGACTGCATGGTACTTAGATTTGACACATTCAAGTAGGTTTTTCTTTAGGCATCGTTGCGTACCTGGATGTCCGGAAGATTCGGACTTTGCACCTTGATGACATCTGCTCCGAGAGAAGCCAGTGCGGCGCCCATCGCTGGTCCGGCAATGACTCGAGCAAACTCGATGACCTTAATCCCAGCTAGGGGGCGCTTGTCCGCAGATGTTGTGAATGGAACCGGGGGCAAGTTCGGTGTCTCAACCACGCGGTTGCAATTGATCATGGGGTGCGCTTGCAGTCGTTTCCCCATCTCGGTATCCCTCCACTGCTCTGGAGTGTAGCATGTTTGTCCACACCATCCGTGATCAATATTCTTTTGTTCGAGCTCAGCGGCCGAGTATGTCGCCATTTTAGCTTTAATAATCTCATATGCTTCCTCCTTGGTAACGGACATGTCTGCGTCAAGTCCATATGACTTGAGAAACTCGACAGGGTGCAGGTTACTCAATACCTGATACCAAACATTTGGGTCCCTAGTAGGGTAGATTGACCAAGACCGGAAGCGCATGTTAGTATTTGTCAAGACACCTTGGTCTAAGTCCGTGCCAGAGTGAAAAGCTATGCGCTCTTTGCCGATCTCCGCCATGTCTTTGCCGTCGATGGAAGCCAATGCTACGGTAGCAGGATAAAGGCCTGCTTTGTCGACATCTATCCTGATCTTGCCGGTGTCAATCCCTTTCAAGGCACTGATTTCTTTACCAACAATGCCGATCATTGCGTGTGACACCGCGGCCTATAGATCCTATTGAGCGGTAGTAGCGAGAACTAAGGCAGTCTTACACTTACCATTGCCTGGGACTTGAGTGGACCCGGGATAATGGGTAACGCTCCCCCATGGAACTCAACATTGTTTAGAATGCTATCGTCTGTTGTGAACCCCGGTGAGATTTTGGCGAAATGGTGAAGCAATCGCCGACACTCGTCTGGTAGTGTAGTGTATAAAGTGTCCGTAAAAGTGCCTGGACCGTACACACCACGGACTGTCTCATGCAGGGACATATTGACGACGTGCGATGAATCGAGTTGAAGATATTGAAACACCTACTCTTGCCACTATACTCGCCTTTCTGACGCTTTTATGAAGGTACGCTGATATTATGTTTCCCTAACGTCACGACGAGGTTGCGGTCCCGGGTCCGTGCCAGGCTCTGTGCGCCCCACGAACGACCAGAGTTAGATCGTTGCACCCGATCTATCCGAGGCCCCACTGATCTTAGTGCTACGAACAATGCACACCCTTGTGGGTCCTGCTCGGCATGAGAACCCCGCAATGCAAGCCGATCAGGTTTCACAGAGCAGCACGCGAGGATGTCACAGAAGGTCCACTTCAACGTCCAACGTCCAAGACGCGCTGTTCCGGTCACTCCGATCAATTCACTCACACAACAGTGCATATCATAGACGCCTGTGCTAAGGATACCCACAGCTGTAGTTGTCTAGACTCTGCCGCTATCCGATTTATCCGATGCTATAAATACGTGCCGCCAGGCAGCGTGCGTCGTGGCGAGGCCATACGGCCCGGTGTATCCGACTCCGTAGCTAATACCCAGCCCCTGCAAGGTTCATGCCACAGGCAACGACGACGACTCGTTGAGCTACTCAAGTACAGGCGCCAAGCAGCACATACATTCGTTTGAATTGATAAATAGCCATTCCTTCCAATGCACAGCACGGACGTCTTCCTGGCACCAAGTTGCTTTTATCCTGCCGTCTAATTGCAGTCCTGCGGGCAAGCCTGATCTCGTTCCATAAAATGGCAATCCGAACTGTGGGTATAATTGGTACGGGAGTGATAGGGGCTTCCTGGACTGGTCTGTTCCTTGCACACGGCTTGCAGGTGATCGTGGCCGATCCTGCCGATGGTGCAGGAGAGAAGCTTGCAGAGCACTTAAAAAGTATATGGCCAACCCTCGAGAAAGTCGGAGTCGCGAAGGGTGCCTCACTATCGAACTATCGCTTTGTTGGCCCTAGCCTGAAAGACCATTACGCCGAGGTCGATTTCGTACAAGAGGTACAACGAAATCGACTGCCCTTCTATAGTGGCCATTCGCTAACGTTGCTAAGAACGCGCCGGAAAGAGTTGATCTTAAGACCAGACTGATTGCGGAAATAGATGCGGCTACGAGGTCTGATGTGGTTATTGCCTCGTCGTCGTCTGGACTGCCAAGCTCCAAGTTTATTGGCGACTGTGTCAAGAACCCCGGCAGGGTCTTGATCGGCCACCCTTTCAATCCGCCACATGTTATGCAGCTTGTTGAGGTCGTCCCTCATGCCGGGACCGACCAAGCAAGCACCGATATCGCCATGGCATTTTACCGATCACTAGGTCGGCACCCAGTGTTAATCCGCCAAGAAATCCCGGGATTCGCGGTAAATCGGCTGCAGGCCGTCCTCTGCAACGAGGCATACAGCCTTGTCACTAGAGGCATTGTGACTGCAGAAGAGCTTGGTACGGCGTTCCGAAGAAGTTGTCCCCCGTCATTGACGCCTCAACACTAACTGGCACAACAGATGCCTGTATGACAACGAGTCTCGGCCCGCGCTGGGCTGTGACCGGGCCACTGATGTCTAATGCGATGGGAGGTGGGGGCGGAAGCGATGGTTTCAGACATATGCTTGAGCATCTGGGGCCCGCAACCAGAGGTTGGCTCGATGACACTCGAGCCCATAGTTTTCAGTGGGATCTGCAAAGCTTGGACAAGCTTAGTGAGAGTGTCTTTAACGAGTTAAAAGACAAGAATGTGGCGGCTCTCGAACAGAAGCGGGATAGCCTGCTAGTTGAAATTTTCAGGCTAAAGAAGTAAAGTGCTACTAGCATATATCGCTATATATTACGCGGGGCTTAACTTAGTCGTTTAAAAACCTAGAGTTATTATTAAGAACTAGTTAAATTAGTAAAGACTTTACTATAGAGTTAGCTTATATACTCTCTTAAGCCCTTATATTATATAACGTCTATAGCTATAATAGCTAGCACTATAATATATAACGTTAATTAACTTACCCTTTATTACTTTCTCCTAGTGTTCTTATTTTAACCCTATTATTAATATAGAGCTTATTTCTATGCCTCGCTAAGGTAAATACTTAATAATTCCTAGCTTTAATAAAGCTATAAATAATATTAGCTATTAATTTACTTAGATATAGTAATTATAAGTATTATAGTATAATGCTAAAAGGTAGACCCCCCCTCGCTAGGGTTAAGGCTAATAGCTATAATATATATACGCTTAAGCCTCTACGGTAAATTAGTATTATAGCGTAATACTATATAGCCCCTTATAGCCCCTTAGTATATATAGTATAGTATAGATAGATAGATATATATATAATTAAGGCTATCTATATTAATAATTAAGGGTCCCCCCCTTAAAGCTAGTAATATAACTAAAGGGCTATAAGATTATATATATATTAGCTTTTAGGGCAGTAGACTAAGCCTTAATATATTAAAGGCTTATTAATATAGCTACGCTATAAAATATAATATATTAATTATCTATCTAGCTATATTTAATAGAATTAAAGTTATATTAATTTATATATATTTACGATATATACCTAGCTTATTACCGCTTACTTAAGCCCTTTTAAAGAGGTAAATAAATAAGTATATTATAATATATATAATATTTTTTTATTTAATAGTCTACCGCTAGAGCTATAGACTTATTATCTATAAAGAGTTAGGGCAGCGACTATATATTAATTATTATATAAGCGCTAGCCGTAGTCTATATATTCCCTTACTTACTAGCCTAGCGCATTATCCTTTATAAAGAGTATAGCTTTTATTTATACTTAAGGAAGAAGGCATTAATAAGGTATCTTAAGTAAGAGTATAGGCTATAAGGTATAGAGCTTTAAGCCTTTATAGAGCTATTAAAGAGCTATAATATTTAAATACTTAATAAAAAGGGGCTATTAATAGGTAAGTAGCTTACCTAGCCTATATTAAGGCTATAAGTCTATAATAGGTATTAATATATAGCTAGTAATAGCTATAATAGCTTTATAATATAGAACTTAAAGAGTATAGAGAGGCATAGCTTAAAGGAGTATAGCTAGAAAGCGAAGGTATATATAAGGAAAGGTAAAGCAGCGCTTTTATAGGCGGCCTATAAGCTATAGATATTCTATGCTAAGACGAGGCTAATATAGTACTTTATTATCGTAGTTAATAGCGCTATTAAGCTAATATAATAAGGAGGGGAAGGAGGAGGAAGTATTATCATTAATAGCGCCCTTACGTTATTACTATAGCCCTCTTCCTTTAATATAATAAATAATGCCTTCTTTTATATACTTAATAAAGACGCTAAGGTTATTATAGAAGATATAAAAGTAAAAGTAAGGGTTATAAAAAGTTTTAATAGCTACCGCTCGGCTATTATATTATAGTTATAGAGGATTAATATAATAAGCTATATATAAGGCTTAGATAAGGCTAAGATAGAGAGCTCTATTATTATATTAAAGAAAGGGCTAGTTACTATAATAAAAGGCGCTATTACTAGCTTATATAATAAAGATAGGCTTAAACTCGACCTTATCCTTAAGTATATAAAGTAGCTATTTATTAAGATATATAAATAATGCTTTAATAGGCTTAAATATAAGCTAACCTAGCTATAATAATTAACTCTAAGCTAGTTTTAAATAGTAGATATATTTATATAGAAGCTAAGGGGCTTTAACTTATATAAAGAGCTCGCTATAATTAATATATATTTTAAGTACTAAAAGTAGCTTATATTTTTCTATTTCTATATAATATATTATAAAAGGTACTTTATTAAAGAGCGTAAAGTATATACGCTAAAGGATTGCGTCTAGCTAATAAGGGCATAATTAATAGTATAAAGTCTTATATAAAGGCAAGCTATAAAGGGTAATATACTTTAGTTAAGGAAGGCATACTTAGCTTTTCTATATCCCTAATTTATTACCGCTATAAGTATTATTAATATTAATCGGTAGTACTTAGCTTTATAGCTATATAAAGTATATAGCTTATAATAAGAGTATAATAAGCTACTAGGAACTATAATAGCTTCCTCTTAAGGCTAATCTAAATAGTATAGCTTTTTGTTTTTAGCGTATTAATTAATTATAGCTCTTATAGTAGCGATAGTAATAGCGATTATATTATTAATAATATTGAGAAAGGTAATAATAAAGATAATAAGGATAATAAGGATAACGATAAGGATAATAAAGGGGATAATAAAGGTAAGGAGAATAAGGATAATTAAGGTAGGAATAAGTATAAAGTTTAATATAGTAATAAGTCTAATAAGGATAATAAGTATACTAATAATAATAATAATAATAATAACGATAATAATAAGGGTTTATTTAATAATATATTCTAGAAGATTAAGGGCTATTATAATAAGTATATATAACTTAATATAGAAATAGCATTTAATAAGATTCTTATATAATAGCTACTATATTAAGAAGTTAGGAATAATAAAGTTAGTTAATATTAAGTTACTTAAGATAAAGATAGGTAAAGGCTTACTTATAGGGATATATACTTATAGTTAAATAAGGCCTATAAGCTATTCTTGTTTAAAGTAAAGTAAGTATAGCGCCTCTTATATAATAAATTTATATTTAAGGCTATTAACTTACTTTAGCTTAAAGCGCTAGCGCTTAAAGATAATCTTAATAAGAGAGATATTAATTAGTTCTTTAAGATATATCGAGATAACGAGCTAATCTTTACCCCCTTAAAGAAAGCACTAAAAAGCGTTATAAAATTATTAGGTACCTTAAGGAACTTATTCTTAGACTACTTTAGGCCTAAAGTATAGTAGCGGTCTAAAGCTATAGCTTTATATAAAGCTACTATTAATAGCTTCTTTATAGCCTAATTAATATTAAGATAGAATTAAGTCTGAATTCTTAGGGTTATACTATATAAAATAAGGAATATTAAGGTTACCTTTAATTAGTCTCCTTAAAGTTAGTTTCTTATATAAAATTAA